TGGCAGGGATACCAGAGTGCACCACATCTAACATTTTTGCTGGCTCCATAGATCCCTTGTAGCAGGTGAGTTCATTCATCCACAGTGAAGGTGAGATAGCAGGCCAGTATGATGGCTTTCCTCTGCAGCTGAATGCTGCAAATGGCACTGGCGGAATATACTTTGTCACTTACTACTAGCATGGAATAAATTGTGACTCCTCCTCCAGCGTCCCTCCTTTTACCTTTCAGTCCATGCACTCAGGACAGAGTTCTAGAATGCCACTCATTCCATTAATTTAGTGAACATTCAGGGGAGCGGAATCTTCTGTCCAATCTACCCAAACTGCAGTACAATCCCTCTATACGTTAAAATAAACTGGTAGGGGGGCGGGGCCGGGCGGCCATGCTAGCAGGCTGCAAGTCACTATGGCTCCTGAGGAATACAGCAAATTTTCGGTGAAAACTCACCTTACTCTGCTTGCAACACCCTGGAAGTCCGTAGTAATGGTCCTGGAGTGTCCCGGTGCAGCTGGAGCACCCAATCTCGGGTGATTCTGGGTCCTGGTGAGATGCTCTGGGACGTGGGGACAGAGGCCTACCCGGGAGGGGAGCTAGGCGGACGGCCGCTGCCTCGCTTTCTGCCCCGGTTGATGCTAAACTACAGCGCACTTGGAGACCCCCGGCCCCGTTCACCCCCCCCTATGGACCGGCGGGGGTTATCCCGGTCCCCACCAGGCCAGTTACCACCTATGCAGCCCAACTGAGCAGATCAACGCCTAAAGCAAACACTGCAATGCGGCCTTACCAAAATGGCCGACAGCTGCGCAGCAATTCCACTAGCTACCAAGGGTGAACCGTCTGTGGTGCGCAGCAGCATTGCCCGTGAATCTCACAATCTGAGCTGACATAATGGGGATTTCCACAATGCCCTCGACCTCCGCTGAGCACACTCCTGGATTATAATTGAAGACCGGCATAATCCACAGTGGTCTGTGTTTCTTTCACTTACCCACACTTCGGCTGCAATCCCTAGGAGCGGGCGCGGTGCCTGCCTTAACTGAGTGCGCCTCACCAACGCTTCCCAAATCGACGCCAGCGACCAGCACTGGAAGTTCATTTAGGGAAATCATCCCCAGATGCCGACTCCATTTTACTGCAGCCCGCACCTGGACAATGTCACTTGGAAAGCACCGAGCCTATACCTGTTCAACAACCGGGAAGCCTGTTAATACCGGTGGGCAGACGCTGCGCCCCTTGGCGGGACTTTGGGAATCAGCGGGCCACCTGGGTGCACAGCGGGGACTTACCTTATGTCTTGGCATAGGCTGCCTCTCTTATCCTCTGCATCGTCAGAGCCAGCGGCACTCTCAGTTTTAAACGATATGCAACATCTAAGGCACACACCGTGTATTATACCAATGATAGCCCCAACAGTTTCCACTTGGGCTGCATTTACTGATAAGCATACATCCCCTCAGTTAAGGTTCACGTAGTGTTTGTTTATTTTCATGCCTTCTGCTGACTGCTTAATATGTGACATCATGACTGGTGGTATCCTACCTGCATACCTATGTTGGCTAAGCTTATGACCTAAAAACTCAATAGAAATGTCAGTATGTTTACCTGTATTAGTATCTCATATGTCATAACTTATAACTGACAAATTAGATTAATGATCTATCCAAGCCTGTTTAAACGCTAACGAGTCGTTGCATCTGAATGTTAGACCTCTTAATTATCGTTACCCTTCCTATTTAAAAAATGTATGCATACCCAACATGCCACAATACTGTCATAAAATTATTTTGGAAATCGAGCCTGCTGACGCTGTTGTGGCGATACAGGCACTGTTGTACCTATCTGCATACCAAAAATAAAGAATTAAAAAAATAAAAAATAAACTGGTAGTATTTTTTTATTTTTTTTTAGTAATTTAGGTAATTTTCCTCTTCCAAATGTATTTTAATTTTTGTCAATGTCACTCCTTGAGATGTCACACTTAAACAATGAATTATGCAAAAGAGCATGGCAGGTATTTTTTTTCTAAGAAGGTGGTAATCCTACTTGTAGAGTTGCCACACAGACTGCGGGTAGAGGATCTTCTGTATCCTCTACCCGGACTGACAGGAAGTGCTTGCAGGGAACAATGAACAGTTTCCTGTTAAACTGGGTAGAGGATATAGAATATCTTCTAACCCGTAGTCCACTCGGACACGCTAAACAGGGAAAGTGAGCAGGTACGCAAGGAGGGATGAGAGAAAGACACAAAATGGCATGAAAAAGGTGGAAATTACACATATAGAGCAGCTAGGAAAGGGGACAGTGTCACACATTGAGGGGGTGGAGAAGGAGAAAAAGAAACACAAAGTGGAAGAAAAAGAAGACACAGAAGTTGGAAAAAAAATGTTGTGGGTTTGTGTGTTCAAAAAGCTGGTCTTGCCTAGGGTGCCTGTGTCAATGTATCTCTCTGTGTATCAGTATATCTCCCTGTGTATGTGTCAGTGTATCTCTCTGTTTGTATGTGTAAGTGTATATCTCTGTGTATGTGTCAGTGTATCTGTCAGGTATACCCTAGCATTCATGCTGCCGCCGGAACCCACTTCCGGGTTCACGGTGCTTAGCCCCGCCCCTTTTTCTGACGCGGTCCTTCCACGATACTTAGGAAGACCGCGCCAGATTCAAAGGGCTGGATTATTCACTCAGGTGCGGCAGTGAGATCAGCTGCTCTACTTGATGCTACCGGCTCCTCTCTCAGACCTCGGACTTGAAACGGATTTCTACCTTCTCCTCTCTCAGACCTCGGCTTGTAAACGGAATTCTACCTTCTCCTCTCCCAGACCTCGGCTTGTAAAAGGACTTCTACCTTCTCCTCTCTCAGACCTCGGCTTGAACAAACGGACTTCCTTTCTCTCACTACTAAATTGCAGTTTGTTAAAAGAGACTCCCTTCTCCTCCCCCATTGGGTGAATTAACCCTTCCAGTGCCAGAGTGCTTCTAAGTTAAGTAAATCTTTTGTCAAGGAAAGCAAGTCTTATCAATTAATTATAGTATTTAATTTCTTTAAACTCTCAGTTGACAAATAAGGATTACTGCTAAGGCTAAAACTTCTTACTAATATCAATTTATTCAAACTGCAAGCCTGACCAACTTCATTATTAAAATTATTATTATTTTCTCCATCTTATTCAAGTTGGAACTAACTTTGCATTTTCCTGCTTATTATTTAAAGATACAGTCCACTGGTTTCACTCCAATATAATAGGAGGTGAAACTTACTGTGCCTGCCTCAGAAAATTCTGCAGTTGAGTTCCAATTAAAGAGGTATTACACAAAAGCATCACAGTATCTATCTGTGTGTATGTCAGTGTATATCTCTGTGTGTATGTGTCAGTGTACCTCTCTGTATGTCAGTGTATCTCTCTCTGTGTCAGTGTATATCTCTGTGTATGTATCAGTGTATCTCTTTATGTATGTGTCATTGTATCTTCCTGTGTGTGTGTCAGTGTATCTCTGTAACAAGCGCTTATCTTTCCCCGCCGGTCCCGCGCAGCGCCGGGTCCTCCTCCGATGCTTCCGGGGGGCGGCTCAGACATTCTGACGCCGGCCACTCGGAACACGCCCACATTTATGACGCGGCGCATGCGCGCCGACGTCAGAGTAAAAATGGCGCCAAAATTCAAACATGGCCACGCTCCCGGACTTTTTGGGGGCGTGGCTACGAAATTAAAGCCATAGAACCCACACTATAAAAGGGCTATCATGACACTTGTCAGATGCCCTAGTGTGGTTCTTGTTTAAGTCCCCTGGTGCTATCTTTTCTTATTGTCCTTCCTGGTATTAGACCCTTGGCTATCCCTCTCTGACTATTCTGTGTTCTGGTTTCCAGTATCTTGGCTTGGATTATCGTGTGCCCGTCTTCCGTATTCCCTTGACCTCTGGCTATTTCTCTTGACTATTCTCAGACGCTAGTCCGGCCATTCTAAGGTCCGGTAACCGTCTTTCTGTGGGTTTCACGCTGTGTGAAGGGGTTACTGTTGTGACTTTGGTCACTGTCGTGACAATCTCTCTCTGTGTCAGTATATCTCTCCCTATGTGTCAGTGTATCTTCCTGTGTGTGTCAGTGTATCTCTCTCTGTGTCAGTATTTCTCTCCCTGCGTGTCAGTGTATCTTCCTGTGTGTGTCAGTGTATCTCTCTCCGTGTCAGTATTTATCTCCCTGCGTGTCAGTGTATCTCTCTGGGTATGTGTCAGTGTATTGCTCTGTGTGTATGTATCAGTGTATCTCACTCTGTGTTAGTGTAGCGCTTTGTGTATGTGTCACTGTTTCTCTGTGTGTATGTATCAGTGTATCTCTCTGTGTATGTATGAGTGTTTCTCTGTGTGTATGTGTCAATGTATCTTCCTCTGTGTGTCAGTGTTTCTTTCCGTGTGTATGTGTCAGTGTTTCTCTGTCTGTATGTGTCAGTTTATCTCTGTGTGTGTGTCAGTGTAATTCTCTCTGTATCACTGTATTTCTCTGTCAGGAGCTCTCTCCCTGTGTCAGTGTATCTCTCTGTGTGTATGTGTCAGTGTATCTCTCTGTGTATGTGTTATTGTATCTCTCTGTGTATCTCTGTGTGTATATGTCAGTGTATCTTCCTGTGTGTGTGTCAATGTTTCTCTCTGTGTGTATGTGTCAGTGTTTCTCTCTGTGTGTTTGTGTCAGTATATCTCTCTCTGTGTGTATGTGTCAGTGTATCTTCCTGGATGTATGTGTCAGTGCATCTCTCTCTATATATGTCAGTGTTTCTTTCTGTGAGAGTGTGTGTGTGTCAGTGTGTTTCTCTGTGTGTATGTGTCAGTACATCTGTGTGTGTGTCAGTGTATCTCTCCGTGTATGAGTGTGTCAGTGTATCTCTCTCTCTCTCTGTGTTATTGACCTTTGTCTGTAGCTATACTGCTAATTTGCATACTTAGTCTGCGGATTTCCCCAAGACTTGTTTCCCGAACTCTCCACCTAACTCTCCGCTCAAACCCGCCCCCAGCTCTGTCTCCGGTTGTCACTGGGCGCCAGGTCTCTGCTGCTTTGCATACCTGCCTCCCTCCCTCCTCCCCTCACCAAACTTGAACTGGGAAGAGCGGCGTCGGGCAGGTTATAAGGAAGTGTGTGTCTGACAGAGGAGCTGTCAACGGAGGGCCATGGCTGGTGGGCTAGCTGGCAAGCTGGTAGTAGTCCTTCTACTGTGCCAATCCGGAATCATCACTTCCTCTAATGGCCTGAGGGTCATCCCGCTCAATAATACTGACTGCTCCCAGGAGGTAAGTACTTTGGGACAGGGTAGGATAAGGTGTAATGCGCATTCGGGGCTTGCTTTGGCCGAGAGTGATGGGGCGTGGGTCCATGGATAGAGTTTGTGTATCTGTAATTCCTTTATTATATGCAGACTTATTTAATCAGTGTTCTCGTAGATAACTGGTTATAGTTTGGAATGTCACTAATATCCCAATGTAGGGACCCTGAATTCGGGGAAGGGGGGTATAAGATTGGTCACTGTCATTGACAACAGCACACATCTAAAACATTGTAGCAGTTTAGCCTTAACATTGGTACCCTGTAAACATTATAAGTAGAGGGGACTATTAGAAAAAATAAACTGATTTTATACTGACCAATACTGAACAATAAATCAAATCTTTCTGCAATCTTAGTGTATTGTGTTTGATAAAATACCTATTGTTTTTTATCCTATGGCTGAACTTGTCTTGTCGCCTTTCAACTTTGTAACTATGCAACCATACAACCTATTTCTCAACTATTAACTAGAAGCACATACATATAAAATAATAAAACATAATAAAATGGATATAATAATTATAACTAATTAAAACATTTCACACATGAGTCTATCAAATAACCTAAAGAAGAATTTTTTATATTTGTGCATGTACAACGGCTATTATTATCCCAAAAATATTTACAAGGTAACTAAAGTGAGAACTTAAAGTAGAATCCGAGGCAAACCCCAAACCCAAGGCCTGTGTAGTGGAACCAAATGCAAAACTAACTTAGACATAATTTCCAGATCCGCTAGTATGACCTCAAACCCGAAACACACCACCAACTAACTCTGAACTGCAGCCCCATATAATATCCTTGTTAAAACTAAAAAACATACCATATATTATAACATTCATACATCGCACAAACATGGGAAATAAAAGAGGGACGTCAAATGTAAAAATCCAGTATGACTCTCGTTGTCTTAGGGTCTTAAATCTATCTGCTCCTTGTTAAGTGGGAAGTATTTTTCCAATGCCTTTAACTATTAAGCCCTTTTAGTTGTCTTGATATTGTTGATGAAAGTGCACGGACACTTGGTGACTAATAGATTTAGTCGTTATTGCGCAATGTTCCATAATCCTAGTATTTAGCTTTCGGCAAGTTTGCCGAGCACATTGCTTGCCACAAGGGCATTCCAGTAGATTTATTAAATACGTTGAGTTAATAAAAAAAAAAAAAAATGGATATGAAAATATATTTGTATGATTGGAATTTTATTTATTCTATTTCAATCGTGGTATGTATAGGCAAGTAGTGCATGATTTCCTCTCACATCTATATATCCCAGTAAGTTGCAAAAAAACCAAAATAGAGATGTCGCGAACTGTCCGCCGAACTGTTCGCGAACTGTCCGCCGGCGAACAATAACGTGTTAGCGTTGGGCGAACATATAAGATTTCCGGTCCGCCCCCTATACGTCATCATTGAGTAAACTTTGACCCGGAACCTCACAGTCAGCAGATACTTCCTGGGAGGGAGGGTCTGCTGCTGATTGGCTGGAATGTGTCTGCTGGCTGTGAGGTTCCGGGTCAAAGTTTACTCAATGATGACGTATACGGGGCAGACTGGAAATCGGATATGTTCACCCAACGCGAACACGCTATTGTTCGCCGGCGGACAGTTCGCGACATCTCTAAACCCAAACATTTTATCCTGTTTATTTCTTATCCAACTGTGGGCTATTATATTTTTCACAGTTACTTTCTTTCTGAACACTACTCTTGTTTTTTTTTCTTTTGAGTTCACTGGTTATACTTTATCGTGTGTTAATATTTGCCAAAGGTTTGACATAATATTTTTAATTTGAGAGCCTAACTCCTTAAGGACACATGACATGTGTGACATGTCACGATTCCCTTTTATTCTAGAAGTTTGTTCCTTAAGGGGTTAAAAGGACACTCCAGTCACCAAAACAACTTTATCTAAATTAAGTTATGGCGCCAGGAGATCCTTAAGGGGTAAACTGTTTTCGAATGGTCTAACCCTGAAGTAGCCTACAGCAGCTATCTTCATCGGGTGTCTCTGATTGGCTGAGAGCGTCAGCTGACCACTCTCAGCCAATCAGCGGCTCCCCTGCCCAGCGGCACTCTGTGCTTCCTGTCTGTGAAATTTCAGGAGCAAGATGTTGCTTGAGGGGGAATAAAGATCACCGCTGGAGGCAACTTTGAAGTTAAACTGTTTGAGAATGGGTTAACACCATGAGGTAAGAGTGTCTTAAGGTATTATAATGTTTTTTCCAAAAACCTTGACGTGAGAATGTAAAATTCCTCTATCGGATCTAGCTTCTTCTCACCCTCATTTATTGCCTTTTTGTAATGTTCCTGATCCATTTAGGAAAATACACTGCTTAAAAAAATAAAGGGGACACTTAAACAACACAATGTAACTCCAAGTCAATCACACTTCTGTGAAATCAAACTGTCCACTTAGGAAGCAACACTGAGTGACAATCGATTTCACATGCTGTTGTGCAAATGGGATAGAAAACAGGTGGAAATTATAGGCAATTAGCAAGACACCCCCAATAAAGGAGTGGTTCTGCAGGTGGTTACCACAGACCACTTCTCAGTTCCTTTGCTTCCTGGATGATGTTTTGGTCACTTTTAAATGCTGGCGGTGCTTTCACTCTAGTGGTAGCATGAGACGGAGTCTACAACCCACACAAGTGGCCCAGGTATTGCAGCTAATCCAGGATGGCACATCAATGCGAGCTGTGGGAAGAAGGTTTGCTGTGTCTGTCAGCGTAGTGTCCAGAGCATGGAGGCGATACCAGGAGACAGGCCAGTACATCAGGAGGCCGTAGGAGGAGGCCGTAGGAGGGCAACAACCCAGCAGCAGGACCGCTACCTCTGCCTTTGTGCAAGGAAGAACAGGAGGAGCACTGCCAGAGCCCTGCAAAACAACCTCCAGCAGGCCACAAATGTGCATGTGTCTGCTCAAATGGTCAGAAACAGACTCCATGAGGGTGGTATGAGGCCCTGATGTCCACAGGTGGGGGTTGTGCTTACAGCCCCACACCGTGCAGGACATTTGGCATTTGCCAGTGAACACAAAGATTTGCAAATTCGCCACTGGCGCCCTGTGCTCTTGACAGATGACAGGTTCACATTGAGCACATGTGACAGAGTCTGGAGACGCCGTGGAGAACGTTCTGCTGCCTGCAACATCCTCCAGCATGACCGGTTTGGCAGTGGGTCAGTAATGGTGTGGGGTGGCATTTCTTTGGGGGGCCGCACAGCCCTCAATGTGCTCGCCAGAAGTAGCCTGACTGCCATTAGGTACCGAGATGAGATCCTCAGACCCCTTGTGAGACCATATGCTGGTGCGGTTGGCCCTAGGTTCCTCCTAATGCAAGACAATGCTAGACCTCATGTGGCTGGAGTGTGTCAGCAGTTCCTGCAAGACGAAGGCATTGATGCTATGGACTGGCCTGCTGGACGTTGCACCACAGACTGTCCAGGAGTTGGCAGATGCTTTAGTCCAGGTCTGGGAGGAGATCCCTCAGGAGACCATCCACCACCTCATCAGGAGCATGCACAGGCATTGTAGGGAGGTCATACAAGCACGTGGAGGCCACACACACTACTGAGCCTCATTTTGACTTATTTTAAAGACATTACATCAAAGTTGGATCAGCCTGTAGTGTGTTTTTCCACTTTAATTTTGAGTGTGACTCCAAATCCAGACCTCCATGGGTCGAAAAATTTGATTTCCATTTTTTTATTTTTGTGTGATTTTGTTGTCAGCACATTTAACTATGTAAAGAACAAAGTATTTCAAAAGAATATTTAATTCATTCAGATCTAGGATGTGTTATTTTTGTGTTCCCTTTATTTTTTTGAGCAGTGTATTTTGCTCTACAAAAGATTAATTCATGATGGCCTTTTAATTTGGTGATGAAATGAAAAAGACTTACAGGAATTTGTTATTTATATAATCATAAATGATATGGGTTTGCAATTTACCCTCGAGTAGAGTACAAATGCAATAGTTTTCTTAAATATATTATATTTACCTTCCTGATCCTCACGCGAGTAGTTTAGTGATGCCGGGCCCGGAATGACGTCATATTCCGGCACCTGGCATCACCACAGATGGCGCGCGTGCAGTTAGGAGCAGGAACAACAGACTGTGCTCCAACGCTGCCCCCAGCTTTCTGCTTCCTCTTCCCCTGGCTTGGTAAATTTCAGCAGAGTAAGCACCTGCAATGTGGGAAAAGCAGGTGCCTACTCTGCCTTAACAGTAATCACCGTTCCGGGGGCACCCCTAGGTGGCCAGCTTTCCACCACTTAGGCCCCCTGTTACACCCAGCTACTTGCCGCGCCCCCGACCTCCTGGACCAGAATCGACCCTGCCCGTGCCCCATTATTGATGAAGAATGTCTTTTCCTTTAGTTTGACATGTTTGTTGTAGCTGATCAGTGTATAACAATAAAAAGATTTAAAACGTCCCAATATTTGTTTTTATATTGGTCTTTTTTTTTCTGTTATCCTCAGTTGCGACATATAGGGGAAATAAAAGTGAAGATCCAACATGGTAGCATGTCAATACAGGCAAAGAGAGTGATAAAAAGCAATTTCTAGCAGTAGAAGCTGTCACCTGATTAAGTTTTTTCTTAAGTCGTTACATCTCCTAAAAAGCCTTTTCTGCTTCTAATAGATACATTTCCAACAGCTATAAAACTAGTTTCTCTCTCCCATTATCTGTTGGTTTGATTATTATATTATTCTCTAGTTATAGTATATTCTAAATGTGCTTTAATATCTTTCCTTGACAAGTTATATCATTTATATTTGCTTAATTTTAAACTCTCTTTATATCACAATTTTTTTCAAAAGCTACATTTTTTTCTAAAATCATTGTTTTTTGGATAGAATGTAGATTTTTATTTGAAATCTGTTTGTATAAAGTCACAGGGATACTCCTCCACAATTACCTCGGTCTAACTGAAAAAAAATCTTCAGACACAGATTGCTTCAGAAATGGCTCATATCCACAAAAAGGTCAAAAACCTTAGTGGGTCCACATTGTAAACTTTGGTTAGAATATTTATATAATTACAGTAACATTTTAAATCCTATCTGTAGTTAGAATCTTACTCTCTTTGCTCCACTTATAATTCTTCCTTCCTCTATTTCTCATCAAGGTACTATGCATTTGTGTCAATCAATTTATTTCTGACCCCTCCGAAAATCTTCATTAAAATCTGGACTATCTAGCAATTTGAAATCTAGTTCTTATGGGGATCCGGTTTCTTTCTCCATTTATTTGGGTAGTGTTTCTTAATTGTTTTACCATGGTCTCTTAATCTATCTCCACTCCATGATGTATTGATCCGATCATACTGTTGGTCACGGTGTGTAGACTTCGGTTGCCTAACTTAGGCTGCTGAGTCTCCCAATCTCTGTGATAAAATGAAGTTTTGGAATTTCTATAATGTACATTTTAATTAGTTCTATTGTTGTGGTTTTGTATATTAGTTATCTTTCTTTTGAAGTTTCTTACTTTACCCTTTTTATAGTCCTCGAATATATCTCAGATACTTATTTTTCCTTATAGATAGATATAGCGCTTATTTGTTTAAAATATCAATGTTTCTATACACCAAGTCTTTCTTATTAGCTTCTATACATCCAAGTGATCCTTTACCTTATCACCAATACAAGATGCAAAACAAGAAGAGGATGTAGCACTTTAGATAGTTACAAAATTAATTAATCACCTTTTTAATTTTAGCATGGAGGCGAACACACTTAGTTAGGAGGCGGACTTTTCTGATATATTCAATATATTCAAAAACCTATAAAAAATAATTCAACATAGTATATATCATATAAAAAAACAATAGAAAGGGAGCACACTACATTAAATCTCACATTACCCTTATTTGTACTCTTTGTTTAATTAATTGGTCAATGGTTTAATTTCTCCTGCAATTGACATAAAAGAAAAATGCAAATAGGGTAATAAAGTTGAGCCTTAATTTCACTAGAAATGTAAAAGGTCTCACTCACATGGTCTTGAGCCACTTTCCTTAAACTGGTTCAGACTACAGGTGTAGAAAGATATCTGCTCATGGCTTCCAAAGTACAAGCTGCTTACTCTCCGTGGTCCCTTGTTGAAATAAAATATTCCAGGATGCAGGAAATTGAATATAAAGATTTATTGGACACACTAAAAATAAAAGCAAATTACTTGTACAAATATAACTTAAATCTACATATGCAGATCTGGTGACTGGACGCGTTTCGGCCTGAGCCTTTATCAAAAGTCTTTCTTCCAGTCCTCATCTTGACGATTTAAATATCCCGGTTTTGGCGCCTTTTCGGATCCACTGTGCAAATATGACTTCCGGTGCCAGGGCTGCATCCTACGTCCTGGTGCCCGTTTCATGCGGCTTCTGGTTTCCTGTCTAGAGTGTTATGAATTAATAAACTTTTTAAAATAACAAATAAAAAGAGCATAAATTAGCAAAATCAATTTTTTGCAAATTTATGCTCTTTTTATTTATTTTAAAAAGTTTATTAATACATTTTGAAGTTTTATTCATTGATCCTGGTTCCCAGCATTCCAGTCCAGAACAGAATGGAGTGCAGTCCCTAATATGCACAACACCTTAGAATTGAGTTATTACTGTCTGACTCCAGATTTGTAAGTACCCACTTGGGATTCTTTATTTTATACTAGGAATGCTACTGGCAATACTGCGCAATCATTTGTATTTCTCATCTTCCCTAGGGAATAAGATCTATACCGGCAATAGGGGTGGGTCGCCTAAACAGACCCGGCGACGATTCAAACCAGAGCTGGGTCTATAGCTCTCCGTTTGTGAGTGTATACACACTATAATTGAAATTGATTACCTGATTGTGTATGATATATACTATGTTGAATTATTTTTTATAGGTTCTTGTATATATTGAATATATTAGAAAAGTCTGCCTCCTAACTAAGTGTGTTCGCCTCCATGCTAAAACTAAAAAGGTGATTAATGAATGTTGTAACTATCTAAAGCGCTACATCCTCTTCTTGTTTTGCAACTTATTTTTCCTTGAATAATTTCCATCTCAACTTCAGAAAGCAAGAAAAAGGAGATTTGTTCAATAAGGCTAAGCTGTTTCGAAACTTGGATGTATTCACTTTGTTATATTTATTTATTAATAGATTTTTTTATTTTATTTTATTTTTTTACTGATTTAATTGTTTTGTATATTCTGCATCTACATTGAAGAAGTTTTTTTGCAGAAATACGTATTCCATATCTCCTATACCGTGTCAGTCCTGCTATTAGGTACTCAGATACATGTGAGTTCAACTAATTGCACATTATTTTTATGGTCTTGTTTTTAAGTTGCGCTATGATTATCGTTTGTTTATGATTATTTAGCTACCTTGCTTTATGATATGATAGAACACCACAACCTAAAAGGTCCAAAAGTGATCGACACTTGAGCCAAGTGCATAGTGGCTCTGCACTATGTGAGTTCACTCCTTATCAGTTTAATCCAATTAATATTTGCACACAGTTGTCTGCACCAATTTTTTTTTTTACAATTACCGTTTTTGTAGTTTGTACATATTGTGTTGGGTATTTTTTGCAGTCCACTATTTATTTGTGTTGTTTTTGATATGTGCATGTATAGTGGATTGAGGTGAGACATGCAGGTACACTGCCTATCCTTTTTGCACACAAATCACCTTTTTTTTTTTTTTTTTTAATGTATTATTATTATTATTATTATTATTATTATTATTATTATTATTATTATTTTGCTTGAGAGTCCCCAGCAGTCCATCCTCTGTGTTGCTTGGGCTAATGAGGAAGCATTATCCTGAGCAGCAATAGAAATCATTGAATGGAAGAGTTTCAGCTGACCCCTTGCAGCCTGTCGCAGTGCCCATTGCTGGTATGGAAGTGTGTAACCTCTGCTTTAGCCATACCTCCACTCTGGGCCACTGTGTGAGTGGCCAGTGACTATCATTCAGTGTTAAACTGCTCAAAATTGCTTTTAATGCTCTATGGGGGATGACACCAGGGGACTCCAGGTATTGTTACCAATGCAATGAGATTACATGGCTATAGTGTCCATCCTAGGGGAAATTATGCAAGAATATGTGTATAATATGCACATATTGAAGTGAAGGTAAAACCACCATTTGACAAACATTAGTAGAAAATATACTCTGATTAAATAAGAGACATATGAATTGGCAAACAGAAGTGTGCAGTAGCAAGTATCGATGTAAGCTGTGAGTAGAGTTAGTTGCATATGATGGAAATAGGAAAATAAGGGACTGTATGTGCTTTTGGATTCTGATGTTGGTATTGCTCTAATGTTGGTGTTCCTCTGTGTGTTTGTGTCTCAGCAGATGCTATCACTAGACAAATATTGAGGAAACATTTTTGTTTGACCTTTTTATTTTGTTTTGCAGGGGATCCAGTGTACAGTGATGAAAAGTAAGTGATTGTCTTTCCCCTTCTCGGATTTAAGCGCATATATTTTGGGGTGGGTGGGCGTAGTACAGTCCAAGCAGAGCAAATTAATAAAAGTCTTAACATTTAGCATTTTACATTATAACATTAAAGCAATTAGGAGTATGTCTCTGAAGAAGTAACAGAGCTACCATTTAATCATGAACATCTGTTCATAAGGCAATAAAAGAATACGCTTTGGTAAGAAGCGAGAATGGCATAAAAGTGAATGTAGCGCAGAGGTCGGTTACAGGCAATCAGGAGCCACAACACCCACTGAATGTTTGCTTAGAGAGTGACATTTGAAGTCTCCACCCCTACTTGCTTTCCATGCCATCCCATAGCAAATGGTACTTTTGACAAGACCTTATTGTTATTGATTAGCTTGTGAGTTTGTTTGTTAGATGTGTTTAGTTATAGATTTGATTATTAATGGTCATCCCTGAATACTCACTATGTTCTTATTTTCTACCAGGCAGCTGTATGGACATTAGCTGGATAAAGCCCTTCAAGTGGACCCCATCTGCTCCTGAAAGAATTGACGTCAATCCAGGAGTGCGAAAAAATGAACTAGGTCATCGAGTACCAGTTCTAGAAATCAAATGGACATTGGCCAAAGATTGTAAGTAAGAAGTTGCTGTTCAATTGAGCTTACCATGCAAACCACAAACATATGGGGGAATTTATAAAATACTTGCAGGGTTATTTGCTAAAGTATGACTAGTCTAGAATTCAAAGTGAATTTAAATTTTTATTCCATAAAACATAGCCGAGATGGATAATTTTTCCAGTTTAGTAAAAAAATTGATGTTCGTTGTGAATTTGCTTCTGGTCACACTTTAGTGAATAAGTCTGTAAATGTTCAAATTATCTTACAAGGTGTGCTGGTATAAATGCATATCCTTAGGCAAAAAATAATAATTTTGGGGTGCATGTATAAAAGAGTGTCCTTAAGGCATTATTACATATTCTAGTTTTTAGTGAAGGAATAATCTAGGGATCGACCGATATTGATTTTTTAGAGCCGATACCGATAATCTGCGAACTTTCAGGCCGATAGCCGATATCTTGCCGATATTCTGTACATTTACTATTTTGAATAAATAAACTAATTTGAAAGGTAAATGCACAAAATATACATGCCACATGTAGTGGATGAAGTGTGTTTAGACAGGGGAACTGTGTGTGTAGTGGATGCAGAGTGTGTGTTTGTGTAGTGTGTGTATAATGAATGTAGTGTGTATATAATGCAGTGTGTTTATGTATTGTGTGTGTGTTTATGTATTGTGTGTGTGTGTTTGTGTAGTGTGTGTGTGTGTGTATGTAATGCAGTGTGTGTATGTAATGCAGTGTGTGTTTGTGTAGTGTGTGTTTGTGTAGTGTGTATGTAATGCAGTGTGTGTATGTAATGCAGTATGTGTGCAGTGTGTGTATGTAATGCAGTGTGTGTGTCTGTAATGCAGTGTTTGTGTAGTGTGTGTTTGTGGTGTGTGTAGTGTGTGTATGTAATGCAGTGTGTGTATGTAATGCAGTGTGTGTGTGTCTGTGTAGTGTGTATGTAATGCAGTGTGTGTGTCTGTGTAGTGTGTATGTAATGCAGTGTGTGTGTGTATGTAATGCAGTATGTGTTTGTGTGTGTTTGTGTGTTTGTGTAGTGATGTAATTTGTGTAATTTTTTATTTTAATTTTTTTTAAATATTTAAATGTTTTTTTTGTTTAGTCCCCCCCTAGTGTGTTTGTGTAGAGTGTGTTTGTGTAGAGTGTATGTAATGCAGTGTGTGTCTGTGTAGTGTGTATGTAATGCAGTGTGTGTGTGTGTCTGTAGTGTGTGTATGTAATGCAGTGTGTGTGTGTCTGTGTAGTGTGTATGTAATGCAGTATGTGTGCAGTGTGTGTTTGTGTGTGTCTGTGTTTGTGTAGTGATGTAATTTGTGTAATTTTTTTTAATATTTAAATGTTTTTTTTGTTTAGTCCCCCCCCTAGTGTGTTTGTGTAGTGTGTGTTTGTGTAGTGTCAGTGGTGTATCCTGGTTTTGTGCTGCCCTAGGCAGGACAAAACTCAGGCACACCGCGCCACCCCCACCCGCGTAACCGCCACCCAACCTTCTGCTCCGCTTCTAAATACACACACATTCACTGACAGATACGCATTCACTAGCTAACAGAAACACACAGTCACTAACAGACACACACTCACACACTCACTAACAGACACACACACTCACAGGCAAACACACACACACACTCACAGGCAAACAGACACACACACTAACACTAACATACATACACTAACACTAACATACATACACTAACACTAACATACATACACTAACACTAACATACATACACACTAACATACATACACACTAACATACATACACACTAACACTAACAGACACACACACTAACATCCACACACTAACATCCACACACTAACATCCACACACTAACATCCACACACTAACATCCACACACTAACAGACATCCACACACACTAACATACACACTAACAGACACAAACACTAACATACACACTAACAGACACAAACACTAACATACACACACTAACAGACACACACACTAACATACACACACTAACATACACCCACTAACACTAACATACACACACACACACACACACACTAACACTAACATACACACACTAACACACACGCACACACTAACATAGACACACTAACATACACACACTAACAGACATTAACACACACACTAACATACACACACTAACACACACTAACATACACACTAACACACACACACACTAACATACACACTAACATACACACACTAACATACACACACTAACATACACACACTAACATACACACTAACACACACACACACTAACATACACACTAACATACACACACTAACATACATACACACTAGCAGACATACACACACTCACTAGTGCTTTTTTTTTTTTTTTTTATTTAGCCCCAGCCTCCTTACCTTTGGTAATGCTGGGGGGGGTTCTTCCTCTCCCTGGGCGCTGGGCGGCAGTGGCTGCAGGGCGGGCGAGCGAGGGAGCTCTTCCCCTGAGCGCTCTGCTCAGCTCCCTCGCGCGCCGCCAGCAGAGTGAGGCTGGGAGCCGGGTTGATGACGTCATATTCCGGCTCCCAGACTCACTCTGCTGGCGGCGCGCGAGGGAGCTGAGCAGAGCGCTCAGGGGAAGAGCTCCCTCGCCGCCCGCCCGCCCGCCCAGCGCTGCAGCCACTGCCGCCCAGCGCCCAGAATGTCTGTTAGCCGCGAGGCTAACAAGACATTTGCCCTGGGCATTTGGGGGGCGGCGTTTTTTGCCGCCCCCTGAAAAATGCCTCCCAAGGCAAATGCCTTGTTTGCCTCGCGGCTAATACGCCCCTGTGTAGTGTGTGTGTCTGTGTAGTGCGTATGTAATGCAGTATGTGTGCAGTGTGTGTGTTTGTGTAGTGATGTAATTTGTGTAATTTTTTATTTTAATATTTTTTTTAATATTTAAATGTTTGTTTGTTTTTGTTTAGTCCCCCCTCCCTGCTTCTTATCAGGGAGGGGGATATAGTATTCCCTGGTGGTCCAGTGGCTTGTTAAGTACAGTGGTGGCTCAGCAGCAGCAAGCGCTGACTTACCTTGCAAGCAGCTCCTACAGCTCCCTGTGTAAATCTCGCGGCTCTTAGTGCCGCGCGGAGCGTTGCCATGGTAACCCGTGGCAACGCTCTGCGGCCGCGGGTCTCGCGAGATTTACACAGGGAGCTGCATGCAAGGTAAGTCAGCGCTTGCTGCTGGCCCCCACAGGACCGCCGGGCTTGTAATGGGCCCGGCTGTCCTGTTATATATTATCGGCAATATCGGTATCTGAATTGGCCGATACCGATATTGCCGAAAATACCAAATATCGGCCGATAATATCAGCCAGACCGATAATAGGTCGATCCCTAGAATAATCCTAATTTTACTACATGACAGGAGGCTATATATTTTGCATTGGTAACACTATAATAATAGCAAAAAAGGTTCTTCTCTGAGCCAATCTGCCGAACGGAGAAAGTCAAGCAAAGACGCACCAGTCCGAAAAGCGTCCGAGGCTGCCTCTCATTGAGCCAAATGAGCACCAAATGAAAAATCAATGGTGGCCAAGGTGAGAAGCCACAGAACACACAGGTCAAGGTTATAACAGAGTAGGAAGAATGCAGAGTAGAGTAAAATGAACATGGTGCATGAGTGTCCTAAAAACATACAGCTTGGATTTAGACGGAAATAAAACAGGTTAAAGACGAAAGCCAAACCTGACTTAGCTCTACATGAGATGTAGAAGTATACTCCCTCTGGGTAAAAGGCAAAATGATCCACATCATGGATGTCCGAAACTTAACAGAAAGAAACCAGACATAAGATTAAAGTGAACTTCACTGACAGTCAGCGAAGAGAGAGGTGATTGTTATCTGCCCAATCTGAAAGAAAGCAAATAACCGGAGGGACATCTACAGATGAGAATATTCAATCCAGGGGGCAAAAGAGATGAATATCCTTCAAAAATCTATAAACCAAAGTATTCTTGCCAATAGAAACTCCCTGAATCAAGGCATTGGATGCTGAAATAGCTGAGCGAATCACGTTGATGAAAAGATAAGACTTACCCTCCAAAAACAATATGGACAAGAAAACTAACCGGAACAGGGGTCATAAAGTGAACCAGGTTCCTCTCCATACACCATTCACACCAAGAGGCCCAAATAGAGAGATAGCAACATATGGTACCTTGGGCCCAGGAGTCCCAGAGAAGATCCCATGGTAAAGGCAGTTTTGAATAAATAGCGGGTGTGGATTTTATTGAGGATTACTAAGAAGATATGGAAAAGATCGGAGTAGTAGAGGATCTGCATACAAGAGCTCCAGAAAGTCCTGGAACCCTGCCTGGCTCAGCCACAGTGTATTCATCAACACAATCAAAATCTGTTAGTTCTGGATCAGGTGGGATACCTGAGATATCAAGGTGAATGGGAAGAGGATCCGTATGCTCCCCTCTTCAGCTGTCATTGAAAATACACATCTCCCACCAGACACTCCGGATCTGGTAGGCAATTGAAGAAACAGTTGGTCATGTATGCAAATGTATAAAAATTAAAGTGACCGTTGAGGTAGCTCAGTTGACAGATTACTGACCTCTCCAACATCCAGTCGATGGAATCCCTTCAATGATGGGAGATCCAGTCCGTGTGAGTTTGGTTTTTCCTGGGAGATGTTTCGACTGATCACCCATGTCAAGTCAGTCAACTGTGCCCCCCCATTTTTGGTGTATTGAACAGAGGAAACTGCAGAGACATAGTCCATGCAAAGGAATATGCAACAGTTCATGAGGTCCTTCGCCAGGCTGCAAAGGAGATCTTTTGGCCCCGACCAGGGTCCGCCAGAGCCCAATGCCTGGGCAGGACATTCCACAGCCCCAAAGACTGTCATCTGATTTCACTATAAAGTTGGAATGCATTCTAAAGATGGCCTGCATGCATAGGAGCAACCAGCGAAGCTCGGCAAAACCAACTGATCATAAGACCGTAGACTACGTAGATATTTCGCCTTAAACTGCTTCAAACCTCAATGGACAGGGGCTCATCTTAAGTAGATGCCAGGATTATATTGCCATAAGCAGAAAAACACCAGAGAAACAAGGGGGGTACCAGCTAGAAAAAGTGGACAGAAGCAGAAGGATGAAGCTTGCACCAAACACGCCTTATTGGCTAAACCTAATAAGGTTGTGAATCATAGCGACTAAATGGTCACATGATCCTTCGACTATTAGACAAGGTGACCACTGACAATCTTGCTACCTGTGCGTGTCTCAAGGTGGTAGTTGCAACAGCACAAAACTGCAAAGCAACATCTACAGGAGTGAGGATGACCCAAGAGAAATCTGTAAGAGCAGAGTAATGGAGAACCCCCCACCCCCCTCAATATTTGTGGTTTGTAGCCTGTGTGTACAAACATCCAGCTTCTACAAACCAGAGCTTCACACTGTAAAGCTCTGTCAATACTCTATCACTGTCAATTTCCCCCCCTCTCTCTTCTCAGCCCCACTCTCTCACCCTCCATCACTTCCCAAACCCCCTGCCCACTTAACACACTATATTATCTATATAATATCTTCCTCTCTCTTCTTTCACTCCACTCTGTCATTTAGATGACTTTCTAACACATCCTTCCACTGTACATAGTTAAATACACAGTTACCCTATCCTCCACTTCTCACAACCCAACCCAGAGGCACGCTGGAGAGCCCAGTCACAGCGGGCTACAAGCAAATACCGACACCGAACGTAGCCCATTTCCTCATATTGCTGTGTGCTTCACCCCTAATGGGACCTACACCCTACTCTCTCCAGTTTCTCAACAGATGTACGACACTTACAGTTTACAAAGGCGTTAAGATAGCAGACAAGACCACCCCAAGCAGCAACTAAATCTTCAACACCGTAAGATCTCAACTGCAACACAAGACTCTGAGCAACCAAACTGGTTGCCTCCTTCTACTACACTTTAGATGCGACCTGGTAAAGCTACCGGGGAACAGAAAGATTAAAAGGCTTTGTTATCAACCTGTTTTGACATATACATATGTCTATACATAACCTATACATGTCGTATATAACATATACAAGATGTTTCAATTTAGTTTATTGCAAGCTATCCAGTGTCACAGTATGTCACATTATGGTTTTTATTTTTTTGTAAATTGCAAAATAAAACCTTTAAAAAAAAAAACACACTGTCAATACTCATGTATTGACAGACATCAAGGAGTTTGAACCAAATACAATCTTTTATCACCGTCTCCAACTTACAACAACTGCCCTGCTCCTAACAGATCACATGACTAAAACATAAGCTGTTTCCTAGCACACATAATACATAAACATGTCTAATGAACCTAAAACCCAATAGTTCAGTAGACCTAGGTACACATTGTGTCCTGATGATTGTACTTTCCAAATAATGGAGTTGGCTGTGTCAGTTTGATCATTGGCCTCTGGATTATCAGGGCTAGCTGGTTTGTATGTGACTCCACCAGTTGTAGAAGATATTGTTTTTTGCACAATGTACTCCAGTGGCTTGGGGTCAGTTTCCACACCTACCAGATGACCATAAATATACTTTTGAAAATTGTCACACCCTGTCACTATGGCCAGCATCCTTTTACATTTGAGCGTAATTGGCTTTTGTCATTGTCACAGCTTGTGAAGCATGCGCCACAGGATATCCCTTTTGAGTCCGTATTGCACCTAACCCAAATTGGGATGCAACAACTTGTTCACATCCAAATATTGATGTTTTGGTCCAAGTTGTTTCTCTCTTTTTTTATTTTTTTTTTATTTCTTTTTTACTATCTCAAATGTTTGTTTTTTTCCATATTTGCATCCCAAGACCAAATAGCATCCCTCTGTAGCAGTACAGGGAGTGCAGAATTATTAGGCAAGTTGTATTTTTGAGGATTAATTTTATTATTGAACAACAACCATGTTCTCAATGAACCCAAAAAACTCATTAATATCAAAGCTGAATATTTTTGGAAGTAGTTTTTAGTTTGTTTTTAGTTTTAGCTATGTTAGGGGGATATCTGTGTGTGCAGGTGACTATTACTGTGCATAATTATTAGGCAACTTAACAAAAAACAAATATATACCCATTTCAATTATTTATTATTACCAGTGAAACCAATATAACATCTCAACATTCACAAATATACATTTCTGACATTCAAAAACAAAACAAAAACAAATCAGTGACCAATATAGCCACCTTTCTTTGCAAGGACACTCAAAAGCCTGCCATCCATGGATTCTGTCAGTGTTTTGATCTGTTCACCATCAACATTGCGTGCAGCAGCAACTACAGCCTCCCAGACACTGTTCAGAGAGGTGTACTGTTTTCCCTCCTTGTAAATCTCACATTTGATGATGGACCACAGGTTCTCAATGGGGTTCAGATCAGGTGAACAAGGAGGCCATGTCATTAGATTTTCTTCTTTTATACCCTTTCTTGCCAGCCACGCTGTGGAGTACTTGGACGCGTGTGATGGAGCATTGTCCTGCATGAAAATCATGTTTTTCTTGAAGGATGCAGACTTCTTGCTGTACCACTGCTTGAAGAAGGTGTCTTCCAGGAACTGGCAGTAGGACTGGGAGTTGAGCTTGACTCCATCCTCAACCCGAAAAGGCCCCACAAGCTCATCTTTGATGATACCAGCCCAAACCAGTACTCCACCTCCACCTTGCTGGCGTCTGAGTCGGACTGGAGCTCTCTGCCCTTTACCAATCCAGCCACGGGCCCATCCATCTGGCCCATCAAGACTCACTCTCATTTCATCAGTCCATAAAACCTTAGAAAAATCAGTCTTGAGATATTTCTTGGCCCAGTCTTGACGTTTCAGCTTGTGTGTCTTGTTCAGTGGTGGTCGTCTTTCAGCCTTTCTTACCTTGGCCATGTCTCTGAGTATTGCACACCTTGTGCTTTTGGGCACTCCAGTGATGTTGCAGCTCTGAAATATGGCCAAACTGGTGGCAAGTGGCATCGTGGCAGCTGCACGCTTGACTTTTCTCAGTTCATGGGCAGTTATTTTGCGCCTTGGTTTTTCCACACGCTTCTTGCGACCCTGTTGACTATTTTGAATGAAACGCTTGATTGTTCGATGATCACGCTTCAGAAGCTTTGCAATTTTAAGAGTGCTGCATCCCTCTGCAAGATATCTCACTATTTTTGACTTTTCTGAGCCTGTCAAGTCCTTCTTTTGACCCATTTTGCCAAAGGAAAGGAAGTTGCCTAATAATTATGCACACCTGATATAGGGTGTTGATGTCATTAGACCACACCCCTTCTCATTACAGAGATGCACATCACCTAATATGCTTAATTGGTAGTAGGCTTTCGAGCCTATACAGCTTGGAGTAAGACAACATGCATAAAGAGGATGATGTGGTCAAAATACTCATTTGCCTAATAATTCTGCACTCCCTGTAGTTGTGCTATCTACTGACAAAGCCCAGAGAGTACTTGAATAGATAGCTGACATTATTTTCTATGAATCCGGTTTCAAACCCGCATTGGTAATTAGGCGTCCAAAATGTGTGACGACTTCTACCCCAGTTTGCATTTGTTTTGATTGAGTTTAAGATTTTTCTCATGACACTGAGTAAGGCAATTATGTGTCTGTTGTGATCAATATGTTATCAGTTAGCACATCAACACCAAGCAAACCATCGATTCATGTATTTTGAAATATGGGGGCTGGGGGAGGGGACACTAGGTCCACCCCTCTTGTTATAAATATTCGGGTCCCCGCATGCCAGCATGGGAGAAGTTTATGAGGGGCTCTTCTGATTTGAAGAATCCCACACCTGATGTCTGGGACTACATATGTTAGTTTAGTTAATCTAGTTGACTAGTTAATACTTGCGCTGCTGAGGGTTTTCAACTATTTGCCACAAGCTGCTAGCAATTTAAGTGGGCAAATAGTTCTTCAAATGATCAGGTCAGTTGCAAAAAGCGAATTAATGATAATTTGCAAATGTGCATCCTACCAGATACATTAGGTTTTTCTTCGGTAACCATACAGTGGTTGATAAATTTCCGATTCCGGTGCTGTAGAGTGGTTCAGATGCTGATATTCGTGATTTTCTGACCTCATCTGTGCCAATGTTACAGAATCAGTCGGATCAACCGAACACGGACGCATTTGGCTTCAGTAAATCAGAGAATTACAACATACTGGAATTCACTTGTTTTCACTGGATTTTGTCCATTCTGACAATATCCAGTGTTTAGTGAATAACCCTGTTTATGTGACAACGACCCATCACTTTTAGCTTTATACCAGCATATCCAATCAGTTTTGATAGGTGTTGAGTCTCTAAGAGGGACTAATTCTTGAGAAGTCTTCAGTACATTTACTTGTGTTCCTGTATCTATTTTAAATGTGGCTAGAGTTTTGGAGTCACCGGCTATTGTGTTACGTATTCTTCATCTGCAGTATGATGTGTCTATTGCATTGCTGCAAGATATATTGGGGTGCAGTCTGACTCTGACCCTGCATTGCCATCATTGTCCTGTATGGCATTGACCGTGTTTGTCCTTGCTCTGTGTGAAGCCAGTTTACACAATGTGTCATCTTTTCTTGCAGATTTGCCACCCTGCATGCTGCGTGTGTGTTCACACTTGACTTTTGTCTCCTCACGTCCTCTTTCTTGCCAGTATCTGCTGGTTTTACTTTCTCTAGCATTGACTTGATGGTGTGTTCTTCTTTCATGACATTTTTGTATGATCTAGAAACCCTGATGGCTCTCTCATGATTTAAATCCTCCATCAGCGAACTTCTTCCTTCCCATGAGAATACGGTCTTTGGCGAGCAAATGCAGTTTTGACATCTGTTCATCCACAGTTTTACTTCCACACTAGTTCCAGTCGTAAAACACATTCCTTTGCATGTGGAGTCTTTTCCTCTGGTTGCAATACGCCTCAAACTTTGCGAACAGTAGTGCTGCTGCTTTCTGATGATCAGTCCACATATTAACAGCCTGCAAACACAGATCACTCCCCTCCATTTTGTTAGTTTTCAGAGTTGCTCCTTGGATCTAAGTCCAGGGATGGAATGCTCTTAGCACTGCTATTTGTTGCCATATCTCTTTCCACCCCACTTCTGGTACCATGTGAAGTATTAACAGACATCAGATAGCTTGAACAACCTTTAATCTGCTTCTCAACTCATCCCTTTCAGATCACATGACTAAAACATTAACGGTTTCCTAGTACAAAAAGTTAGGCGAACATGTCTACTGAACTTAAAGGCACGCTATAGGCACCCAGACCACTTCAGTTCATTGAAGTGGTCTGGGTGCACTGTCCCAGGTCCGTTAACCCTAGACCGGTAATTATTGCAGTTTTTAATAAACTGCAATAATTACCTGCTAGGGTTAACTCCACCTTTAGTGGCTGTCTACCACACAGCCATTATACGGACTTGCGGGCTGTTAGATGACTTTTGCTTAATGCCTAACTGACACAGGATGTCCTCCCGTTATGCATGGGGACGTCCAGTGTCCAGGGCCGTCTTTAATATTGATTGGACCCTGGGCAAGCATCTGTTTGGGCCCCCTGGGCATGCAATCACTCCCTCCACCCCAACCTAGAGGCAAAACTAATGTAGAGAGTGCCTTGATGCAACAAAAAAAAATTCAGGCCTGCCCTGTAGCACAAGAGTAAAGAAAAGATAGATCCCCATCTGTCATACAACTCCTGCGATGCTATGCCAGCTGGGGATCTACCATCCTTGCAGGGTTGAATTTTTGAGCAGTGTTTGTGCAAATGAATGTCAGCATGTTATTGTATAGAGTGTATGTGTGCATGTAGGAGTGTATTTGTATGTACTGTTACCATTGGAATGCAGTGGTGTACTTATGGGTAGTGTTTGCATTTTAATGCAGGGATGTGTGATTGTTTGTAGTGTTGGCTTTTAAATGCAGGTGTACTTTTGTGTGTAGAGTTGGTGTTTGTATATAATTTTAGCGTTTTAATACAGGAATGTGTTTGCATGTAATGTTTGTATTTGCATGCAGGGGGTGTTTGGATGTAGTGTTGTCTTTTAAATACATGTGTACATTTGTGTGTAGTATTAGTGTTTCAGCAAACTGGTGTGTTTGTAATGTTTGTGTTTGCAGGGGTCTGTGCATGTTGTGTGATTTCTATAACACATATACACATACACATTAACACGCAGATACACACATGCTCACACTGACACATGCTCACACGTTGACACATACTGGCACATACACACACACTCAGATACACACCCTTTGACACACAGATACAAGCACTTTGATATACACACACTGGCACATACACACACACTGACACAGGTATATACACACACACTCAGATACACACATACATAAAGGTATAAATGCAGGGGTGTATATGTGTACAGTGCTAGAGATGGAATGTAGGAGTGTATTTGTGTTGGCATTAAAATGCTGGGATGTATGCATTACCACACACTCAGATGCACACTTACACACACACACCGAAACACACACACAGGTGCACATACAGGTGTATGAGGTATACATACACACAGAAACATTGACACACAGACAAACACAGCCAGATACACACAATGACATAAACACAGCCAGATACACACATATATATGTGTACATTTACATATTTTAATCTCTGCCTTCTAGCAGCTCTTGGACAGCAACTCCCAGCAACCTTGGCCAATATAATGTCTCAACTCTGTTCTTACATACCCATGTCCAGAATTTGGCAAAAGTGACATTTGGAAATGGTGTACAGCCTTTGATAACACTTGATGCAATAATATGTTAAAATAAATACTTTTTAAATTTATATTTAATAGGGAACTGTCAGGTTCTTCTAGGATTTTTAACATGTACTTATTCCCTGTGTGTTACATTACAAACACCAACACACTTAAATAAAAGTGATATCAGAAATTAGCAAAACAAAAAACAAAACATATTTAGCCACCCTCCTGTCTCCTTACCTTTTGGGTACAGAAAGGTGGCTTCCCTGGGGTCCAGTGAGAGCTTGTTGGCCCAGGCTGATGGGAGTCTGCCATCAGCTTTCTCAGTCCCTCTCCCCCACAATGCTTGCATCCTCCTCCGTGTGGTGTGTGCCTCCTCCCCAGCGGCACTGAGGAGGAAGTGATCTGACCTCACTGCCTCCCAGCATGCCCAGGAAACAAAGAGACTCACAGGGCAGTATGTGAGGGGGCTAGCTGTGAGTATGTAGTCAGCCACCCCCCATATAACAGGGGACCGGGCCGGTCCAGAGCAGTATTAAAGGGCTGTGGCCCCTGATTACCGCAGGGGGGCCATGGGGCAGCTGCCTTAGGGCCCCCAGGAGTAACTGGGCCCGGGGCAGCTGCCCCTTTTGCCCCTCCTTAAAGACGGCCCTGCCAGTGTCACTGAAAGCCCCATAAGAAAGCATTGAATAATGCTTTCCTGTGGGGAAATCCTAATGCGCGTTAGGTCTCTCCCGCTGGCTGATGTCAGCGGGGGAGGAGAGAAGGCGGACCCAAGCCAGTGCCAAGGAACATAGTCACTGGAACCAGGTAAGTGACAGAAGGGGTTTTTAACCTGTTCTGCACCATGGGGGGAGGGGAGTACTTATCAGAGGGAGAAGCTATAGGGTCAGAAAAATGAGTTTGTTTTCCTGGCAGTATAGTTTCCCTTAAAAGCATAACATAACACATACGCATCATCACACTGCTGGTTAGCAGACTGGAACACATCCTGCTTCCCACCCACACAAGGGGTTGATAAGTATTTCTGGTATCCAAGTTATTTTAACTCAGAATATGGGAATATTTATCTTTTTAAAGAATTGCATCTCAATAGGTAGTGTATTTGGTGGAATTGACTGTTCATTGCTTTTATTAGGATACTTATATTTTGTACATTTAGATTAAAGCAGTGTTATACTTTACTTTCTTTTAAACTGTATTTCAAATGGTTAAATGTATTATTTCCTACCTAGTAAGGTAGTAGAAGGTGTTAAAGATGATGAAAGCCCCTAAAAATCTTTCATTGTAGACCTGTGATTTCTGTTTTCGTATAGTAAGTTTTATATTCTTGGATAGGGTAATTGTAAAGGACATTTAGATAGGAGGTTGCTGGAGATAGTAACTTTAGCGATGTTGATCCTTCTCTTTTTTTTTTTTTTTTCACAGCCAGTATTTTGGATCTACAGGGCGTGGAGCTGTCTATTGTTCAACCCAGCACCAACCAGCAGACCTGTGTCCAGTTTCATTTTGGAAATCAGTTCCCAAGTCAAGTCAGCCCACGAGGAGAAGCGGTAAGCAATAACTCTTCAGTGATCGAGGCTTTCCAAGATTTAATGTATTTGGAATTGAGGCCATTTTTCTTTTTCTTTTTTTTAAACTCTTTATTTTTCATTGACAAGCATGACAGAAATAGGCAGGTGAATTGGATGCTTACGCAGAAGCTCCGTGTATATTATTGCATTAGTTTTAGTACCATTTCATTCTGTAGACACAGTTTACAGAGGAGTGGACTAGAAAAAGCAGAACTCTGCCCCTGTATTTTGAAGTTCGGTTCCAGCTGTCAAACATTTTAAATATAAAAACTGAAACAATAAAAGTAAAACAATACATATATAAGTAACTAAAAAACAAAACAGTCAGCTATAGGAGTTTAGACTACCAATATAAGGAGTAGGAGGGCGAAGGCCATATCATTGTCTTAATGGATTGTTCTTGGAGTCTCACACTAATCGATACCTTATTGGCTGCTTCCCATATTTCCTGCCATACACCACTCTTCTGTATCTCTCCCAACTCAGCTTCCCATTGGTCCGTGTAGGTCAGTTGCCCCAGTCAGTGGATTCCGAACTGATCGAGTTGTATATGGTGGTAATCAGGCCCTTACTTCCCGTTTCACTGTCACATAGGATCTCAAAAAAGGTTGGAGCACGCTTTGTCACCTCCTGCACTTTGCCTTGCTTCGCAAAGTCTTGTAATTGCATGTATCTGAAAAAGTCCCTGCGGGCCAGGGGATGGTGCAGTGAGAGTTCGTCGAAGGAAACAAACAAGTGGTTTGGATATATAGGCCAGCGAAATCCCTAACGTGCATGCCAGGCAGAAAGGCCCTATTCCTGAGGAAGGAGGTCATAGGAGATGGATCTGAGATCAGTGCCAGAGTCTTTTTGACTCTGTCCCAGAGAGTAATGGATGCCAGAATGGCCGGGCAGTCTGTTCTGGGGAGGGGCCTGTGCTGCCTGTCTGTCCAAATATAAGATTGTGGGAGGTCAGCCACCATCATGCCTGACTTCAGTTCGACCCATCCTCTCTCGTCAGGGGGTGAGTGCCATAATACAATCTGGGCCAGTTGAGCACCTATGTAATACATATATAGGTTGGGTAAGCCTAAAGTCCCCCAGAGCTTTTGGCCAGTAGATAACGCGTCTGGAGGTGTTTTGTCCCTTTCGCTATAGGAATGCCCTTGATCTCTGGGTGTTCAATGATGAGGTGGAGTAGTGGCTCTAGCGCAAAAAGCAAGGGGGAAAGGGGTCCCATTTGACAGGCTGAATGGGGTTGGGATTGCTCCAGGTACTAGAACCTGTGCCTTAGGAGTTGTGCACAGTGCCCTAATGGCTCCTGTGAACTCATACGGGAACCTCCAGATTTCCAATAGTCCAAACAGGTATGGCCACAACACTCGGTTGAACTCCTTCTCTGCTTCTAGTGAGTAATTAAGTTAGCCCATTGTGTTTGTTAATAGTATCACAGGCTTAGGGGAGGGTTTATGTACATTAGCTGGGAGTGTTTAACTGTACAAATCTGTCCTGATTGGTTTTGTAACTTTGTATCCTGTGTGCCACAAGGTCCATGTGGGTGGTAAACTTTTGGGAACTATATAAGAGACCATAAACCCTCAGACTGCTGAGTTCCTGTTTTACCCTCAACATAGAGTCTCGTCTCATGTGTGGGGGAAAAGGCTGTATCTACACTGGGGATTTCTATATGCTGTATACTCCCCTGGCTATAATCACTAAGCTCTTTTAAGAGCTTGTTCCTGCTTCGCTCTCTGAAGGAAGAGAGGTTCACCCACTGGAGCCTGGAGCCCTGTCGTAGGTCCGGGGTGGGTAGGAGACGGCGAGATCCTAACCAAGCTGGAGGGGTCTTCAATGCTTATGGTGTCAACTGGAGTGCTTGGAGCCCTCTGGAAGCACTAGGAGCATCCATCAACGGAGGTACCCAGTTGGGGTGCCAGGTGATCCGTTACACATGTCTATACGGGAATAGCTGTCATGGGGTGCAGAATAAAATGTGTAGTTCCGGGGTGCTTGAGTCTGCATGCACCCAGCAGACCCGAATCCCGCAAAAACTATGTAATATCTTATCCTGACCCCCCCACCCCCAGATCTGTGTGGATGTTGGAGCCCTGGTCTGGTCCTTCTGTCGATCCCAGGACATGGTGCTGCATTAAAGTCCCCTCCCATGAGGAGGAAGTTGAGTTATGTGTCCTAGACTGTATCAAGCGGAGGAGTGACTTGAAAAACTAAGGGTTGTATCGGTTTGGTGCATAAATGTTAAGGAGGTGGTACGTGCGACGGGCAATGATGCCGGCAAGGAGAATATACCTTCCGTCCTGTCCTTGAATACAATTAGACAACACTAGGGGGCAAGTTTTTCACAATAGAATCGCTACACCATTTTGTTTTCATAAGGAGCCAGAGAGGTAGGCCCTGTCAAAGCTATGATCAGTTAGTTTCAGATGGGAGGAGTTAGGGATGTGTTACTTGTATGAAGGCTATATCCGCCCTTTGCCTTTTCACTTCCCTAAGTAGGAGCCTACGCTTTTGGGTGTTATTCAAACCTTTGGCATTAAGTGAGAGAATTTTCAGTGTCCTCGGTTGGGTCATAAGGGTATGACAGTCTGAGCAAGTGAGCCCTTGTGCCTAGGGTACAGATCACCATGGTGGGTCCACTTGGGCAGAGGGGTGTGTATGCCTGCAAGGCTCCGCTCTGGCTCTTTCGATGGCACGCTAGGCGGTGTCCCACTATTTACTCCTTGAAAGCTGGGGTAATAACCAAAATTATTTCACCTTAATACACTGCCTATACTGGTCAATCTGCACTTTTGTGTTGGGGGTTAGTTACACCCCCAGCACACTTGTTTTAGGCAGTCCAGAACTCTGTTGTAGGTTGCCTAATGTCAACTTGTGCATATTTTATATCTCTCATCAGTGCGCACAGCAGGCTGATGACTGAAGTAAAGAACTTCTCCCTTATAGGCAGTGCACTTGCAAGGAGAAGCTATCTCTCCCCTCCTGATCTGGGTGTGCTGCCTTCCACCCTGGCCAAAATAGAGTTTTTTTTGTTTTGTTTTAAACCCTCCCTCCCCTTGCTGGCCCAGAGATGACGTGGCTGTCCTGACATCACAAAGAAGCTAGGAAACACTTCACCTGTAGCTATGCCCAATGCTGGATTCCAGGTAAGTTATAACTTTGTTTTATATCTAATTTTTAGTTGGGGTGGGATCTAAAGTATAATGCCTAATAGAGCATTATACTTAACAAACAGCGATATGAAGAAAAAGGTTTGCGTAACCCTTTAATCACACTGGCTCCAGAACAGCTGAGCACTTACTGCAGTTCTGTAATGATTTCAATGAATGATTTATGTCATAAATGAAGCATAATAATGTTAATATGTTAAAGCAACCACTAGGGGTAGTATGTAGGATTCAGTTTCCTTTCAAATAATTTGTATTGAATTTTAAAATGTATAACAATTGACAGAAATAAAAAAAAACCTTTTTTTTTTTTTTTTACTGAAATAGATTACAATATGGGGGAAATAAATATATATATATACACACAAACCCCAGCTACCGCAGCTTGAGGCTGTGCTCCGAAACCAATTCACAGAGGTAGAAAAATAGACAGCGGATAACAAACTTTTCCTAAACACTGACAAAACAGTTACATTGATCTTTGAAACCTTACCTAAATTATGTAAACTACAAAATCAACAACTGTGTATCAAAACAAATTCAATTAGCACCTGACAGCAGTCTGCTCTTTTAAATATCTAGGTATGTTGCTAGACCCAAATCTATCCTTTGGCCTTCACATTGAAAAAATCTCTTCAAACTTTACCCAAAACTAGGTGCCCTGTTCAGAAACACATCCTGCCTAAGCCCTACTGTAAGGAAACAGTGCAACAAATGGTAATGCCGGTCATTGATTGTGGGGATGTAGTGTATGCACCCGCACCACAAACCCACCTTAATAAAACTTAATACGTTATATAATTCGTTCTGCCGCTTTGTCCTAGAATGTAATTACTTTACCCACCACTGTGATATTTTAAAAGAGCTAAACTGGCTGTCTCTGGAATCCCAATACACTCTTCAGGCTCCAGCCTTGTGCATAAGAGCATTTCTAGGAAGCTCCAACCCTACCTGAGTAGAATGCTCTCCCCAGCTGTTCCCACCTCATATAACCTCCGATCCAGTACTAGCACGAAATTTAACATACCGCAAAACAAAAAGAAAGTGTCTCGATCCTCCTTTTCCTACAGAGCAATTATGGAATAACCTCAGGGACACAGTTAAATCTTCATTCAATCTAAAATCTTTTAAGAGATATGTGGCAATATACCTCAGCACAAAATACACCTGTCATGGTTAATTATATTTACCTGTTATGTATTAAGTGTGCAACATATCACTATATCCATCCTGGTAAATTTATTTATAAACAAATAAATAAGTATAGAAAAAATAACAATATATACATCAATATTCTACATATATTTATAGTTAAAACATAAAAGATGATATGAATCATCATCAAAACGTATACATATAGAAGATGACCATGAAAAGAAAAAATGTAGAATAATAACAATAATTAAAAACTAATAAAATTTAAAAAAATTCATTTTCCATGGTTTTGTTATGCCATGTGCTTCTGGCAATGACATCGGAGGTCAGCTTACTTCCATAAAACATTCCACTTGGAATAAAACACATAGATGATAGATATTTTTTCTCTTGACTGTTTGCAGCGTGTAGACCATCATCTCTCTCTCTCCTTAGCCCAAGCCAAGCGCTGGGGACATTTATAAGTTATATGTTTTAGTTTGTTTATTTTCTGTATTGTATTCTACTGTAATATATTGTTACTGCTTGCATTTGTTATAGCCTGTTACTTGTTCTAATTTACTGTAGTAAATTGACATTTAATATTCTGTTTGGTGTATTTTCTATCCACAAATTCAACCACAATATAAAGAAACATTACAAAAAATAATGTTTTAACTTATTACTCAACTATTGTCTAGTAATTAAAAGATTAAGATTTAAGCCTTGCCCACAACAAGCTCAATGTGGGTATTTATATGGTGGGGCTGTGCACAAGCAGTCATGCAACATGGACAAACTTCGGCATCAACTATGTATGCATTGGTAGAAATAAGTACAGTTGCATAGCTTCTCTGTTTTATGAGAATGAGGCCTATGTTGCAACAATGTACTCCGTGCCAGTAAGGGATTTGGAGTTGGTGTCAATAGACACTAGAGGAACAGGTTAATAATTCGGGAACTCCAAGTGGCCTGAAATCGAAACTCCACTACCTAAATAAAATTTTAAATATTACAATTTAATAGTAGGTTTATAACAGGCAGTTCGACAATTTCAGTTTAAACAATAAGGCATTCCTCTTCTCTTCCATTACAGTGGCAATTTGTCTTCAATAACTTTGAAGTGGAGCGTAGCCAGACATACCATGTGACTGTCCAGAATCTACCTCGACAGAATAATGCCAACAGCAAAGAACAAAGTATTTATATTACAGGTAAGTTACTGACATAATGTCCTGTATCCCTAATACCATAAATATATTTCTGCCATGTCCATGCTCCTTAATATGAAGAATATATTTTGCAGATTGTGAAATCATGGCTTAATGAATGGTCCTTGCTTATGTTTTCTTATTTGCGTTCTATAAAGAATGTACCTTCTATCTTTAGAATGCATTGGAGAAGGATTGGGGCTCACAGACATTTGTTGCAAGTCAGGTAAGTTTTCTTTTAAATATTTTTCTTAAAGCTTTGGACTCTACCTTTAAGTGACCTTGCCTTGAAATAAACTAAATCGTACTGTACATCAAAATGACACTTCAAGCACCATGATCACTGGAGCCTATTGAGGTGGTTGTGGTGCTAGGATTCTTTGGGAAATATCAACTTTTAAAAAATTTTTTTAAATCAAACAGTTTTCAAGTAGTTTGACAAAAAAATAATGGCGCATTCCCTTCTGCATTATCCATCCAAAGTCCACAGCCTACTATTGCCTTTCAGACTTTGACAGAATTGCACAAATATTCCAGATGTTACAGATGTGACAATTCCATATTATCACATAGGTGTCTTCAGGTGACTGCCATAGTACTGATGTTAAGCAAACTGTTTGAAAACATTTTGACATTTACTTGTATCAGACTCATTGCACCATAGACACATACCATAGTAGTGGTTTTAGTGCTTAGCATATACTTTGCAATCTCATTGTGAACACAGGGGCAATATAAATACTCCTTGTCAAAAGCCTCAATAAAACAGTTTAAACATTAAACTGTGGTCACATTTTAAACATGTATTTATGTAAACTTATGTTCTAAGAAATCTTAATGTCACAAAAGTGCTTCACCGCATGAACTTGATCTCTTTTCCCGAATGTCTGTCCATTTTGTATTATTTTTTTTGTATTTTTTGGTGGGGGGAGGGAGAAGGGGGTTGGATAACATACCAATTTCCAATGCAAGTTTGTGCTTTATTTATTTGTTCTTTATTCTAGGCTATTGCTGGAAACCTAATATAAGTGTTGAGATAATTGGAAATGATTTAGTAATGAACTTTGATCCTTTGGAGGAGGCTGAATTCTATTTTCTATTAGTAACTAATAACCACATCCCTAAATATAACAAACACTTGAGAATTCCACAAGTAAGTATTAACTCATAGTAACTATTTTCATTGACAACCAATATTATTCAATGTTTTGACAGTTTGAGAAAAACCCTAGATGAGATAGATGTATATTATCATTAAAGGGACACTCCATTCCCCAAATTAAAAATCAGTGTTTAGTATACATAATCCCAATGAAATCATGCATACATTTAATGATGGGGTTTTTTTTCTCGAATTGGGGGTATATCTAAAAACAGCTTGAATAAACTACAGTTTTACTGTCTTTTGCCTTTGCAAACCCTCCCCTTATAACCACACCCAGACATTTTGTGGCTGTCCAATCACAGACTACCCAATGCAGCTCAATGAGAAGTCTCTGCAAGGTGTGTGCTCTGAGCAATTGCTGCCTTTTGAGTTTAGCAAGCTGAAGTGCATTAGAAGTCTGGAATGTCAATTTTAAGATTAATGCAAATAACTAACCAAAATAAGATGATACTAGGGACTGACACAAGTTTTCATGGTGCCTGTTTTATTTGTAATACTCACCCTGGTTAACGCTCCCACATTATTTAATGGCACCAGATATGCAGGAGAGTTAAAGGGGCACTATAGTGTCAGGAACACAAATGTTTATTCCAGACACTATAGTTCTAAAACCACAGTTTAGGTAGGTACTCACTATACCTTGGGTTAGAAAGGCTTCCTGCGTCTTGCCTCGCATCTGCACTGCTTGCTCAGGAATACATGTTCAGTGATATGTGCACTAACATCTTCTAATAGTAGTTTATGTCATCATATGAACAATTTCATTACTGAATGATTGCAAGGAAATATTAACCCTTTCACTCCCAGAATTGTGTATGCATGTTCTTACTTTCATTCACTTTGCAAAAAAAAATGTAGTCCATACAGCCTCATTCACCTTCATTTATACTCCAGAAATATGGCTGTAGCCACCTGGTAGAGCAGTGGTTCCCAACCCAGTCCTCAAATACTCAAATACCCCCTAACAGTCCAGGATTTATGGATTACCCAGTGGTGTCTAAGGTGTTTTTAGAAAAAAAATGAAAAAACACTTTAGACACAACAGGGTAATCTCTAAATCCACGCATTCAGCCGAGGAGGAGGAGAATCCCCCGCCCGCCGCTGGAGAAAGAGGTAAACTTAACCCCTTCCACCCCCCAGAGCCCGCGGGAGGGGGGCCCTGAGGGTGGGGGCACCCTCAGGGCACTATAGTGCCAGGAAAATGAGTATGTTTTCCTGGCACTATAGTGGTCCTTTCATATTCCACACCATTTCCATACAGAAATAGGCTATAAAATGACACTGATAGGGCATACAGGGAGAATTCCCCATTATCATTCTATGACTTTCTTTAGTTACAAGAATAAAACTTTGTAATAAGTAAACTTTATTTTATGTTCTAAAACCAATTAGGCATTTATAGTATCTCTATAAAGATGTATCTCCGTCACTACTGTAAAGAGTCAGAGTAACCTTTGTTCTGCAGCATTATGATACACTTACTTCATTTCGGAGAAGGACCTGTAAAACTGCGTGGGCAGATGCCTTTAGCTTGTGAAGGAAACAAGACTCCTTAAAATAAATTAGACATTACTGTAAATGTGTAGCAATATTTCCTGCTGGATATCTCTTTTGATATAAGATATAAGGAGATAATCAACAACAAATGTAGAGAGCTCAAGTATTGTTTCTGGAGTAGGGGAGGGTGGGTAGGTGTTCATTGTTCCTTCATGTAGAGTACAGCTGAACACTACGCTGAACATACGCTGAACACTATTATAAATCCAACACATTTGTTTTTGCCCCCATTTTTCATGAGCTGAACTCAGACTTTTTAGAAAAGGCCTATATCTCTCAAATATTGTTCACAAATCTGTCTACATCTGTGTTAGCGAGCACTTCTCCTTTGCCGAGATAATCCATCCACCTCACAGGTGTGGCATATCAAGATGCTGATTAGACAGCATGATTATTGCACAGGTGTGCCTTAGGCTTGCCACAATATGAAGGCCACTCTAAAATGTGCAGTTTTATCACACAGCACAATTCCATATCACCGTTTGCAAGTTTTGAGGGAGCGTGCAAATGGCATGCTTACTGCAGGAATGTCCACCAGAGCTGTTGCCCCAAAATTGAATGTTCATTTTTCTACCATAAGCCATCTCCAAAGGCGTTTCAGAGAATTTGGCAGTACATCCAACCGACCTAACTCTCATATATATTTATTTTGATCCAGCCCATCTGGATGACTGCTGTTTTTTTGTATTACCTTTGTCTTTGTAACTATAATGAGGGTTGTGGTTTCTAGTGGGGAAGGAGGTAGGTAATTATTGTTATGAACTCCTACCCACCTGTTTTCCCCTTTAAATCCCATATTCACCCTCTTTTAAGTGGAGTTTGGTCTAATTATTAAGGTGGGGTTGGCGAATTAGCACTCTATACACCTACCCTCCTGTTCCTTATAATCAGGCTCTGCTAATATACCAGTTTACTTCTATTACCTTACATAAGCTTGATCAATGTATCTACCCCATACCTTTTATTCACCCTTTTGAATATATCTAATATTTTGAATATCTCAAATATTTCTATTATCTTTAATTTTCAATATACATCTAATTTTGAATCTAAATGCCAAGCTTTATTCTTCCGATCCACATCGACTGCTGCTATTTAATTGGCTATATTCTAGCCTTCCACTTGGAATAACATTTCATTACTAAACAGCTGTCTTTCTTGATACTATTTTTCTACTTGGGTTGATTAACAATTAGTATATTTTCTAACGCTTGCTGTGATTGATATATACAAGCCAGATAGGCAAACTCCTAGGTTTCTCCTTTTTAATATTATACTTTCACAATTTTGTGTTTTTCACTTTGTCTTGTTTTTTTCCACTATTATATAGATATGCCCTTTGAATACTAATAAACTTTATATTTAAATGTTTTGTCTCTTACCAATTATAGTGGATTATACATGTTATATGTGGGTAATCTAACCTTTTTTTGAGAATCGTTACTCAGTCTTTTGACTGGGGACCCCCTTTTTTCAAAGAAATATTTGTTATTCATTTTTCAATTTTACTTGCCCATGATGCCCCCATTCCTGCAACTAGTTTCAACTATCGTACATGATTCACAGGATTATTCACTAAACTGTATTTTCTCTAAAAATGTTACATAAAAATAGCCAACCTAGTAAATTTCTTTAGTCCTTTGTGCCTCCAGTTTTGCTTTTTTGTCAATTTGCAGTTCCCTGGTGATTATTACAGTTTTTGATAAACTGGGACAGGCACTATAGGGAGCTAACACATAACTACTTTTATTCATAAATACTCTTAATTGAAATATGCCACATATAAAAGTGCTAATCGCTGTGATACTTTATTTTCTTAACAGGGAGCTAAAGGTTTGCGGCTGAACCAAACCATTTATCCTGCTACATTTAGTCCTGCATGCTGGTATAAATTTCAGGTAAAAGACCTAGCATTATATATTGGGGCTACAAGAGGGAAGAAACATATCTGATAATGTTTTATTTTTTATTTATTTTTTATTCACTTGTGATATCAGTCATTGCAATATTTTCTGTGACCATTACTACAATATTTAACAGTTGGAGTGAGCACTCATCAGTCTTTAGAACTACAAGATTATGGATAAGCAACCATTCTTATACTCTATCACACTGCGCCAGTCTCGTACTCTATCAGACTTCACCAATCTCAGGCATTGGGTGGCTCCACATCATAGTAGAGGTAGGATACAAATTGGTGTATTCACTGAGCCCCTGTTTATGGCATAGCATATTTGATGATGGGCTTCTTTAAAGGGCTTAAGTCTTATTTTCTGGATTTCTTTTTCAGGTTTCTGCCAAAATAAAGCTCTTGGTCACTACGGCAGCGCCATTCCTGTAAAATGCATGTTCTAGATGTGCCCAATTTCTTTTTGTCTTTACTGTGAGTTACAGGCAGCCTTCATCTCCTCTAGCTCCCAATATTATTCACTTTCTCACATCATGCCACTCTGGGCTCTCATTGCACGTTATGTTACACACATGCTCACTCAAACTAACTCTATCTTCTTACGAACCTTGTGAAGCATTAACTCAGAGTTCTATGATTGGAAATGCTGTCACTGGAGTTGTTATATAACATTGAGAGAAAACCAACACTACCAATTGCAGATTTCAAATATTAACCTATTTCTTCTGATCTGCTCTCATTTATTTAAAGGGGGACACTATGAACCATAACCACTACAATTCTTAGAGTGGCCCACCATCATGTGTCTACTCTACATATGCATTTTTGTTACTTGTATATTTCCAAAGTTTCTGGTTTTCTATTTTTTTTTTTTATTCTTATTCACTGTTAACCCTTTGGTGAGGGAACTCTTACCAATGAGATTGCAGTAAAATTAGCTATTGGTTACGCTATCTTTTTATTTTATATTTTTAACAGCAGTTATTTATTTTTTATGTGGTATACTGGGCACACCAGGCACAGCATGTAAATGAGTTAACCCCCGCAGTGCAGTATGTATCATGTGCGTGTACAGGAGGAATATGTGGGAGTGAATGTGTTCAAATCATTTCTCTGTAGATGTCTGATGGACAGGTTGCTTGTCCATCTGGAAGTGCAACAAAAATAATTATATTTTTTTAATTACCTCCGCTGCTATATTCAATCCCAGTATACTTTGTAATAGTGTTCACTGAGGTGAGGGAAGGGACAGTTCCATTTTCCAGAACACATTCATGACCCTTTTAAGCATCACTCATGGGTGGCAGTCAGAAGACCGGGACCCCTGTGCCTGATGTAGATGATGAGGAGTCTGGTAGTGGATAAGTAGGGCCTGGTGCAGGGTAACCGCACGCCCCTTGGTGTTGAGCACCAGCGTTTGTGCGGCTACTTACCAAGACCCTGTTGCAGTTTATACGGATGCGATTTGCAGATGATATGCTGAGATGTATCCAGTACTAGAAACAAGGTAAGACTAAGACCAAACAAGAAAACAAGACAAAACTAGTAGAACCCAGAACCAGAGAAGGATAGAAAGCAACCCAGAACATGTACACAATACATAAGGAAAACATTAACAGGGGCAGGAAAGGACAGGACAAAACAAGAGGAGACTTATATAAGGCAAAACAAGAGGAGATTTAACTAAGTACTATATATGTAAAACATTGGAGATTTAGACATACATAAATGGCCAAGATGTATGCAGCCCACCACTGTGCCAAAGTACTTGAAGTACAGTGGGTACTTTCTGCATAGACATGCATGACTAAATAAACAATAATAAAACACACACAGCACTTACGTGCAAGAAAGGGGCAGGGGACTTGGCGCAACTGCCTGCAGGAACCAACTGAAACAAAAGGATTCATGGAAAAGGAAAGGGTGTGGCAACATAAAACAAACATTTAATGGAATCCAAGAGACTAGGAATTCCAGGAACGGAATAAAGGAATGAACCCAGAAAACACAGCATAAAGAAAACCAGACACAGAATAGAAAACCAGAAAAACCAAGAAAAACTAAACAAGAATTGTAAAAAGAGTACTGGATACCAGAAGCCAAGGTCAGACCTCTGAACAGGACAGAGCAGGTCCTGACACATAGGGTGTGTTCAAGGTGGGCTCAAGTAGTTATACGTGGGAGGAGCCATAAAATTTGCATTTGGCCTGAAATCCCTGGTCTTTATGCCTCCTAGCAACGCACCTGAACATAAATACTTACCAAAACAGCTTTTTTTCCCATGTCTTGTAATAGAGCTTCAGCATTTCTCACACAAACACACAACACCCCCCACACACAGCATCTCTCACACACAGCATCTGTCAATCACAAACACACAGAGCACCCCTCACACACAGAGCACTCTTCACACACACACACACACACACAGCATCCCTCACACACATGCAGCTCTACACACAAGGCACCTCACACACACACAGAGCACCCCTGACACACACACACAGCACCTCTCGCACACACCGCACCCCCCCACACACACACACACAGCACCCCCCACACACCCTACACACTCTGCACCCCACACAGAAAGTCATGAACAAAGGAAGAAAGAAATTGGAAAGCAAATACGTCACTTATTGCATTGATATTAACCAGAGCTCATAATTTCCACTAGTCAGAGACAAGTGGAAATTTATCTGTAGGGGTGACTAGAATGAGCTAGGGGATATGTGTTGCAGTGGTGAGTCATATTTAAGGCCTGGCTAGTGTAGCAGATGACTACAGAAGTTCCAGATGTGTCTGAGGCATCCTGTAGCCTCTATCACACTAGTAAGGTAATTGTAACTTAAAATGTTTACGCCCACACAAGTTTTGGGACCCTTGGTAAAACACTGCCCTTAATATAGTAATACGCCTTCATACTCTCCCCAAAATTGCTCATTGCAAACATAATGTAATTGTTCGCTTTCTACACCCACAACCTAACTCATTTACCTTCCCCCACTCCTACCTCCCCACTGAGGAGAGGGTACGGCCATGGGCAACCCTACAGTATACTATTGGAACTCTCCCTACTGTCCTTTTTTTTTTATCTACTTTGTTCCCTCATCTTCGTTCAATTCCTCTTCTTTCGTTCAACTCATCTTCTTTCGTTCTTTTCCCACTTATATTAATCCCCCCTAACAGGCTCTGGTGTACAATACACCGGTTGCCATGATCCCAAGGTTTCTACTTTTTTGAGGTCTCAAGGAGAACATATTGGCTATAGGAGATCATGTACCTTTCTCTCGCACACGTATGAGCTATACAGTCTCTTGCATGGCGTAATTCCTAAAGCACACATCACCTGCTCTCCCTGTATAAAACATAATCAGCTAATTGAGCCGTTTGGATGGCACACATCACCCGAGGCAAAGGGAGGACGAGGGGTAACACGCTGTAAGAATCTAGTACAACAAATTGCATTGACTGATACATATATGAAAAGTGATTCAATGTACATCTTGTGATTCAAAGTATCTCCTCATAAGTTGATTTTTTATTTTATTTTTTTAAACCTGACTGACCACGTACTTATTATTACAAAATGTGCACCTGATGCCTGTACTGTCAATTTTATCATCTGAAAACACATAAAGAATTAAAAAAAAAAAAAAATGTTTAAGCCCTGTGTGCTAACCTGGCTTCTCTTGTAACTAACTGTACTTGTTTAATTGTGATTCCAGATTTGGCCGTATATGTCTACCTGTGAAGCAGACTGCCTTAGACTGAATTTCAAACCAGAATGTACCTTACCATCCCCCAGTAAGTGAGTCAGTAGTATCCAACCAGTACTGTACTTCAACTAAAATTACCATTCTACCAAAGGAATCCTAAATGACATGATACCATGATAATGGCAGGGAAATTTGAATTTAGGATGATAGAGATTTAAAGTACCTGTACACACAGATCAGACTCTGTGCTCCGTCATCATACGTTAATTAAACAGCAAATTGTGTAATTCATTAAGTTTTTGCTTTTAGGTAACAGTTATTACAACATCCCAGTCATAAAAACACATGCCAGTCACTAGGATTTCTCTCCCCGTTCCACAAGACATGCTCTCTGTCTGGAATGAAGTGACACGCTGTTAGTTCTTCCAAGAATCCAATACTACAGGGGCCCAGTCCCACTCTTAAACAACCGTGGCTCCTGACCGAGTCCCTGTTCAGCAATACTGATTGCGTGGCCCTAAATGATTGAGTCACCCAATGAGCAAATTGCTGGGGAACACCAACAGGGAAACGCTGTACTAGAGAATAACAACTAAATACAGGACTTATTCCATCTTTCAACAGCCAGCATAACACAGCACTTATCTGATGTAGTTTGATGGCTGCATATATACATAGATCTATATTTCGTTACAACAAAGAAAAATTGCATTTCTTCAGGTTGACAATATTAATGACAAATATTGCTTCTTAACTAGAATAAACCTGAACTAATCAAGAATCTGAATGTGTGAATCCTTTTCTCATCTGTAACATTATCTACCACTATGTGTAGCTACTACAAATTTACACTTACTGCTAGGCTGCTGCAAGCAGTACATGGTCGCTATAAAACTTATATACCTGTACTACCTGCTAAAGGGCACAACCTCTGGATACCCACTAAGATAGTGTATCCTTTTATGAGACATATAACCCATATTCAGTAAAAAAAATTAAAAAAAAATTTGTTGGGTGGGTGGGAGCGCGTAAAACTTGAAGATGTGCAGACAATATCATACAATAATATTTCATGTTTCTAAGCTCTACCAAAATACTACCAAAGAACCTCTCACATACTTTGTGTGTGTGAGGTTGCATATCGCCAAACAAATAAGGAATTCCCACTGAACATGATGCTTGTTGTCTTGTAGTCTTTAGCTAGTGCAACAAAATCACTGAGGGTTTAGGAGAGTACAATGGGGAAAAGTGATAGCATGAAGATTATATCTATCTATCAGGGCTATTCTTTATGAGAAAGGATTAATAATGAAAATTCTAAGTGAATTGGAAATTTAAGAACTGGAAAAATGATCTAACTTGGCTATGCTTCCAGTTCCGATTGGACTACTTTGGCCTTACATATGAAATTCACCTTGAATTCTCACTTTAGTAAATAATCTAAACGTCAGTGTGTGTATATGTAATTTTCTAAATTTTCTTCTAAAACCTCAGATTCTAGGCAGAAAATTCTGCCTAGAAGTTAATAAAGCACAGGACCTGAAACAGACACCCCCATGCCCCACCTGTGGGCATCGGGCGAAGGCTTCAAATGAAAGAATGTCAAGTTTTCTGTATTACATTAGCCATCGCTAGTGGAAATCAGGCTGCTTTCTGTAAATTAAGAGACTTTGTCTGTGGAAACTCCCGTGCTTTCGCTGGATCCTCCATATACATCAGGGTTGTAATCTATAACCAAAAGCTGCCCATTAACTAGCCTTTTATTACAGCGAGCAGCTACTGGATTCATGCTGTTTAGCAGACATGCCCCATCCCATAGTAATACACTTCTCTATACTAATGTGGGGTGTTTTGAGTATTTTTCTATTTTTGAGCATTTGTTTTAAGTTTTTTTTTCTTTTACAAATAGTGCTACTAGCAGGCAAATAGTCAAAGGATTTAGACCATTTATCAAGGATTATGTCCTCGATAAATGGCATAAAATTGCTGATTCCAATATTGTTAAGGCTAAGTATACTATTTTTCAAAAATCTATATTATTCAAAGTGATATATAGCTGCGCCAGATAAACCTTTAAGGGAGGAAATTAAATCAATTCAAATAGGTAAAATGGTTATCAGGTGACAATAAACCTTTCATCTGGATTGTAATGAGGGCTTATATGCCTATGAAATCTTTGGCTTTGTGCAAGTAGACCTAGAAGAATTGATGCAGTTTTAAAGGGAAAGAGTGGTCCATATTATTTTGATATATATTTTTCTTCTGTTTTATTCTGATATGGGTAATTATAAAAATAAATCATAAACCTTGCTATTTTTGAAAGCATTCTTATTTGACAGAATTTTTGAACACCTGCCTAACACACAGTAATGTATATAAACATGTTGTGTTACCTTGCAGTCTCTCCAGGTCCATAAAAGTAGTTCACTTGTGTGACATGTTCTCTTCTGCATTCTTTGGACTTTGCTGATACTTGACTGAAGTTGCTGGCATAAAAGCAGCAAAGTGTGTACATCAAGGAACTAATTGTGTTGCACTTACCTTTGTGGAGATGTATCACTGTATGATTTAAGGATTTTTTTAAAACAATACAGCCTTCAGTGTATATTTATTATTGGGGTGCATATAAGTAGGTGAGAGAGTTGTCATAGGTTAGGCTGTAAGTAACTGCAGTTATCTGACTCACACACGGTTTGTCCATGTATATGATGGGAGTTGCAGTCTAACAGCTATCGTAATGGAAAAAAAAAAAAAGGATTGCAGAGAGGCATACTTAGAACAGGTCTAAATTGCTGCGCACGTGCATTAGACCTGCCCACAGGAAAGCCTTATTCATTTCCCCAAAACCCTCTAGGTTAATTCAAATGTTATTGGCAGCTGGCAGGTAAACAATTCGTCATACTTGGATTTCTTCCAAGAAGCCAACTATGATATAATGCAAAATTAAATTGTGCTCACATTTGACTTGTTCGAAGCCTTCCAGGTCAGGGAATGTAGGGTTTGATAATTTCCTCAAGATTGGGAGTCGTACATATAATCTTTAGATACGCATAATAAAACCCTTGTACATTGCACATTTCAACTTACCAGTTTGTATTTTTTAAGATTACCCTGGTTTAACTAATAGTGGAGTGGAATAGGGTAAATTTAACGCTTTGATTTGGCAACTGTTTTCATATGGAACCGATTTTGATTATGTTGTACTGAATGTCCGTTTAATTAACTTCACCGTTTGTGTTTCTATTAATGACGTTGACCTTGGTAATATTTCTTTAGATGTCTGATTATGTAATCATGATTAAGGAACAGCGCACACACAAAACTATAGTTTAAAAAAAAAAAAAAAATGAAATGTAGAATTCAACACAGCTGTATTTAGTTCTATTGTTGAACGGAGTACCTCCAATTTGGATCTCTGTCAGTCATTGTTATTAATTCTTGTGAATTGTTCATCTGTGAGTCAGCAGAGAGAGAGAATACAGAGTGAAGAAACAAAATATTTGTGTTTTACATCCTCCAATATATCGTGTGCCTTGGTGGTGCCACGAATGAGCTGGATTGTAATGTAATTTGCAAAATGTACAATGTACATTTAAAAGAAAACAGTACCCCATGACCTAGGTATTAAACGCACAACCAAGCAGTTAGAACACACTCATGCGTGACCTCACTCTCTACCTAGGATTTTATGCATGTTATAATTAATGAACATTGTGCTGAAAATTGTGGAATGCATTATGTAACCAACACTGTAACTTTCTACCCTCTCATACGATGCGTATGCTGAACCTTATATAAGTCTCATGCACGCAAAAATAAAGAACAAAAAAAAAAAGGAAAACCATACCTTATGGAAAAAAAGGTTAACACATTTTATTGGTGATTTGTAATGTGTAATTTCAATGTGACTGTTCCTCTTTAAGGATAATTACTATCTCTTAGTGTATTTGTTTTGCCTGTACATTAAACCATATATCTGACTTCAAATTAAAAAAAAAAATGCAGTTTAAAATTTCACAAGGCAACCTAAAATCGTCTATCTCGGCAAAGAAATATGGGTATACAGTTCCACCACCATATGGCAATATTGTGTTAAGCCAACAACTACACCACAGTACCCCAATATCAGTGGGTCCTACACTAATTCCAACATGGGAGACAAATGAAAGAGAGAGAATGCTAAATTAACTAAAGTTTCTTTAATTACTCTTGTAAAATGTAAAACTTGATTTATGTGTGCGCACTGTTCCTTAATCTGTATTTTGTGTACATTTTAGCCTCTGTTGCAGCACCATTGCAGAGAAATGCATGTTCAGCGTGTGCCCCCAGTTCCATTTTTTCTGTTTATGTAATTCCTGCGCCTGCTTTCATTTGTTTAAATGTAATGAAGTGTTTGAATACAAAATACTAGAATACCTGCTCAGAAGGTATTTTTCTATCTTGCAGAGCCAGTGAAACGGATGTATATGTCCTGTATCGCGGCTCCTGTTACCCTTCTCTTCTTTGGTTGTGTCCTCCTACTGTGCTGCTTGTGCGGTAAGTGCTTTTGTGTATTTTGGTGCAATATGACTTCAGAAGTACTTTATGTAGCAGTGAACAAGGGGGAAAGAGGCTGGGTCAAATGAAAGTATTGTCTGTCAATCCGGGCATGACTGGAATATAGTGGCAATCAGATGGTATACCTGCATAGTATGTGCAGGACAATCTCATTTGGTCATTTTAGGAGAGAGACCTAGATGCCACCCTCTTAGCTTTGGACAAAAAAAAATAGAGCTATACTCCAGAGATCAAACAAAAGAAAAAGCAGGACCGCGCCCAAGATAGTAATATATGAAATAATGTACGTACACAAATAATTTTCTTCTTTTCAAATGGTTCACGTATAACCTCAAAGATAAAAACAGAGAGGAAACATAATAGTGCAGTATGGTTTGGTAAATAGGTGAAGTTGTAGAGTGAATTAGAGTAATATACGCTCACATTTGATAGAGCTAACCAGGAGCTCTACCGTAATTCACATGGACAGAACAATCCCCGTCTAAGGATCTATGTGGAAGCGAATTACTCCAATATTCCAAAAAGGCGGCAATATAAAAGACATAAAAGGAAACTCCAATAGTGCAGTATATTCTGATATTAATAAAGAAAAATAAAATAAAGAATGTGGTACTCCCATTTACTAGAGCAGAAACGTGCTCTAGTATACTCAGCTCTTCAGAAGTGTGTGATAGGTGAAATGCGTTAAGTGGGACTTTTTTTATGGCCACCTTGTTTTTGTTTTATTTATATGTCATTAAATAGTGTATTTTAAAGCTATGTACATCTATTTATTTTGTATCCAACACTTTACTTACTTGTCATCATATCCTCTGGTGGGGACTATACCACCTAAGCTGAGTATACTAGAGCAAGTTTCTGCTCTAGTAAATGTGAGTACCACATTCTTTATTTTGTTTTCTTTTGTTTGAATTCTTTTTTCACAAGGTTGGGAATCCTTGTACTGGTTACCGCTGCCTACAAATTATTTTATATTTAATATTGGAGCGAGCACCTATCACATTCTTTTCTATATCTGTTATACTCCAGAAATCCAGCATTTAGCATTGTGGTAGGGCAGGAAAATACTAAGTGCAAGTTGTGACTAAGGGAAGGAAACCAATGAAATTCAATCTGAGTCAATTGACCTAGCGATTGGGGCGTCTGTGAGTAAAAGACCTTTCAGACTTAGAGAATAAATCTAGCATTGGTGGCATGAGATTAGGGGCTAATGATAAGCCACACTGTGACCTTGAGGTTTAGGGTGCTGTAGTGCCTGGAAATCAACTTTGTTTTCCGGGCACTATATTTTCCCTTTAAGATGTCCTTGGGACCAAGGAGACTGAAAGACTAAGATACAATCTGTGTAATTGTATAATTGACCAATACACTGAAACTACGATTAACTACTATTAGCATTGAGGGTTCCCAATGTTTTATTTGTATTTTAAGGATAAACATTGAGCATCATGATCAAATTTTATTGGATTTGGAAATTTACTTGAGTTGTGAACGTTTTTTTTTTTGTTTATTTGTTTGTTTTTTTACTGGGTCCCTAAAGACTTTTAAACTTTGCCGTCATCATAGGTTGTTCCCTAAAGGCCTCTCTCTGTCCCTTAAGCTGTTAAATGCATTGGTCATTGCATTTTGGAAAAATATGTTTTTTTTTTAAATAAAGAAGAGTAGGAAATAAACAACTATTTTGGCTGCTTTTTATTGGCTAGATGGATAATATTAATTGTAAAAATATTTTAAAACTGTTGAGCAGTTTAGAAAATATCAATACAATATATAGACATCTTTGCTTCCCTAAACGAGAATTGGCACTCCAGGTATCTCCTATTTAACCAAGCTCAAAATATACAATCCTTCCTTTTAAACGTGCAGCCAAGGCTGGTCCCTCTCTCCTGCTCTGACTGTATATTACTGACTTCTTATTATTTTGTTTTATTTTATATTAGCTATATAGTGTATGAAAATGGATGTGAAAAATACAGCATAAAGTGTCCTTTTAATGAAAATGTGTTTTTTTTCATAGAAAGTAAAGGCACAACACTGGGCTTTACTTCTTTAAATTAAATTTTCCTTTTAAAAACATGCATATTCATGAGTATTTTCTAAGCACAATTTTGCTGAATGTCTACATCATAATTCTTAATTCTTTCTCTTTTTTTTTCTCTCTTCTTTTAGGTAAAATAACTCCTCCCCCTCTTCCTCCTCCTCCCACTCCTCCTCCTCCTCTTCCCCACATTAAGAAAGTTTGGCTAATTTACTCCGCTGATCACACTCGCTATGTGAATGTGGTAATAAAATTTGCAGATTTTTTAAGGGGGGCATGGGGCATGGAAGTGATAGTAGACCGTCTACATGAAGGTGAAATTGCAGAGGAAGGCCATATGACCTGGCTGTGTCATCAGAAGAAGATGATTGAGGACTCAGATGGTTCCATCCTGGTTCTTTGTTCGCGTGGAACACGAGAAAAGTGGAATGCCAGGCTGACTACAGATAAACAAAGAGTAACTCTGAGAGAGGACAGAGAGTTAAAGGATCTCTTTACACCAGCTATCACCATTATCAGCGCTGATTTCCAGAATGGTTTGCATAATGAACAATATATCATAGCATATTTTGAGGAACTGAGTGATTTACAGGACATCCCTTCATTATTCAACAGCTGCCTCAAGTATAATCTCGTAAGGGATCTGCAGGATATCTTCTTTCGTATACAGAGGAAGGAGAGACATTGTCCCAGAGCACAGTATGACGTTCCACAGGAAGGGGCTAAAGGTTATGAAAACCTGAGAAAAGCTTTGAAGAGGTGCCAGGCCTGGCAGGAAAAGCATTTGAATTGGTTTAATGAAGAGTGTTTACCAAACCTAGCCAAAGAAGATGAAAGTGAAACGGAGCAAGAAGAAGGGAGTGATACTATTAGGTGTAGGCCTCTTCTTTGTGATGATGAACCTTGCATCTCCAAAATAACACCAATCATCAATGATGCTGATGTTTCCATGAAAGTGGAGCCTGTAACAGTAACTGGGCCTCCAAGCATTCATGTGGAACTAAACTTATCTGAAGGCAGATCTTCTTTACAAACACTGCAGCCAATTACAGCGTCTGAAGTTGTGTCAACTTATATTCAGGAACCTTGCTTGGAAGTCCATGTAGAGGATCCGGGTATATTTGCCAATCAGGATTCATTTGTGGAACTAGATCAAACCTCTTCCATTGATGTAGAGGCAGCAGCACTGAGGTTCCTCCAATTGTCCCAACCAGGCATTCTGGAGCAATATATGTCTATACACAAGCCAAGTAAAGAATCCCAAGATGAGGGCTACGCTACTTGGAATAACCGGCTGGAGCATCATTCAGTTCAGGATGGCTAGTCCATCAGGCAAAAGAATGGATCCACAGGTCAAGGATACAGGTTTTTTGTCTTCAAAATGGTTCCCCATCAGGTCCCAATACCTGATGATTTAACTGGCCTCACATTATACACTATAACTCAGAAAGGAAATATTGAAATCCAGTAACCCAGGGTTAAGAGTGGAGAGGTATTGATAATCAAATATAAGCCACGTGGCAAAACATAAATGTTAATCAGGCTATAGGTCTGTGTATGTAGCAAACATGATCTACATTAACCAAGTTTAGCTTGAGCTATGCAGTAGTAACAACTCGATAAACAAAGAAGCCAGGGGTCCAGGCTGGAGAATGCAGGAAGTAGAACAGCAAGCGAGTCACAACTGGAGTTCAGGAGAGTAGGAAGCACTGCTACAAGTCAACTAGCAGCTAAACCACATAATCATAAAATGTGAATGGAAGAGTAACTTTATAAAGGTTTGTAACAGGACTACTGATTAGCGAAAGAGTTGGAACATATAGTTTCAGAGACATTTTACCACCTAAAAACTGAGGCTATATGTCTTTCCTCCTCCCCACCATTGTATTCCATCCTCCAGCATGTTTTCCCATTGTTGTTCTTACCCCTTTCCTGCCTCTCCTCCACGATAACTCCCTCATCTACTCCATTTCTCTCTCCACCCATCTTCCGTGCCCTCTCTCCAGAAAATGTTCCCCTTTTCTTTTTTTTCCTCCTCTTTTATATTAAGACTTTTAGTTTTTCTCCCCCATCTTTCTTATATGCTACCTTCCTCCCTTTTCTATTACCGTCTCCACCTTTTGTCTGTGCTCTCTGGAATTTTCTCCCATGTTCTTTTTCCCTCCCACTACATGCTTCCACCTATTGTTTCCTCCCCCTTCCTAACACCTCTGCTACTTTTGCCTGTCACTGTTTTTCATTACTCTATGGCTATTTTTTCTTACTTTATCACCATTGAAGGGTCAGATTTAAAGCCTCACCTTTTATGCCATGCTGCCAGATTGGATGGTGGTGCATCTTATTAATGGCTCAGATAACTGTACAGCTCATTACTGTGAGGCTCCTTGATATATTCCTGTGAGCACTATCGCAGTGATGCTCTGTGATATACTTAGTATTGCAATGGAGCTCTGAAATTCACTCGTACACACAGCACACTACTGTATTACAGGAAGCTTAGTGAGACAGTCTAGCAGACTGCAAGTAATGTGAATTTTATTGCTGTATCTTATTCCCCATCCCTGGCACCTAAATTAATAACACATCCCAATGGCATTTAAAGCAGCACTGTTACCGTCCCATGCAAAATTAGTATTTCATAAAGGCAGAGTCTTTTTGACATACTCACGTTGACTGTGTTGGAAATTGACTGAAATTCTAGCCCAGTCAATAGATATACTGAGATGTTTTAGTATTTTTCTTATACTCGACTAAAAGGCAGTGCTACCTTTTGTCAAACCCTCAGCCGTCACTATTAGCGACTGAGGGGGGAAAGGCTCTGTCTAGGGAGGATCCCGTGGTCTTGTGGTAACCTGCATACACTTTGGTGTTTTACTCTTGCACAGGGTATTAAGGTGAAGTGCCAGTAGCTGAAGAGGACCTTCAGGAAGATGAAATTGTATCACTTGCTCCGTACACAGGTGTTGCATCACCAGTAAACACTCGCAAAAATACAGCCACACAGATATATATACAGGTATATACACTAGTAGGCACAATTTTAGGTAATAGTCAAGCACACGCTCAGATAAAAAAAAAACATGCATAGAGACATAGGTTCAATCAAAATCATCACATACATATGGGCACACATGCCCAGATACACACATAGACATGTCAGACACAGATACACAAACGTCCCTCATACAGACAGATACATATTCCCACACAAGTTAATGGTGCCGATTATGTTTGAAGGGTGTCTGTGATGTGTGTAGACGGAATATACAGTATTGTGTGGAAGGAGAGACTGATTCTGGTGTTTTGTGAATGAGAAAGTTATGTGCCATCCCTCCCAAAAAAGTTTTTACCTCGCCTTCCCCCCCTTAGATCACTCACTCCCTGCTAGTTAATTCTGTGTGGTCGCCTGGGATGCAGTTGCAGATCGCTGTAAGAGCTCACAATGGTCTGGAACAGCCTGGATGAATCATACTAATGACAGGGTAACCCTGTTACAGTGTTCTGATCCACTCAGAAGAATTGGTTTGCAGAGAATCACGGACCGTAATCTGTAACTATTAGAAGTGCAGACTGTACACTCCTTCATGTCTCCCTTTAGCACTATCTGCCTGGCAACCCCTAAAGGAGTGCTGGCACACTCTAGGGACCACTTCTTTAATATTAAGTGTTAGAACGGTATGCATTATATTTATGGACATTAACTTGGGAAGCCTTGTTCAGAAAATACAGAAATATAAAGGAAGGGCAAGGGTGCAAGGGGATGCTGACAGTTTGGTACGGACCAAGTGAGTCTCAACCAATCATGACAAGAGGGTGAGTTACTATAGAGTCCTTGCTAAATTTTGTGGTAAATGATGTTTATTATAAAAATTTATTAAATATGCTGTTAACTTCTTCTTTTTTTTTATGTAAAAAAAACTACAATGATGTACATAACATTACTGTTGTGGTTGTGTTAAATTTATTTTTCCCAATTATTTCCAACTTTGTCCATATGTCAGGGGCCATGCCTACATTAAGACTGGCCCTGTCTTTTTTTCCCCCACATTGAACTTTACTGTGCCCACAATACAAGGTCTGCCTCAACTGGCTTTGAGTAGCAGTGCCTACAGATACCTGTACACTGCATTTTCATATTTTTAGAAAAACTTAGAACACTATAGGGTACAAATGTGTATTCCTGACCCCCAAATTGTTAAAAACACATTGGGTGACTGCCCCACTTATCCCATTTAAAAGGGTTAAAATGTATATGACTCTGTCAGAATTGACAATCTCAGTCAATCCAATGCTTTCTCATAGGAAAGCATTGGGAGGCTAATGCACACACTCTGCACTGCACCAATCAGCATCTCCTCATAGAGATGCATTTAATCAATTCATCTCTATGGGGGGTATTTAGTGTGACGCTGAATTCCAGTTCAGTTCACTTCCAGTGTCCCCATGTCTCCCAGCCAGTGTCCCTAGTATCTCAGTGTCCGAATTTCTTCCAGTGTCCCCGGTGTCTCTCAGTGTCCGTAGTGTGCCAGTGTCCCTAGTATCTTAGTGTGTACTAGCCTCTCAGAGTCCCCTAGTGTCTCAGTGTCCCCATGTTTCCCAGTGAGTGTCCCCACATCTCCCAGTGAGTGTCCCCCTATGTATCTCAGTGTCCGTAGCGTCCCAGAGTCCACTAGTATCCCAATGTCCCCCAGTGCACCCAAGTGTCTCATAGTATAAAATAAAAAAATATCAGGCACTCACTATGATAGATTTAAGCAGGTTTATTGGACACTGTAATGTTTTGACCTGTATCCAGGTCTTTATCAAGTCTCCAGTGTCCCCCAGTCCCCAAGTCTCCATTGTGCCAGTGTTCCATAGTATCTCAGTCTCCCCATGTCTCCCAGTGTCCCAATGTCTCTCAGTGTCCCCTAGTGTCCTAGTGACACTGGAATACATGGGGACACAGACACTAAGGGATACTGGAAGACATGGGGACACAGACATGCCCCTTTTTGGGGTATGTTCTCCCATTTCAGCAGTTTTGTTTATGTGATTTGGGTCAGTGGCACACCCTTTTATCCCGTCGATAGACTTCCTGCTTCACTGGACAATGCTGTTAGGGGGTATGCATTTACTTAAAAGATGAAAGCGTGAGATTAGCATAGGGTATGTGCTTTCTCATAGCTACATCCTATGAGTTTCCCTCCAGCACCATCTCCATCAGATACATGACGCTTGGGAGGTAGGAATGTTTTAATGTTTTTGGTCAATAAGATTTGTAATTAGGCCCATCATAATTGTCAGCACCAGGCTCACTGGGCTCTTAATCTGGCCCTGCAATGTGGGTTTTGTTGTACTCCGCAGATGTAGCTGAACACAATATGGGGCTCTGTACAGAAGTAGCCCACACCAGCTTTACTAAATACACATTAAAAAAAGACTTGTTATATGTGTACATGCCAAAATAGAGAAAAAAATAATATTTTCTACAATCTTTAGCAGAAATCGGCAATGAAATGGCTACGTAAAAAGTGTCAAAATAACCTTAGGTAAATAGCCTGTGATGTCTAATTTATATAAATATACACTTTGGTGGTGCAATTTTGTTTTTTTGTGATGGCTACTAAACTTACAATACAAACATACCAACTTCTAAAATAGTTTCACATTGACATTTTATTTTATTCCTTGTATTTTGTGACCTGTAACTTTAAAAAAAAAAAAAAATTGTATACATATTATGTGCTCTATAAAGGAAGACACCTAAATTAATTTATTTTGAATAACTTTTCCTAAGCGTGCAGCTATGACGTTCAGGGTCTTCACGCTTTGCATGGAGACGTTGGACTTTCCCCATAGAAATGCATTGATTCACTGTATCTCTATGAGGAGATGCTGATTGCCCAAGCCGGTGTCTGGTCCCACCCCACCTCCTTAATGATCTCAGTCAATCCAATGCTTTTTATTACCTTTTAAGGGGAGGTTGGGGGTCGGAGCAAACCACCTTAATGGTGGTTTTAACACTACAGGGTCAGGAGTATCTTACATAATTGGAAAAGGCCATAATGCAAGGAAACTGCACAGTCTCTTGTGGGCTCATTATACAAATTGCTATATAATTTAGAGCATTGAGACATTTCATAAAAGAGGAACTTTAAATGAGGTTGCAAGAGAATTTATTTGCTCAAAAGTACTTTTCTATGAGAAGGCTAATAAAACGTAGACACTTCTTGCTAGAGCGCTGAGGTCTAGACAACTTTCAAAACTGATCACAACAATAAAAAAACCATGAAGGTTAATTAGTCAATTCACCACAAGAAATCAATAAAGTTTACAACTATTACTCAGAACATTTTCAAAACAATTTTTATTGTGAATATCAACATAATATCAACAGCATAGAAGCAGGCATGGGTCATCAACAATGACAAAAGAGATGTTCAATCAGGTACATTCACAATCTTATGTTTTCCTCAACATAAACAAATAAAACAAAAATATGTTTTCACAAAACACAATAGGCCATTGATAACTTGCCAAAATGTGGCTGTAAAAAGTTTACTCAGAACATTTTAACTGCAGGGAGTAATTGTATAAGGCTAACGCTCAGTACATGGAAGCTGTTGAATCATTTATATTGAAATCCACTGTGCCGAGACACTGGAGGGACCTTTTGCACTCACTAGGCAATCTGATCACTAAAGAAGAGATTAATATAGCAATATCATCCCTAAAATGAAGCAAGGCACCCGGACCATATGGTTTTGATGGGAGCTAGTATCAAGTATTTATGGACGAACTGATCCCTCATTTGGATTCACTGTTTACCAACCTGATGAAGGGAGAGTTACCTACTGCATATACAGCACCTACAGACACTAGTGCCATGGGCAAGATTGGAGCCATTCTTGCAAAGTAGTGGTACGAGGCAGGGATGTCCCTTGTCCACTGTCCACTCTTATTTTTCGGAGTTTAAAATAAATTTAGATAAATTGATAGCAATGCCTTTCAACTTGTCCACTGCTGACATGACATACATAGTGTCTACCTATAATTTGAAATAATGCAGAGCTCCATTAAAGATTTGGGAATCACCTTGACAGCTGATCCAAATAGATTATACCAGGAAAACTCTTCCACCTTGATTAGGATACTGATAAATGACCAAGACAAATGGACAAATAAATAGGACAGGCAATTAGGCAGGATTTATACTATAAAAATGAATACATTTTGCCCAGAATACTTTTTCTCTTCCAAGCGCTCCCAGTAGTAGTGAATAAAATGGACTTAGCCCATTTGCAAAGGGCACTTGACCAATTTATTTGGCAATATTAACATAATTTCCAAGAATCTTCTATATCACCCTAGAAAGAGTACAGGATTCACGTATAAATGTTTTATAACTCTCATTATATTTTTATACTTCTAAACTAAATTTTACAACATATATGGCAATCATGCCCTTTGTATAACTTTGTAGTCATAGTAGAAATTTATACGACAAGTAGAAACACTTATTTATGCACCTGTACAAATAATTCTGGAGCCTCCCTAATATTGCAAACTCAGTACTGAATATCTAGCATTGAAAAAATGACATAATTAGTTTTATAGACTAGATGAATAGTCTCTATTGGATAACCATTTTTCCCAGAAATTACAGGTTTGCTAAAAATGTTTTTATTTGTTATTGGTAACCGTCACTTAAACAAAGCAGTTGATGCACCAAGGACAGTCCACAAAAAAACAAGAAACATTTTATGGTGAGGGGGCTGTCACGGGTGGCGGTACGGAGACCGGGACCCCTGAGCGCCTGATGGTGGGAGTCTCAGCGTAGTAATGGACTATCAGGGCCTGGTGCAGGGTAACCACACGCCCCCTGGTGTTGAGCACCAGTGTTTGTGCGGCCACATACCAGGGCCCTGATGCAGATTCTGCGGATCTCAAGAGCTAAATGATATGCAGACCTCCCAGGAACTGGATAGGGAGGCTCTGTAGCAGATATGTATCCAGTACAGAAACAAGGCAATACTAGAATAGACACCAAACAAGAAAACAAGACAAGACTAGACGAAACCAAAACCGGAGCAGGACAGAAAACAGAACCGGGAACATGTACACAAGACATGAGGGAAACATGAACAGGGCAGGACAGGACTGTACATGAACTGGGAATACAAGACAAAATAAAACAAGACCAGAGATGCAAGGCAAAACAAGAGGAGACAAAACTAAGTACTATATATGTAAAAGATTGGAGATTTAGACATACATAAATGGCCAAGATGTATGCAGTCCACCAACTGCGGCAAAGTACTCAAATTACGGTGGGTTCCTACCTGCCTAGATATGCATGACTAAATAAACAGTAATAAAACACACACAGCACTTACCTGCAAGAAAAAGGCAGAGGACTTGTAGCAACTGCCTGCAGGAACGAACTGAAACAAAAGGATTCATGGAAAAGGAACGGGTGTGGCAACAAAAACCAAACATTTAAAGGAATCCAAGAGACTGGGAATTCCAAGAACGGAATACATGAATGAACCCAGAAAACCCAGCATAAAGAAAACCTGACATGGAATAGAAAACCAGAAAAAAACAAGGAAAACTAAACAAGAATTGTAAAAAGAGTACTGGATACCAGAAGCAAAGGCCAGACATCTCCGCAGAACAGGATATGACAGGGGCAGAGCCAGCCTAAACAAGAAAGCTGCACATTGCTTATATTCCATTATAACGGGCAGATTAAGAAACCCCACTCTCTGGCCCTTTTGCAGCAATTTCGGCGCACCAACAAATAGGGGGAAAAAAATACCGGGCAGATCCCAGCTCTGGGTTCGGAGATATCGGAGTTTGTATGCAGCAGTCCCAGAGGCCTATCCATATTTGGTTAGATTTCAATCTCATTCAGTTTATAAAGTTAAAGGAATACTCATACATTAAAAATAAATGCATTTCTAACTTTTGAATGGTTCTGTTTTATTTTAGATGTAGCCCCCTGAGTTACTTCCCACCAATCCAGCAGCAAAACAATATTTTCGCTGCAGGTCAGCTCCATACTAGCATATCCAATGCTTCTGATAAAGAAGTATTAGGAGACAGGCCATCAATGCTTCTCAGCACAAACACACCTCTGTGAGAAGCCTTCACTTTCACTTTGGAGTGTTGGGGTTATAAATCCAACCAAATGAGACAATGGAGACATGCTGTTAACACCAAACCACTTCAGAAAGCTAAAGTGCATAAGGAGTTTGGAATGTACCTTTATTTTTTTTTGTCATAAAGTGTAATAATTATTTAAGACATGGCAAATAAGCATCCCATTATCCTAACCTAATACACTTTTCTTGTCCTTTAAATAGATGTAACCAAATCAAACCAGGAGGTGGAATTAATTTTTAGTAGTACAGAAACATTGTGTCATTACTTAGGCCTTTGCCAAACTGTTGAAAGCTCTCACTCAAAGCACCAAAACAGATTTAGCCTAATGAAGTGGTTTGATGTATAGATCATGCCCCTGCAGTCTCCCTGATCAGTTCTCTGCTATTTAATAGTTAAATCAATCACTTTGTTGAAGCAGCCCTAGCAACACCTCCCATGGCTGAGACTCACACAATGTCCCTACACACAAAAAGAGATATAATTTAAAAAAACTGCATTAAACTGTGTTTAATTTAGAATTTATCTCTTATCTCCTTTTCTATTAATTGTCTGCTAGCGCCTGTAAGAGCCTCATGTTTGTGATTAAAGTTAAACACAATGTGCTGTAAGATCTGATTGAAAACAAAACCATTTTTGCCTGTGAGCTGTATCGACTCACACAATGTCCCTACACACAAAAAGAGATATAATTTAAAAAAACTGCATTAAACTGTGTTTAATTTAGAATTTATCTCTTATCTCCTTTTCTATTAATTGTCTGCTAGCGCCTGTAAGAGCCTCATGTTTGTGATTAAAGTTAAACACAATGTGCTGTAAGATCTGATTGAAAACAAAACCATTTTTGCCTGTGAGCTGTATCAGACACAAGGGGAGGTTTGGTTATGGCTGCATAAACAGAAGTAATTTATCTTTTAAATTGCAGAGAATTGGGCAGTGAAGCTGCAGGAGTAAGGTCTATACCAAGGGTAGGGAACCTTGGGCACTCGATATGTTGTGGACTAAATCTCAAGGAATGCTATTACAGACATAATACTGGCAAAGCATCAGGGGAAATGTAATCCACAACATCAAGTGCCAAAGGTTGTCTACCTCTGATACTCCAGAATTGCTTCATTAAGCTAAAGTTGTTTTAACATTTAAAGTATCCTATTACATTTTGCTGAAAATTCTAACAGAAGAGGTTACCATCACTTCCAATACTTGCTTCAGTAAAAATTGGGTCATGGGTGGGTATGGCTTATCAAGAAAATAATGCTGCTAACAAACTTGAAAAATACTATCACTTTTCTTTACTGTCGATTTTCTTCAGGCCTGTTCTATATTTTTCAGATTATGACATTTTACTCTCTAGAACTTTACATGTAAGTCTCTACTGTTGTGGTCTACTTTTCTAATTTTAGAACCTCCTATCTAGTCCTCTACTTTTATAGCAACTAACATTTTAATAATCTTTGGTTCTTGACACTGAGGTATAGGAATTACCTTTGTTTGGTACTTTACTCAGGTTTCTAGAACCTTCTTTAGATCTATACTTTTTTCCCCCTTCATTTTCTATTATCCTATTTTGTACTAATCCTTTACTCGGTGGTCTCTGGCCAGTTTGAAAACTGCTTTTAAATACATTGTTAAGAGATCGGGACATCTTTGAGAAAATGAAAATGCAAATCATATGAAGAAGAAGATAACACAAACTCAGGCTGAGCAAGGATTTATTTGACACCATCTTCCTCAGGATTTATCACATATTTTATCACATAACACACCAAATAAATAAACCCCATTTAATTACTACCAACATACAGTATTACAATCATGGAGGGGCGAGAGTCATAAATGAAAAGAGAAGCTTTTGTTTGGTTCAGTTCAAAATTCCTGGTGAACATCTTAGCTCAAATTAAAAGCAAGGAGCAAATACCATCTATAATGTTGTACGGCCATCCTAAAAAACATATGCCTTGCAGGTTTAAATAATAAAGCACAAACATTTTATAATTTCAAATTACAGGCAATTTGTATTTTGTTCTCCCTAGTTAACTTTTTCTGTCCCATTATATGGTATGAAGTCAATATCAACCACTGCCCATCAATTTTTTGTCAAATGACTATTTTCAAAAATTCTTTAGAATCCTGTAGCTGTAACATGGTTTTTACATTTTATTTGGTGTTTAAATGCATTTTTTTGATAGCCATTATAGTATTGTAGAGCAAAAGACATAGGTTATAAGAGCTGCAGTTCTATACAAATCCAGTGCTAGTGACTAATATTTGGCAATTGGACTTGAACCAAACAAAAACGGTGTTTACACAATAGAATAGTTATTTCTTCTATATTACACATAATGTCTTATAACGGTTAAAAAATAAAACTTTAATTATTCACTAGTACATTACAAGCATGCACTGTGCACAATGTATACCTCTGCATTGATGTATTTAGTAAATTAAACATTAATGTTGTACCCTAATCCAATCATGACGACTGTTCAATTAGAAATATTACAAGGTAAGTAAGGTTGTGCACTGTAGATTAAAAACCCTGAAGTACAGCCCTTTTTTGTTTTTACCAGGTTTGTGAGATAAATCCTGAGTGTGTTGTTGCATTGACAATCAGATATACCAATGGGAATTGTCCAGAGGACAGCCCTTTAACAGAAGATATTTCATTTTTCAGATGCACCACGGTAAAAACTTAATCAAGTAACACATTACATATAGTATTAAAGGCTGTATTAATGTTACAAAACAAATATTACTAAACTCAGCATAATGCTTATGGTGAACTGCTGAAGTTAGCATATTAATTCTACAGAGTTCAGCAGTGCTTGTAGTGTAGGAATAATAGGTATATGTGTTAAATACTTAACTCATTCATGACAGATGAATTGCAGGCATGCATGAATAGAATAGGATTTGACTAAACTGATAGAATGTTGACAAATAAGGTTCAAATGAAGAGAATGCCAAGTTGCCCTTTATATTTAACATCAGCACCTATTTTATTAATGAAGCAGATGCTGATACAGTCCGAGCAGTTTCCACTTAGCCCAAACTTTAGTTAAAGGGACACTCCACTGCACAAATACTAAATAAATAAAAATCACCATTTAAATGCATGTATTTAATTATGCATTTTTTATTGGAGTTATATCTAAAAACAGCTTGCAGAAACTGCAGTTCTCTTGTCTGCTGCCTTTGCAAGCCCTCCCCTCCTAACGCATCCCAGACTTTCTGTGGCTGTCCAATCACAAACATCTCAATGCCATTCAATGAGAAGTCTTTGCTAGGCAGGTGCTATAGGCCATTGTTGCCTCTTGAGTTTAGGGCAACTAAACTAACCAAACCAGGAAATAACATGACCTTTTGTCTGATTGAAAAGCCAAGGGGTGTAACCATTAAGATCTGAGTTTTTACGTTTTCTGCAAAAGACTGCCATGGTCTAGAACATGGCAGTCTTTTGCAAAAAACTTAAAAACGTGTCAAATTCTATTTAAATCTGCACTTTTTCAAAAGTGAAAATATATGACACACTTTTCAAATAACGCTTTTCACCAAGCTAAAGTGCATTAGTGGTCAGGAGTGTCCCTTTATTATTGTTACATCAGATCTTTTGAGCACTTTGAGGTATGTTCAGCAAACACAGTTCATTAAGTTCATCTTTAACTACAACAATGGTCATGCCAAGTCCTACTGAAGTGATTGAAAGTGAATATCTCTTGAACATTTCAATATTGTTTGAAATTTGGACCCTACTGTCCAGTCAACGGTTGTGATCTTACTTCACCTGCATCCTTTAGTAAGAATTCAGCACTCCAAAATGATTTATGTGGCCTGAGCTGTACCCAGAACTTTCCAATCCGAGGAGATACAGGGAGTTATCTGGGCAACATATAATTTCAAAGCATGACCTACCTCACGCATTATTAAATAATTAAATGCAAATGTCTTGTATTTGAACGGTCTTTACTGCTCAAAATGTTTTGGGTCTTATACAATATATAATGTAGAACCATTGTTACCCACTCATATTGTACAGAACAACTGAATATACTGGCACTTTATAAATAATATTAAGCACGTGTTATTTTCATCTTGTCTACATATAGAAACCCCTAGGACTGCAAAACAAGCTTGTTAGAATGTGTGCAGTTCAGTAATGTATTTAAACCCATATAGCTGCCACTAATTGCATTGTTGGCACCCAAAAAGGCATGCCACTAGAAAACACAAATGATCCATGTGAAATCTTTCATAGAACCTTCTGTTGTCCAAAAGATGACATTGTGTTATAATATATCCCTTTGGAATGTTTGAGGAAATTAGCACCACAGAGAACAACCCCTTCACTGACTATTGGAATGTGGCTAGCTTGAATGATTCAGCCGAGGTAGACTAGAATATACGTTTGCAAATACCATCCATAGTTTAGTAAGACCTATGTACATTCCATGATATTCACACACTGATAAAACAGAACAATCCCAGTGTTTTGATGATTTTTCATTTATTGCCCTGGGGTTAGACAGCGACCCCGGAACCACTAATTTTTTTTGGCCCCATAATCCATCCCTATGTGATTATGAAATGGGGGCCCAAACCAAAAAACCTGCCTTGGATTCCATGGGGCCTTAATTGCTCTCTGAACATTCCCTATTGTAAGACTGTTGTGTATGTTTTATTTAACCCCTTAAGGACCAAACTTCTGGAATAAAAGGGAATCATGACATGTCATACATGTCATGTGTCCTTAAGGGGTTAAAAAACAGGTCATTTTGATGTAGTTTACATCCAGGGTTGCAGCTGAACTGAAAAATATAGCTTACTACGTTTTCCAAACTGATTGTGTTGTTCTAAGTGAAAAAAAAAAAATCAATTTTACTTTCTGACAATTAACAATTTAGTGAAAAACCTTGTATTTTTTGTAGTAGTGCATAAAGCTATCTAATTATCACAGTCTGCAGGTACACCAAAAGTCTATTTTATTGCATTGTGGTAACAGAATAGCTAGAGAAGTGATAAGGATGCTTCTTGGCAGCATCAAACTATTTACCCAAACCTTGTTTTTTGAACATTATTTAACATATAAATCCTGTCTTCAATTATTTTGCACTGTGGCATTGTGATCAATCTGTGCCACCATGCAACTCAAACACATCATCTTCTCCTTATCATGTGAGAATTCTGTGTGCAAATCAGCACAGCTTATGTTCTGATTGACTGCTGCTGTTGATCATATGTGATTATCAGCAATTTCTTTAATATTTTGTAATTGATAACTTTCTTAGGTTGTAAGAGGGTTAAACACTGTGATGAAATGTCCAGATGGCCACCTCCACATTGAGAAAAAAAATGTTGTATCTTCATATGGTTATTACAACTATGGTTGCTATAGTCTGGGTACATGCAAATAATATAAAAACTCTTTTCAGAATATTTTTAAATTTGTTTACCCACTTCAATATGGATACTAAAATAATTTCCACTGATGATAAAGGAACACTATAAGCTCCGGAACAAAAACTATTTCTGACCCTATAGTTTTAAAAACACCATATACCCCCTCCCCCACTTGCCCCCCTAAATAGAGTAAAATGTAGCATGTATTCCAGTCTGCTGGTACTGGTTCTGCCTCTGATCTGCCTCCTTGGCTGACATTGTCAGAAGTGATGACCCATGAGCCAATCACAATAGTATCCCATAGGAAAAAAGTGGGTTGGCTGAGATTGCTAAGGAGGTAGGCCAGGAACAGAGCCAAACATCACCCTGGCCAATCAGCATCTCCTCACAGAGATGCATTGAATCAGTGCATCTCTATGAGGAAAGCTCAGTGTCTCAATGCAGAGGGTGGAGACACGGAATGGCAGTGCTGCACAGTGTGCAGCACTGCCCCAGAAAGCACCTCTAGCAGCCATCTGAGGAGTAGCCACTGGATTTTTCCCTAGGCTGTAATGTAAACACTGCTTTTTCTCTGAAAAGACAGTGGTTGCAATAAAAAGCCTGAAGGGAATGACTATACTCACCAGAACAGTTACATTAAGCTGTAGTTGAACTCACTGTTGTGTATTATTACCGTATCTTATGTTGGCACTTTATAAATAATATCATTTGGTCCTGCTGCCTACTAACAAACTGCAAAGCTAAGTTCATGTAATCTTAATTAGTTATATTTTTTTTTATCTTTCAAGGAAAAAGCCCATGTATAATAATGTTTACCACAGTGAAATAAAATAATGTGCTTAATCCATCTCCTTTCTAGGCACTTATATAAATGTCTAGAATGAGCTTTGACAGGGATAAATTGAGAGCCTTATGCAAAAATGAAATAAACAGAGAAGTAGATAATGCTGCATTTCTTAGAACATTTATAAATTGTTTATAAAATGGTATGATATATGACTATGGATGCCTTCATTTGTTTTAACTATGGAGACCCAATAATAAAATTACCTCATTGGAAAAAAATATGTATTCTAGTAGTGTGGAAATAGGAGAGTCTGGTTGGATACATTAATAAACGATGTAACGATCTGTTTTGTTGCTGTAGAAGCTTCGTGGTGACACCACCACTGAGTCTTTGGGTTTCATCTTATTTATTACCTAAGCAGTGCTAGTCTTCCATGCAGAGTAAACAGAGGGGTCCAATTCAGAGAGTGTTTTCTATTCCCACCTGTTTTGAATTGGATCAAGACATTCCGAGAATGTTAGGTCCAGAGACATGTACTGCATTGTGACTGCAATTAGGCTCTGTGTGGCACAGTTCTGAGTCCTTTAGATACCTGTAAATACATGTATAGATTATTTATTTATACAATATTTTACCAGGAAGGATACATTGAGATTTCTCTAATTTTAAAGTATGTTCTGGGCCCACACACTGCATTGTTACAATAGGGTACAATATAATATTACACACACATTTTTTTTTTTAAATACAATATATATATATATATATATATAAAGAAAAACAAAAAACTCATGCTGTAGGAATCCCTTGTTTGCCGGGTGCTCAGCCAGGGCTTGGTTATCCAAAAATCCAAAGAGGTAGCAGCACTCACGGAACATAAAAGTTCAAATCTTTATAAGGTCATATTAAAAGTCACGATCAACGTTTCAGTCCTCTTTATGGGACTTTCCTCAGGATCAATACAACCTGATCTGAGGAAAGTCCCATATAGAGGACTGAAATGTTGATCGTGACTTTTAATATGACCTAATAAAGATTTGAACTTTTATGTTCCGTGAGTGCTGCTACCTCTTTGGATTTATATATATTTAACATGGCAACATACCTCAATACTGAATGCACCTGTAATCATGGTTGATTATATTTCTTACCTGTTCTGTGTTAAATTTATATATATGTGTGTGTGTATGTGTATATATATATGTATATATATATATATATATATATATACACACACATATATAAATTTAACACAGAACAGGTAAGAAATATAATCAACCATGATTACAGGTGCATTCTGTATTGAGGTATGTTGCCATAGATCTTTAAAAGAATTTTAGTGTGGAGGAAGATTTGACTGTGTCCATGGGGTTATTCTATTATTGCAGTGCTCTGTAGGAAAATGAGGATCGAGCTCACTTTATTTTTTTTATTGTTTTTTACCAGGGCCTGGGATTTGTCAGTCCGTTCCCTTCTTCTCCTGTCTCTCACCTTTGCGCGCTTGGAGGAAGTGAAGGTAACAGGGGAATGGCAAGCTTGCAGAGCACCGGGTTAAGATATCTTTGCTTGCTGCCCGCAAACCCCATTCTGTAGAGCCGCCCGCTCACTTGTACGCCCACCTTCATTCCAGGAGAAATTAGTTTAGTACCCTTCACTTTCTCCTGGCGCACAGAAAGCTGCCTGGTGATAAAGAGACAGGAGAGGGAATCTGGACCAGTGGCAGCCCATTCCCATCAGCCGCATCCAGCCCCACTGTAACCTGCTGCTGTCTAGTCCCACTGGTTCCCAAGAAAGCCATCCTCATGTGCTCACAAGGTAGGAAACAGGAGGGTGGCTAAAATATGTTTGGTTTTTTTCTGTATGTGTGTGTATATCTGTCTGTATGTATATTTGTCTGTATCAAATAATAATAAAAAAATAATATTTTGTTAGTGTGTAAGAGAATGTAGGTCAGTCAGTGAGTGCGTGTACATGTCTATCGGTGTCTGTTGAAAAGCCTGCACTATAGTGGTTCTGGTAACTATAGTGTTCCTATAAGAATTGTATTTTTGTAATTTGAAAAAAAAACAGCTCCAAAGTTTTTTACCGTGCTCCAAAGCAAATTCAAAGCAAATTTGTCAAGCCCTGCGGTATTCTAAATACAGTGTTGGTATTGGATCGGAGGTCATAGGAGGTGGGAACAGCATTCTACTCAGGTAGGGCAGGAGCTTCCCTATAAAAGCTCTTAAACACAAGGCTGGAAAGATGAAGGGTGCATCTGGATTCCAGCGATAGCTAGTTTAGTTTTTTTTATCATGTCACAATGGTGGGTCATGTAACTACATTGTGGTAGAAAGCAGCATAATGAGTTATGCAACATATTAATTTTACGAAGGTGGGTTGACAGCGCAGGTGCATACACTACATCCCCATAATCAATGACTGGCATTAGCATTTATTGCACCGTCTGTTTCCTTACTGCAGGGCTTAGGCAGGATTTGTTTCTGTACAGGGCAGTTAGTTTTGGACAAAGATTTTCAATGTGAAGGCAAAAGGATTGGGTCTAGCAACATACCTAGATATTTGAACAAACAGACTGCGGTCAGTGTGCTATTTGAATTTGAATTTCTGATACATAATTGTTTTTTTTTTAATTTATGTAATTTAGGTACTATCAGAAAAGGACACATGTTGAGACCGATCTGATACATAAGATCGAACCCATGTTCGCGACCATCACCAATACCTGAGTTTTTATGTTTTCTACAAAAGACTGCCATGGTCTACACACAGTAGAACATGACAGTCTTTTGCAAAAAACTTAAAAACTCAGAGGCCTTGGCAAAATCAAGGAAAATAGTTCCAGTTAAGTTTAATTGTTCCATGCCAGTTTGGATGTCATTGCAAACTTATGAAAGGGCAGTTGTAGTTGAGTGATTTGGACAAGAGCCTAATTGATCAGGGGTCATATAGTAGGATTCTTGATAATACTCACTTAGCTGCGTGTGAACACATTTTTGACAATACTGGAAGCAATGACATTGGACAATATTTAGATACCAAAGTATTGTCACCACGTTTATGGATTGGTACTACTCTTGCAGTCTTCCAAAGTTTGGGTATGTATCCTAACACCAGGGATTCGTTGTTAAGGGTAGTGACAGGCTTAGTAATTGCTGGCGCATTAAGCATCAGCAACATTGCTGGGATTTGATCTGGTCCACACTGGTTTTTCATTTTTAGATTATTAAGATATTTATTAAGGACACTAATAGGCGCAGGTTTAAAATTGAATTTCTCTATATGATTAGACATAATCTGTGTCATGGTAGGTTCTTCAGATCGTTTAGAAAGTATTCAAAATTACATTTCTTGAAAGACCTAGCGATTATAACCTTGGGAGGGGATTTAGTGGCCTTTATTTATCATATGCAGTACACTAGAGTAGACAGTGGTCACTGAAACTGTTGGGGAGAACACCCACCTCCTGGATTCTATCAGAACAAGAAAATCTAATCTAGCGGGTATGGTGGGTATGGTTAGAGCTTTTCATATTAATATGAGTTGGAGAGGAAATTAATTGTGTTAGCTGCAAAGTCTTACACAGCGAACATGATTTATTATTTTTAGGATGCAGCCAATCAACATTAAAATCTCCAAAAACCAAAAGTTCACTTTTAAAGGAACACTGTAGTCACCTAAATTACTTTAGCTAAATAAAGCAGTTTTAGTGTATAGATCATTCCCCTGCAATTTCACTGCTCTATTCACTGTTATTTAGGAGTTAAATCACTTTGTTTCTGTTTATGCAGCCCTAGCCACACCTCCCCTGGCTATGATTGACAGAGCCTGCAAGAAAAAAAAAAACTGGCTTCACTTTCAAACAGATGTAATTTACCTTAAATAATTGTATCTCAATCTCTAAATTGAACTTTAATCACATCAAGGAGGCTCTTGCAGGGTCTAGCAAGCTATTAACATAGCAGGGGATAAGAAAATCTAAATTAAACAGAACTTGTAATAAAGAAAGCCTAATAGGGCTCTCTTTACAGGAAGTGTTTATGGAAGGCTGTGCAAGTCACATGAAGGGAGGTGTGACTAGGGTTCATAAACAAAGGGATTTAACTCCTAAATGGCAGTGAGGCTGCAGGGGCATGTTCTATACACCTAAACTGCTTCATTAAGCTAAAGTTGTTCAGGTGACTATAGTGTCCCTTTAAGCTACTAAGAAGTTGGGTTATGTCAGAAAGGGAATGCATCAGAGAGCTAGGTGGGTGGTAGATTCCAGCAACAGTGATAGTTTTACTGAAAGGGATCTCAAATGTACCAGAAAGGAAATCAAAGGTGGCTATGCTTTTTTTTTTTTTTTTTTTAAGGGGTGGACTTTATGGACTTGTCAACATGCCTCCGCCTCTCTTTGTTCTGTGAATATGCTCTGGCGGAGTCAGGTATTTTTGTTGTAAACCATGATTCTGAGAGCACAATGATTTTTGTTTTGTAATGGGAACACCAGGCTTGTAGTGCATGCAGTCTAGGGAGCAATCTGTGGATGTTGCAGTGCACAAAGGAGAGGCCTTTTTTGGCAGGGAGACTAGAATTGAAATCAACTGGAGACCAGGGTTAGACTCCACATCCTTTGCAACGGCACATAAGGAGTAGACAGTATAGTGACTGGGGGATTTTATATTTTTTCTTGGGGTGGGGGTAGGAAGGCTGTTTTTTTTTTTTTTGACATTCTTTATTTTTCCATTTATTTAATACAGCACGTTTAGAACAACACACAAATTCAAACAAGTTTAGCAACCTTTACACAGGCAAGGAAGAAAAGACACAATATTCCACGTAAGCCGCCAGTACAGTCGGATATTTGACAGTGTCCACACAGATATATAGAACTAGAACTTAGACAACACAGATATCTGAGCGACAACCAAGGCCCCCTTACTGAGACTACCAGGGAACACCTGGAACAGATGCGAAAAGTGGGACGTGGGGAGCGCGGCTATACATGCTACCTCGTGAGGTGGGAATTCTAAACTACCTGTTGCATCTACTACCACGCTCTTGGCAAGTGGATAAGTGAACTTGTGGGCCTACTCTCTAGTATAAGCGTCCATTTGTCATCCGTCTGGGAAGTGTGGAGGGGATCGGGAAGGGAGGTCGTAGTCATAAGGATAGGGAAATGCACCCCCCACCCAGCTGAAAGGTACCACGGGTCTCAGTCAAATCGTTGTGGATGGGGAGAGCTGTGCCGGTGCGGGTGCAACACCATCCCCGGTCCGGGCATCCCCCGCGGCCCCCCTGGCCGTATACTCCATCCATGGAAACCATGTCAAGGCACATTTATCAGAGCGTCCCTGCAGAGACGCAGTCATCAATTCCATATTGTAAATCATTTCCACCCTCTCTATCCATTGGCGGAATGAAGGGGCTACCTGGCTTCTCCACAATGTGGGGATGAGAGATTTTGCTGCCGTTAGAAGGTGTATCACCAGACCCTTTTTGTAGGCGGTAATTGGCATGCTCGTGTGGTTCAGTAGCATCGGCAGCGGCTGGAAAGGGACGTCCGTCCCAGTAACGTCTTTGATCCCTTGGTGTATCGCTCGCCAGAAAGGTTCAATGCGAGAGCACGACCACCAGATATGGATCCCAGAACCATCCGCATCTCCACACCTCCAGCACTCCCCTGAGATGGACTCATGGACATGACGAAGGATGTCCGGGGTTCTATGCCAACGCGACAGTATCTTGTAGTTGCACTCCTGGAATTTGGAACAGATGGTCCCCCTGTGCGTCAATTGGAAGATCTTTTGCCATTCTGAAGTAGATAGCTCGACCCCTGCTTCCGTTTCCCACCGTACCGTGAAACCTAAGGGGCACTGGTCCCCACCACTCTGCAGCATGGAGTATAGTTGCGATATGCCATGTATGAGATGCTGTCTGGCGACACAAAGTTGTTCGAAGTGGGTCAGTGGGCGGTGAAGGTGAGCCTTCCCAGCCAACGAGGTTACATAGGTTGTAAGCTGGTGGTACCGAAAGTTGTCCAGGACGCTGGGTCCGCGGTCTTGGAGTAGATCGGCCAGCGGTTTAAGGATCGGTCCATTACACCATTGATGCAGATATGTCCAATCCGTGGCCCCAAAGTTCCTCAGATCCCCCGGGGAGAGTCCCCCCGCAAGTCTCGGGTTATGCGTCACGGGCATAAGTGGATTCGGCGATGACGTTAGTTGTTGAGAGTACCGGATGCCGCACCATACCTTCAGAGTTGCATCCACCAACGGGTTGCCCGTTCGAAGTTCCCGAAACGTGGCATCCCCTAGCCACAACTGGAACGGGATTTTACCTCCCCCCGCCTTTTGCTTTTCCATGTCTACCCACTGTTTCCCGCTAGGGGCTGCATGCCAATCCACAAACCGAGACAGATGTGTAGCCCGGTAGTAAGTGAGGACTGAAGGCAAGCCCATGCCTCCCTCACATCTAGGGCGCTCCAGGATCGATTGCCGTATGTGGGCGGGTTTCTGGTTCCATACGAACTGCTTAAAGGCGGACGACAACGTTTGGAAGAAGTTCCGCGGGGCCGTGACCGGGATCGTTTGAAACAGGTACAATATACGGGGCATGACATTCATTTTAATGGCATTTATGCGTCCGAACCAGGATATATATTGAGGGGCCCAGCGCTTCATATCTTGTTGTAGGTCTGTGAGTAATGGAGGAAGGCTGTTTTTAAACACTCTCCACCTGCACTCATCAGATAAGTTACAGCAAAAAGAGCAGTAATATAGTGTATAGTTTGAGGCGTGTGCTTATGGGTGTAGTGATGTGAACATGATTGCAGACATCTCAACTCTCCAGGGCACTTCGGGAATATTCCGTATTTTAATAAATGCCCCCTGGATTCTATGTAAAATCATGGTAATCAATTTTTTATTTTGAGAGCGAGAGAGTTCAATAGTCACATGACTACCCAGCGCTCAGTCGAAACAGCGCGCCACCAGACTTAAAGGAGCCCCTTCTCTGCCATAACAGGTAAAAGAGCAGGGAGTGGGTTCCAATCTGTATGTGACAGTAACGAGCTGGCGCTACCCTTAGCTGTTTGTGAATGAAGACATGGGGGGGAGATATGGTTAGAAGTGGGGGAGGGAGACATGGATAAAAGGGAAGGTAAAGAGACATGGATAAAAGTGGGGGGGAGAGACAGGGATAGAAGGGGGAGGGAGACATGGGGAGAGACATGAAGGGAAGGGGGAGGGAGACAGATGGAAGGGGGGAGAGACATGGATGTAAGGGGGAGGGAGACATCTGGGAAAGACATGAGTGGAATGGGGGGAGAGAGAGACATGGACGGCATGGGTGGAGTGAGACATGGGAAAGAGACATGGATGGAATTGGGGGTGACATGGATGGAAGGATGCTACTACAGCCCCAATCCCATCCACTGCAGTTCCTACATTCCCATTTGCAGCCCTTTTCCTCTATTACAGCCCTGCTCCCTAACCCAGGGGCTGATCCAGAACCCAATCTCGGGAGGGGCACATGGTTATTTATAGAAATAATCCAGGCACAATAACCACTACAGCTCACTGGCTCAGCTCAGCTCCTTGACAGTCTCAGCCAATCCTATGGGAAAGTATTGTGATTGGCTCACAGAATCACTTCTGATGATGGCAGCCAAACAGGCAGATCAGGGGCAGAGCCAGCAGCTGCAGAGTTAAACACAAGTAAGATTTTACTAAATTTAGGGAGAGCAAGGGGGGGCAGAGGGGTTAGATGGTGGTTTTAACACTATAGGGTCAGGAATATATGTTTGTGTTCCTGACCCTAGCGTTTCTGACCCTATAGTGCTCCTTTATTATTATTAGAAATTGCAATTTTCTACAATTAAGATTTAACACGTGATAATCGAAAGGAATTTAAATAGAATTTCAGAAATTAGGCCAAAATAGCCAAAACCAAAACATTATATTCTGTGTCCAGTTTGTCTATTTTGGCTTTAAACTTGAAATCCATTTTGAATTCACTTCTCACTTTAGCTTTATCTTTAACCTTGTTAGTGAATGTCCTGTATGTTTCCCTGGATAGTGTGAGAAGTGACATCACACCCCCAGGCTGTACAGCTGAAGCTAGACTACATGATACATAAATCCCAGCTTAAAACATTTAAATGGTTACTCCAAGCACCATAACCACTTCTGTGATTTTCAGTGGCATGGTGCTTTGAAATTTCAGTAAGAAACACTGCACATACATAGATAAAACATTCTAATGCTGGACATATAAGTCAAGATTCGGCAGCGCCATTGGCCAAAGTGAATAGCCCTCAATTCCTCTGTTCCTGTGCATCCAACTGGTCTGGTTACAAATATGTGTCTGTTAGTCCACCCATTGTACAGCGCTGCAAAACTTGTTGGCACTTTATAAATATGAATAATAATAATTAGAAGAATGACAGTCAGTTAACACTACATAATTCACTTTGCTGCTTTCAACTAAACGGCAAAATATCTAATGAGAGAGAAAGGGGTATTTTAAAAATATCTAAAAACCTAGCGCTTAACAGGGCATTTGTGGAGTGGTGGTAGAACGTGGCTGTGTGTAATACAAAAGCAGAGATTTGGTATAGTGCACAGTATTATTTCTTTCAGTTTTATTTATAGATTTGGGCTGATGAAAATGATTGCAATTTCTCCTGTCCAAGAGTAGCGTGAGTTTGAGCGCAGGGATTATTTCTAAACAACATAATATGTTTCCTTGATATTAAATGTAAAAAACAAGAAGAATGCGAACAGTGGGATACCAGCCTCCTACAAGCCATCTGTGCCCCCCAAAGTTTAATTCATCAACACAAGATACTGCTTCCCACGCATAATAAAGGCCCGGTTTGTGTTCCAGTTTTAAAGACAAGTATGTGCCAACAGCAAAAAACCTTCTCCAACTAAATCACCTTCTTTCGGAAAAAATTAATAAATAACTAACTAAAAATCAAGCTTTCAAAGCTATATATATATATGTATGTGTGTGTAATATGGGAAGTAAATAATCAATATTTAATTTCCAATAGCAACTAATTTGCTCTCAGAAACCTGAAAGTGATAAAACATTAATTAAAGGGGACATACCAGCATTGCTAATATTATGTTTATGTATCCAAGTCTTTTAAGAAGACTTGATAAAGTGAAGTTGCACAAAACACATAGACACAGAGGTTGATTTTTTTCAAAGTAAAGCAATTACTTACCTTCCCTATACCTGGAAATATGTTAAAAGAATCCACCAAGCATCCGTTATGGACCAGGAGTGCCCATGGAAACTGTCTATTCTAAATAGTCAAATCATTGTAGAAAACTATATTTGAGCAGAGTCTGGCAGTGCAGGGATTAACTCATTAGCCAAGTGTAATCAGCTGATGCTTTCAGCCACTTAGCTAGCCTTGCACTGCACTTAGCTCCTAGGAGAGCTATATGAAGCTCTTTCAGGAGCTTTTGGCTCTCACTTCTTCCTGCAGGAAGGTGAGGGGAAGCACCCAGCAGGCCTCTAAAACGGTTTGGCTACTTACAATGAGGGGTCGCAAGGGCGATCCTGGCAACATAACCATTACAGTGCTCTGTTAAGTTCATGGTAGTTGTACCTTCCCTTTAAGTCAGTTGATACAATGCCAAATAAGCCTAAGTAAACTTATTAAAGAGAACTCTGAACTTACTCTGTCTTTGACGACTTGGCAGTTTGAGTTGATAATGAGGCACAGGAGAGTTATCAAGAGATGCACAGTTCCCAGCTGTTCTCTTCGTTGTGATAATGTATCAGCCTGATGTTGTGGTGCAGAACTCTACTTCAACCAAGGCATGAAATGGTAACATAGAGTAGGAATATTACCTTAAAGAAAAAAAATCTCTGGAAATCCCATAACTTCATACTACATAGACACCTGGGTTGTTGAGATACTGAAACTTTAAAATTAACTTAGAACAGTTATTGTGCAAGGGAATTAGTTTAAATCAGGAAAGTCTCTTAACCAAGACAATTCAGCAGCCATCTTTGTTTTCTGCTTGTAGAAAATTGGGACAGTTCATTGAAAATATTTAAGCTTTCTCTTAGACCGGAGGGACGGTTTGCTTGTGTAAACTAAATAAAAATGAATTTAGGGGTAGAAGAATATGTAGCAGAGGTTTCATGCAACCACATATTTACAGGGAAAATACATAGATGGTAGACGTGTTGTAAAGTTCAGTTCTGTGAGGTTACTGCTAGAGTATTGACATAGGCATGAGGACCCATGTCATTCTCAGATACACAGTGGCTAAATTGCCCTGGTGGTCGGTCAGCGTGGTCTGGACCTGGTACTCTTAGGAGACAACAAAGTTCAAGCCCTTCAAGCCAACGACAGCTCAAGAAAAATATATTCTTCAACATGAAGATAGAGACTGGTTGACTAGCCGGACCTAACATTAAGAAACAGCGTACAGCTAGAAGAGGACCATCTACCAGAGAACCAGAAAGAAGCTTCAGGAAGATGCGGCAGCAACCTGCTGGGGACCCAGAGTTCAATTCAGAAAGCCACAGTACAGGGGAGACCAAAGCCACAAAGTATACAGCCAGAAGTGGGTATCGAAATAATGGGGTAAGGGGAAGTTTTCCTTCCAGCATGGACTCCAAAAGTGCATAGCTATCAAGTAGATCCAAACAAGAAGCAAGGAAGTAGCCAGTGGCCCTTTGATGCATCCATCCTCTGGGGTCAATACTGAGTGAACGGACAAGTGCCCAAAGGAGAGGCACAGAGAGGGAGACTGTGAGTCTAAACCCTGTGTTTCCCAGGGGTACTCCAGCTTCAATCTGATCTACTATGGGTGTACAAAGTATGAGAGCTACTTTTGGGGTAAAAGCAATGGCATAGATAAGCCAGGCCAGGTGACTGTAAGCGAATTGCCCTTTCTTATGTCGCTGTACTTGACCATAGCCTGTGGAGGTAATGGGCCCGTGACTAGTTTTCTGGCCCTTGCTGTTCTTGAAGTAAAATATTCCCCAGCCAGCTACCACAACAAGGTCTGTGGCAATCCAGGAGCACCAGTACAGGTCAGTGCCAGCAATTAAGTAAAGGTCAAGCAATGCTCCTTGCGCTAGCAACAGAGTCACAGACAGAGCTTTATAACAGCCCCGGAGAGCACATCCAGGGCCCCTGTGCTGTAGCCTTCCTGGTCCCCCATGAGTGAACTCCCCGGCCGTCATCCCCAAGGTGGAAGAGGAGGAGGTAGCCGGGGATGGGGGACAAGAGGAAGCCACAGGTATTGGTGATAGTGGAGGGGGCAGGGTGGCGGAGGGCTTAGATGATCAGTGAAAGAAATGAGGATACGATGGCAGGGGCTGGTGAGAGTGATAAGCACTGAAGATGATGCACAAAGATGAAACTTGTGGTACCCAATGTTGTAAGAAGTATAACTACTTCTGGAAAAAATGGTAAAATGTTTTAATCCCCTTGCGGTTGTTAAAATAAATGAAAACATGGGAGAGAATATTAATAAGGTGTAAAGGAGGACATATGAGTAGTTAGCAAGCTGGCAGGCCTGGTCATTTTGCATGAACCAGGGTAGTTAAGTGGTTTCCAGACTCAAGTCCAAGTTGAATTCAGCAAAACAAAAAACTATTGCAAAAACGAAATAATCCACAATATTAGGAGGTTATTTATCAAATATATTCATATTAATGTTATAATTCAGATCTGACATATAATTAGTCATAAAGGGATTTTATCATAATGGTTGCTTTGGAATATTGGGGGATTTGACGGCAAGTAAGTAAAAAGGTTTAAGAAAATAGGAATTCATTTATTTCAGACCCAAGAGCAGGGAAAGCAGATATAATAAGGTTTGGTAGGTAATTAGGAAAACAAACAGAGTGCAAATAAAAGGGGTTTATGTCTGGACTTGGGTCTTAAAAGGCACATATATAAATATATTATTCCTGGGTATTGCAAAAAAACTTATCATGACCCGCCTTCTGACCAGACTGATGATTTAATGGAGGAAATGTGAAGATCTCAGGCAGTATGGATGGCATGCAGAGGTGCCAGGTTATGGAAGAATGGGAGGGGGTGTGTGGGTGGGTGTGCATGTGTGTATTTTTAGAGCTAACCAACTCATGCAAGATGTGGGTTTTGGCACCGGGCTGAATGAGAGAATGGCACTGATTAGGTGTGACCCCAGGAGGTATGATGGAATGCACTGACCTGAGAATTAGATGGAATCACAGGGTCCATGGAGGTGTGAAAGAACACCGGGGTGGATACACAAGGTCTGAGTGTGACAGCAGTGGCGACAAATTGTGAGATAGGAGCAGAAAAAAACCCGGCAACTAGTGTGTGTGGAGAGAGGATCCCCGAAATCCCGGGCAAGCTATCAGGTCCAGGGGTGCCGTGTGTAATATGGGTCTTCTCTCTGCTCCATCAGATGGGGAGCTGCAGCCTGATGAGCTGTGAGCACCACCCCCTAGCTGGAGGAGATGGGTGGGAGGGACCGGAGATAAGGATGGGAGGGGGGATAAAATGTCAGTGAGTCACTGGAAATAGCTCAATATAATATATGCTATGTTCTGTATGCAGCCCACATACAGGTCTGAACACAAACAAATGTTCAATTAAACCTTGATACACAAAACAGTGCGAAATCACATTAATAACATGCAACATTCTAAATAATCAATAAGCATTACAAACACTCAGGCTGAACTGCACATAGATTAATGACATATATTAATATATCTATCTGTCTATATATATATTTATATATTTAGACAATAGTCTAAATCCTAAATTAAAAATAAATATATATAATTAGATACTAACACAAATATATACACAAACACCTATCTCTCTCTATACACACAAACACCTGTATGTATATAAATAAATAAATAAATATATATATATATATATATATATATATATATATACACGCATATGCTGTAGTTTTATATGTATGTATATATATTACATCAAGGGAGAGTACTAAATGGTCTTTTAAATCACAGTTTATTTCAAACGTTTCGGTTAATTTACAGCATCAATGTTTCAGTCCCAATCTGGACTTTCATCAGGATATATAGGTAAGTCTTGGTTACTTATTCAGAATTTCCAATTAAGCCGGGAGCTGCGGCCATTACATTGCATTGCTGATGTATCTAAGCCAATGACTGTAATTCACCAAAAGATGCACAGAATTGACATTACTCAGCCCGGGAATCTAGTTCCAGTCTGGTCCATGACACCACAATGACGATGCTGAAGGCTGAGCTACGACTCTAGCAGCAGAGGGGCTAAAATCCATCTGTGCAGAGCTTCAAAACTAAATGCTATAGATACAGACTACAAGCACCATAAGCACTTCAAATCACTTAAAGAAACACTATAGGAACACACACTATAGTGGTAAAATAACTATTTAGGTCCCTGCCTCCCTCTTTATTTTAAAAAGGTGTTTTACTCACATTTTTTCAACGCTGCACCTGTCTTGCTGCGGCTGTCTCCGCCTCACTCCAGCTCTGTGGCTGAGATCACCAACCTTGACAATCTCAGCCAATCCAATGCTTTCTCACAAGAAAGCATTGGAAGACTCCTGTTGTCGATAGGGCAGTCACTGATGCTAGAGACTGAATGCGTAGGAAAGCTTAGTTCTTGTCAGGGTTGAAGGGGTGAGTGGGTGGTCAATTGTCAACTGACTTTTTCCTTTCATTTTTGGATAAATCCTCTACATTTAACTTAAAATGACTCCTACTTCCTATTTCTCATAATACAAGATACAAAAAGGAAAAAAAAATACAATCACAATACAAGTAAGTTCTCTCATTTCTGTTTAATTTTTTTTAATCCAGATATATAATAATTGAAGTGGAAATCAATTCAATTAATTGATTATTCTCTGTGTATCTGCCCCTGGCCAAATTAGGAAACAATGCATGCACGCTCCCTGAAGTAATTCACACCAGACACAGGTTTCAGGTTGATGAATAACTTGAGGAATGTTTTTTCAGATGGGACGGCAGGTCCCTTTTAAAGCAAAATTACATCATAAGCATTGTCAGAGATAACATGGAATAATACATCAATAATTGGTTAGGTGTTAAGTGGTTTCCCTAATGCTCTGCCTACTAAGGGTGATGTCACTGAGACCATGAGGGTCTCCTCCAGATCTCAGCGCCATCTTGTAGCACAAGGTAGTTAGTCGGTGTTATAAGGAGGGAGGGGTTAGAAGCTTCTAGTGGCCATTTTGTCTAAATATGCGTGAATAGCTTATACACTGATTTCAGTTAAATGAGTAAATAGGCATTTTACTAACTAAAAAATATGTCAATATCTAATTTCCACAACAGTCCCCACTTAAAATGACTATTTACTAGAACAACTGCTACTGTCCCTAACATGTCCCTAGCTGCCTGCAGCTCATCTGTCTTAACAAGCATCGAACACTTCACTCGTGGGTAACCCGCGGCGGCTAGTCCACCACATATCCGCACGTGAGACTTGCCTGTAGAGACAGACGCTTTCCCTATGCTATCCCTACAAAAATGCAGTTGTCTGTCTGAATTGATGGGATTGGAGGGGTGTATGTGGTGTGTCACATTCTAGGTCAGTGACGTCCTGGTGTAGGAAAGTAGGGGTTACGTTGTCCATAGTCTTCCCTACTGTCTTCTGTAAGTACTTTTGTATGAAAGGAAGTACACAACAGGTTAAGAATAGAAAGATGATAATCATTATGAGGACTGCTGTCCCAACCTGGAATAGGGTTCTCTGCCAACCATTCATCCATCCAAACCATCTGTCCCATGTGTCAGTGACCCCTGAGTTCTTTTTTAGTTCATCTGAAAGGCTGTCTAATTTCTCTATTGCCATAGTCACTTTACCATTGGGCCCAGTGTTATCTGGAATAAATGTACAGCATGTCATTGTCTCGGGGAGGATTTCACATAAGCCCCCCTTCTCTGCTAAGATCATATCCAGAGCCATTCTATTTTGAAATGTCATTTGGGTGGCAGCTTGTAGCTGTTCTGCTAGGCCCTGTAGGGCATCTCTAGTATAATTAACAAACCGCTGCTGATTATAATAGATATAATTAACTTAATTAACATTCTTATTAGCTGTAATCATTGGAATCAAAGATTCAAACCCGGCTGCCACTTCATCCCTTGCTTTAAATTCATTGGGCACCCCCCTTGGCACACCAATGGCATCAATATAAACATGTGGATCGAAGCTACCACAGATTGGGGCTTCCCTTTTGACTCTGGGGTGTGTGTGCGTGGGATCTAACACATTGTGATGGCCATCCGGAATAATGTGGATAGGCATTATGGCTTTAGTTAGTGTACATTCTCCCCACCATAGCCCCGTTAGTTGGGATCTCAGTTGCTTATCACCACACAGCCAATAAATGTCCCCGACTGTCTTTACATGATTCATTAACAATGCCGTGGGTGGATTATGGTAAGTGGAACAGTAACCAGATGGGAATTTGCCCATGAATGTACCCGTGTTCTCAGGTATTGAATAACAAGTGTAATTACCTGGGTATACCGTGACTCCATCAGGTGGTCTCACGTGTCCCTGGATGATTGGGTAGACCTTTTTCCATGACTCACATGTTGAAGAGTTAGTGGTGGATTGTGCATAAAGACTCAAGACACATAGTTCAACATCGGGAGGTAGATTTAAAGGCAACGTACCCAGGTGGGGCCTAGCACCCCCACATACATAAGTTAGTCTTATTGTGTGAGTTAGCATTATATCTCATCCATTCCAGCCATAAGTTAGTGTCTGAGAACCCAGTTTCCACTGCCATGGTGTCTTCAAAGGTAGGATTAGCAATAGCCACCGTATCATATATCATATAGAGTCCTAATATGTGGCTTAAGTGGGTTGACAGTCGTGTGTAGTTCCTACCCAGTCAGGTGAGGTGAGCATGTCTTGCAGGTAGAATTTCCCCAACTTGTTGTATGAGCCACCGCCCCTCCAGTACATACCCATTACATATTCCCCTGCATCCCTCGGACTGGGATGCTCTATGTTCAGAGTGAGTTTGATGGGGGTTGACCCAATAGGTTTACTTAAGGTCATTCTGGAGAGTAGGGGCTTCCCGTCTTTGTCAATTCTGTCTAGGGCACTCTGGGGTTTATAGCCCCATGATCTACCTGTATTCCACCCAGCCGCCTTCCAAGAGGTGACCCTCCTGTTACACAAATGTATGGGTCCTTCTTACTGGGTATGTCCTTGTATATAGCAGCATATTGTGTCTGTGGGAAGGTGCAAGTAACAATATCACAATAATCAAAAGAAAAGGTAACTACATCTGTGTTTGAGGAATTGTACCAAAAAGTGCAAACATGGTTATCTTTGGTTATAGCCACTTGCTGGGGCCCTATAAAGTTTAGTAGCAAGAGAAAACACAAGGAACACAGAAAATTCATGGCTCAGCAGGGGCAACTTCTTTTGGAGCAGGCACTTTCTTGCAGTGTGAGGCGTGTATCCAGGAACTCTTCCCTGCTAATTTTACTGAGGTAGCTGTAGTCAGCAGCACTTGGTAAGGACCATCAAACCTTGGTTCAAGGGTGTGTTTCCTGAGGAATTTCTTGACCATAACCCAGTCACCAGGGAGCAACTTGTGTGTACCTGTATTCGACTCAGGATCTGGAATAGAAGAAAACACTTGGGCATGGATTTTGGTCAAGGCATGAGAGAGAGCAGAGAGCAGAGATTCAGCGTCTGACTGAATCTGAAGCTGCTGGGGGAAGTAACAACCTAACCTTGGTGCTGTACTGAACAGGATCTCATTGGGAAATAAGTTGTATTTTCCCCTAGGGTTGTACCTCAAACTAAACAATTGTCAGAGTATTTATATCGGCAGACATTTTGTGCTATGATAGAAACCAAAAGTGTATATTCTGAGTCACTCTGAACAGACCAGACTCCATTTTGTTATTTCAAGTTAACAAAAAGACACTAGATTTCTATCTGTAAGCTAACCACTTTCCTAGAGCTGAGGAATGCATAGTATATACAAGCCAAGTGATAAGGAAGGGGGTTGGACAGACTGTCTAATGCTAATGGAATATAATCAAATCTAAACCCAGACAATTGTGACAGAGAAGATTAAATAATAATATTTAACTGTCTATATATATAAGGTACCATTGTATGGAAAAGGGTAAACTTAGTTCATGATCTGCCATATTAGAAATTATAGCAGATTTGCCAGACACATAGTCTGGACAAAATGTAAGAAACCCTTTGAAATTTGAAATTATGGCACTATAAAGATAACGCAAAATGACGTCAAAATAGCCACCAGGAAAAGTTAACTCTTTCCTGGATAGGTATGTTTAGTGGGACAAGACTGCCCTCTATAGACCAAATAACTAAATTGCGATCCGGAAGATAACCACACCTCTAGTGCTTCTATTGGGTTATCAACTGATGACGTACAGAGAGTCTGGCCCTTTAAAAGTTAAGACAAAGGGAAGATAGAGGGGGCAGATGCAGGAGATGCAAAGGAGAAAGAAAAAGAGAGAGGAGGAATTGGAAGTTTGGGGACTCCAACTCGGACAACATCTGAGACTAACACTCTACTCTTAAAACTCTAACACTTAGAATTTCACTGACTTTCTAACTAACAACACCTTTCACCATAACTCCATGCAGAGAGACATTCAAATAAGTTCCTGAGACTATCTACCAATCGGATGAAATATCTACTCAACTGGTAATTATACTGGTTTCATTTAATTAATTAAATTAATTAAAATGTATTAATAGCATGATATATATGACTGGATAAAGCACGGTCAGATTTCCATATTAAGAAATCTTAGTTAACTAAAGAATATATAGTTATAAACATTCCATTCTGCAGGTGGAATTAAGAATAATTATATATTGATGTGATATTATCACGTGTTAGCATACCGTTGTTTTTATCCAGGTGTATTGATTTGCTCTAAATTAAGATAAGATATCTTTTAGACAAATTAAATTCTGCTTATATAATCATGGTAGATTCTCTTATTGGATGGTTCCAGGCAGGGGCGGACTGAGAACCCTCAGGGCCCCCGGGCAAAATAAATCAAGGGCCCCCTTACAGGCCCCACCCATACTCTGCAGCAAGCGCCACCCTTGTCCCGCCTCCAGCCACACCGTACACAATCTTTAGACACAAGGAACAAAAGGGCAATAAGCCCTTCGAGGCCCCAGTAGAGACTACAATTGAGGGCTAATGGGCCATGGAGGGGGGTCTTTCTAGCGGAGGCTATCTCAGTGTCCTTTAGAGGGTGTGTTAGAAAGAATCCCCTCCAAGCCCCATTAGAGACTACAATGGAGTCTAAAAGGCTTGGAAGGGGGTCTTTCTAACAGAGGCCATCTCAGCGTCCATTAGATATCCCCTGCTGGAAACAGTCGCCTCCAGGCCCCAGTAGAAACTACAATTGAGGGCTAATGGGCCATGGAGGGGATTTCTAGCAGAGGCTAGAGTCTAATGGGGCCTGGAGGGTGGTCTCTCCAACACTCTGGTTCCTATTCACAATATAGCAACACAACATAGCTCGCTGATACCTAAGCCAAGTTGGCTCCTCTTACCTTAATTACTGTTGCTGGCTGGCAGTCTGTGGGCTTGCTGGCTGCGGCTGGCAGGCTGTGGGCTTGCTGGCTACTGCCGGCAGGCTGTGGGCTTGCTGACTGCGGCTGGCAGGCTATGGCTTGCTGGCTGTAAGCCTGTGGCTTGCTGTAGGCCTGTGGGCTGGCTACTGGCCTGTGGGCTGGCTACTGGCCTGTGGGCTGGCTACTGGCCTGTGGGCTGGCTACTGGCCTGTGGGCTGGCTACTGGCCAGCCTGTGGGTTGGCTGGCTGGCTACTGGGGCACTTGTAGATTATTTAAAGAAATAATCCATGCACAATAACCACTACTGCTCCAGAGTAAGTAGTCAAACCGTTTAAGAACAGTTTGACAACTTACCTGGGGTCTGCTGGGATATGAGGCTGTAGTAGGGAATAGGAGCAGTGGTGCAATGTGTGTGAAAGGTTCAGTGTGTGTGTGGGGGTGTAGTGTGTGAATGTGTAGGGTGTGTGGGCAGTGTATGTGTGTGGCAATGTTAGTATGGGGGCTGTGTATGGGGGTCTGTGTGTATATGGGTGGGCAGTGTATGTGTGTGTGTGAGGCAATGTGTGTAAATGTGTATGGTGTGTATGGGGGCAGTGTGTGAATGTGTATGGTGTGTGTGTGGGGGCAGTGTGTTTATGGGGCTAGAGTTCACTCTCACCACTGCGACCACCAGGAATCCATGGGGGTTACAGTGTTGAGAGTGAACTCTAGCCCGTAGCTCCAGGGCTAGAGTTGACTCTCGCAAGAGCAGTAACGTTGCCATGGTAACCGCGGCAACGCTCTGTGCTCGCGCAAGAAGGACCCAGAGGAGCTGCAGGGTGAGCTCCCAGGTCCTCTCTTCCTCCCCTGCCCGCACGGTGCCTGCGGACAGGGGAGGGGGGGCATTCTTCCCTCTCTTTCTCCCCCCTCCCCATCTCTCTATTCCCCCTCTTTCTCCCCGTGTCTCATTCTTCCCTCTCTGTCTCCCCATCTCTCTATTCCCCGTGTCTCATTCTTCCCTCTCTGTCTCTTTCTCCCCCTCCCCATCTCTCTATTCCCCCTCTTTCTCCCTGTGTCTCATTCTTCCCTCTGTCTCTCCCCTCCCCATCTCTCTATTCCCCCTGTGTCTCATTCTTCCCTCTCTTTCTCCCCCCTCCCCATCTCTCTATTCCCCCTCTTTCTCCCCGTGTCTCATTCTTCCCTCTCTGTCTCTGTCTCCCCCTGTGTCTCATTCTTCCCTCTCTTTCTCCCCATCTCTTTATTGCCCCCCCTTTCTCCCCTCTCTTTCTCCCCCCTCCCCATCTCTCCCCTCTCTTTCTCCCCCCTCCCCATCTCTCCCCTCTCTTTCTCCCCCCTCCCCATCTCTCCCCCCTCTTACTAGTCAGAGGGGGCCGGCCGTTTCATTTTAGAGCCGCCGGACCGGGTGGCAGCCTCGCCGGTCCGGCGGCAGGAGGAGGAGCATGTCTCTCTGTCATGCTCCTTTGCGGTTCCCACATCCTGTGCTGGGAATTGTGGGAACTGCAGGGAGCATGATAGACACATGCTCCTCCTCCTCCTTCAGTGTTAGTGAGAGGAATGCCGCCAGACCGGCAAGGCTGCCACCCGGTCCGGCGGCTCCAGCATCAAACGGCCGGCCCCCCCACAGTGTGCCACCGGACCGGCCACCCGGTGGCACCTGCAGTCCCCAAGCCCCCCCAATCCAGCCCTGCCGCCGGGCCCCCTGAAGGCGGCCCTGGCGGCGGGCCCCCCTCCCGGCCGGGCCCTCGGACCGTGTCCGAAGTGCCCGACCGGTCAGTCCGCCCCTGGTTCCAGGAAATTACTAATGAACTGGTTTAAATGTTATTTTATTTAAAAATTACATAAGAATAGATCTTAACTACCTAGGAGATCTAGCCAGCATTGGAAGGGTTATTCTAACTGTCAGCTAAACTTTACGACCTTACGCTGCACTCTGAGGAATTCTGTTCTTCTGTGAAAAGTTTCACTTTCAGTCTGTGTTAAAGATAGTCATAAATAAAGACTTGACAGAAAATGCTGTTCAGAGTTAATAGCCATACCATTTTATACTGGATATTCATTGATTATTGTCATGCATGTTGCATAATATTATTATTAATTAATTTGACATATAAATAAAAATCTATTTTTATACATTGTGATTTTAATTATATGAAATACTTTCACTTAACACGATAAACGATATTTGGGATCTGAGAATTGAATTAGTGGGCAATTCTCAACTGTTTACTATTATTATCCCATAAATATCCCCACACAATGCTAATGGAAGACTCTCAGGCCAGGGCATGTTAGTTTCTTGGGACATCTTAAGCATTCTGGCCTTCAATGTGCCATTCATGCGTTCTACCTTACCACTACTCTGTGGGTGGTATGGTGTGTGGAAGGCAAGGGTCACCCCCAGTGCTGCCCAGACTTCCTGTGTCAATGAGGCGGTAAAGGAGGTTCCTTGGTCACTTTTAATCACTTCTGGGACACCATACCGGCAAACAATTTCCGTCAGAAGATGTTTGGCTGTAGTTCTTGCAGTAAGATTGTGAAGGCTTCTGGCCATCCTGAGAAAATGTCTACAATGACTAATAATGCGTATTCATAGCGTCCACTCTTTGGCATCTGGATATGGTCAATCTGTATACTCTGGAAGGGATATTGTGGTTTGGCCAAGTGATTGGGTACAGTTTTAACAATCTTCCCGGGGTTACATTTAGCACAAATTGCACAAGATCTACAATAGTTCTGAGTTAGAGTAGTAATACCCGGTGCTTCAAAGTATTTATCAATCAGGGAGTTCATGAGGTGTTTAGACAGGTGGGCTGGTCCATGAGCCCATTGGACAACAGCTGGATACATATTCTTGGGTAGACAGAATTTAAGATTAATGGTGTAAACATCATCTCAGAGAATGCCCCCCTGCTCTTCCAACTCTGTTTTTCTTGGGGGGTCGCAGCAGCTTGTTGTTCCTTTAAGAGTCTGAGATCTGTAGGTAATGTTTGCATAGTGTAAATGGGTGTTGCTTCAGTGGCCACTCTTCTGTCCACTTTCCACCCTTGTCGTGCTGCATCCTTGGCGGCTTGATCAACCAAGTGGTTGCCTCGTGCTTCTTCTGAATTCAGCCTCCCGTGGGCTTTCACTTTGGGCACTGCCACTTCTACTGGGAGTGTTAGGGCATCCATTAGTTCTTCAATGGCTATGCCATGTTTTACTGGAGTACCAGTGGCTGTGAGAAATCCTCTGGTTTTCCAAATTAAGCCAAAATCGTGTGCTACTCCCAGGGCGTATCTTGAGTCTGTATAAATGTTAACACGTAGGCCCTCAGATAGCTTACAGGCCACTGTGAGGGCTGTTAGCTCGGCTTCCTGAGCTGATTTGGTTGGTGGAAGTGCGGCAGCTTGTAATACTTGACATTCTGTGGTAACTGCATATCCAGTGTGATATTGCCCTTGCTCATCAGCAAATCTGGAACCATCCACAAACAGTATCTGGTCTGGATTAGATAGAGCAGTCTCATGTACGGTTGGTAAATGGGTAGTTTCCATCTTCATCTGTTCAAAACAATCATGGGGGGCTTCTACATCTTGTTCCATGGGAGGGAGATCTTCACAGATCTCTGTGTGGTATCGAGGATATCCAACTGTACTGCAGTTGATAATCTTCTTTGTTACTCCCAATAATTCAAGCTGTCCTTGGGTTATTGCACTCCAGGATTTGGCCATTGGGCCTAGATCTTTCCATGAGAAGTCAGGGGACTTGGTGCAGGATATGTGTGGGACAACTGTTTCCCAATAACGGTAGAGGTGGGATACTTCTGTTGGAAGGTGCACTAGCAGGACCATGTTGCCTCTGGAGTCCCACAACACATTATGTGGAGTTGCAGGAGCAGGTAATTGGAATTCCATCCGGGCATCTGGGTTGATATCCAGGCTGTACCAGTACTGTGCCACTCCCCCCTTGGGAAGTGGCAGAAGAGTGGCCGGGTTTAGTGAGTAGCAGCGTTGTAGAGTAGCGTTGTCAGGCAGTAATAAAGAAGTTTGCAACCGCAGATGACGTTGAGAAGAGAGATGCCTTGGTTGGGTCTGTTGAAGAATTGCAGAAATATCATGTGGAGCTAGGACAGTCAGGGAATGTCCAAGGACGAAGTCATTAGTTTTGTCCAAGAGGGCACTAGCAGCAAACACTGCCCGCAGGCAGGAGGGACTGCCTCTGGCAACAGGATCAAGCATGCAAGAGAAGTAGCCAATGGGTCTTTGTCTGGAACCATGTTGTTGAGTAAGAACCCCGGAGGCGTGGCCCAGTTTCTCAGACATGAATAACTTGAAAGGCAGCTGGTAGTTAGGTAGGCCCAAGGCAGGTGCGGGTGCAATGGCTCTCTTTAGAGCAGTAAAACAGGTAATGGCATGTGGTGAGAGTGAGAAAGGCTCGCTTTTTAGCGCATCATATTGTGGTTGCATCATCAGTTGAGAAGCTTCAGGAATCCAGGATCTGCAATACGTAGTGAGGCCTAGAAAGGCATGGAGAGATTGATGAGCAGAAGGAATTGGTAAATTCAAAATGGCTAAGATCCAGTCCTTGGTAAGGTGACGGGTGCCATGGGAAAGACAATGTCCCAAGAAGACCACTGAGGGCCGGCACCATTGAAGCTTTGATTTAGAGGCCTTGCAGCCTTCTTCAGCTAAGAAGCAAAGGAGATCCTCAGAAACTCGTTCAGCAGTTTGGAGATCAGCAGCACAGAGAAGTAGATCATCAACATATGGTTACAGGACTACGTCTGTGTGTGTCTTTTGCCAGGGTTCCAGAACCATGGACATGGCACAGGCAAACTGAATGGGCGAATTCTGAGCCTCCTGAGGCATGACAGTCCATGTATATTGCTGATCCTCATGGGTAAAGGCGAAGGGGTATTGGCAGGATGGATACAGTAAATATTGTGGCAGAGGGCGGAACCTGTGACAGTAGTGTATGTGGATTAGGGACCACAGCTGTATCCTTGACAGTGACATCGTTAACTGCACGTAGATCCTGGACCATGCGGTATTGATCAGGCTGCCCCTTCTCAGTCTTTTTCTTAACAGGAAAAAGGGGGGTGTTGCATGGCGATACACACTTGACAAGAGCTCCCTTGGCTAGGAGGCTTTCCACTTGCTTAGAAATGGCAAGGGCCTGAGCAGGTTTCAGTGGATACTGGGGTCTTCAGGGAGGCGCTACTCTTGGCAGAAGTGTGACCACAACTGGGGGAGCTTTAAGGCGTCCAATATCATCCGGACCTGTGGAGCTTTGCAGGGATTTTGTCCAGAGCACTGGGGGCATGAGGGACCCTTGATTCCCCTGTAGGAGATGCAAGATGCAGTAGTATGGGGAGGGAGCAAAGTACTGAAGTATCTTTTCGTGACAGGGGCGTATTTAGCTGAACTTGGCCATCTGCAGTAAAGGTAATGGATGCTTGGAGACGGGACAGAACATCGGCACCCAAGAGGTTAATGGGGCACGTGGAGGAAACAACAAACCGGGAGAGGATATCTGACCCCACATGGAGGAGTTTAGTGAGAGGACTACTGCGGGGGGTACCATCAACACCAACACAAGAAACATCGGTGTCAGACAGGAAGGATGGGTCAGGCAGGTCTTGTTCTCTAAGAACACTGCGGGCTGCACCTGTGTCAACTAGGAAAGTAGTGGGGTGACCCTCTACGGGTAGAACTACAGTGGCTAGTGGCCCTCCCCATCCCCTGTAGACACTGCCATAGCAGGGATGTTAGACACAGGCTTGCCGGTTACCTATTGTAACAAATCTAAATGGGCCTGATCAGGGCCAGCGTAGCGGCGTGTAGAGGTGGAGGGTGGATTGGCTTGAGATACAGGCCGGGAATTGCGGTTTAACCTAGCTGCAGGGCGGTCCTCTTCAAACCCATCAGCAGGAGCTGGGGGATAAGAGCGGGGCTCCGCGGGTGGTGGAGGAGCCTGTGAATATTCTGGAGGTGGAAAATATGGTACTGGCGGAGGATGTGGCTGAAAATACTTGGGGGGGAAATACCCATAGGCTGCCGGGGATGAACCAGAATACCTGGGAAGCAATGGTCTGTTAAGTCTGGGATGTGGGCATTCCCTACGGAAATGGCCAGTCTGATGACAGTTATAACAAGTCCTGGCAGCTTAGGGTCAGTCTCGGTTAGGAGCTGGGGCAGCTGGGGGCGCATTAAAAGCAGGAGCGGTCTGTGCTGACCCTGTAACAACAGCAGGGGCATTAAGCATCATTGGGTTTGCATTCCTCTGAAGGGGCTGTATCACTGACTCTAACCCCTTGGCCACCAGTAAAAGTGTGTCTAAAGGAATTATTCGGTACTCAGGTCGGGAGAGAATCAAACCCTTACGGATGGGTTCCTTTAACCCAGCGACAAAGGCAGCAGACAACATATGGGTATGAGCTTTATTATAAGTGCTAAACCCTATGTCAGAGAAAGTTTGAGTTAGACGTGAATGATACTTTTCAACAGATTCAAGTTTTCTTGAACAATGTCATTAATACAAGTAGCCTGCTCTGCCAGCTTATCTTGTGCCCAAGCACGGAGTTGTTCACAGAATGTGATGCCAGATTGGAAATCTGTGTCAGTGGTGAGTGGAGCATCTGTAAGGCTTCGTGCCATAATGGGCCAGTAGGCATCACCTGCTTTGATCTCACATAAACTATAGAGATCCCGTCAGGCAGCGGAGTAGGTTTTACGCATCTGAGCCATCCTACGGTAAAGGGGCATGGGTTGTTTCTCAGGATCAGGGAGAGAGGTGACAAGAGTGGCGGCCTGTGAAGGGTAACCTGATGCCTCTGGAAAAACACCTACAGCGTAGGGTTGGGCCGACGTAGCTGGTTCTTCAGAGCCAACCACCATGAGGGGAAAACTGGGACTAGGGTCAGAAGCACACGGAATAGGGGCAGGGACGAATGGAGTGACACGGGACTGGGCGGGAGGCTGGGCCAGGGTGGAGAGGGCTGAGGTGAGGATAGATAATTCAGTACGGAGTGTAGGAGGGGGAGGGTCTATGGGTGAGGTAGGAAGGGCTGGGCGGGTCAGAGCGAGAGGGCGGAGAGGAGGGAAGACAGCTCAGCAGGAAGAGATGGGGGAAGAGGGGAAGAGTCTACGATGGGAGGGGCTTCGGTGAGCAAGGGAGGAGGAGCAGGATGAAGGGAAGGCTCGAGAGCGGCAGAAAGGGTGGTGAGGAGAGAGGACACCAGATTAGTAGAGGAACTGGAAGTATTAGTGTAGGGAGAGGAACTGGAAGTAGTAGTAGTGAGATTAGTAGGGGGAATTGAAGACACAGTAGTAGTAGGGGTAGGGTTGGGTGTGACGGACGTGACGGAGGTTGGGGTCAACAGGGCGGGATCGGGGGTAGGAAGGGCTAATGGTGAGACAAAGGAAGCAGGCAGGGACTTTGGTCGGGGTGGTGGACAAGGAGGTGGCGCAGGAGGGACCGGGAGCTGGGAAGGGACTGGGAGGATGGGGCTAGGTCGGGGGAGGGGAATGTTTGGGCCATGGGGACGTGGGGAAAAGAATGCAACGATACTGGATAAGTAATAGGCTCTGTCAACTACGAGCACAGGACATAAGGGGGTGGAACCATGCACTACGCCACTGGGAGGTGGCGTCTGGGTGTTAACCGGAGAAGTTGGGCGGGAACTATTCAACACGGTCTGGGCGCTATCATAGGGCGGTGGCCGGGGATTTGCAGGGGAAACATCAGTATTACAAGCATTTCGATGGTACACATAAATCGTTTGTCCTTCAAACTCTAGTTCTTCCTCCGTCCAACCCTCCCGCTTAAGTCCTCTAGCAACCCGATACCAAGCCTCTACAGCTTTGGTTAGCCCATTATCTGACAACAACCCTTCTTTGTCCACAAGCAACTTCCTCCAAAACTCAGGCTGTAACCTACCACTAGGTGACATTTGGAAACCACAGATCTTAGCAATTTTCTTGATCTTTAACATTGCCTCCTCCCCCACCCTTTCCTTCTCGATATCACAAGCTAAAAACCCTTTAGCTGGTCTAGCATGTTCTTGTCCCATCTTGACCAAGCGAGGTCTGCCAAGTAAAGGGGACCGGGTGAGTGGGAAGAAAAAGTAGGAAAGTCTACAGTGCTCGACTGCCACAGGGGACCCGTGCGTCTTCCCAAAACGTAGACTAGTCACAATGGTCCGTGCACCCGAGATGGTGACCATGGATCGGAGCGGGCGAGCGTGGGTGACTAACACAGTTCTGGGCAACAGGCACAGGACAGATACAGAACAAGGGAAAAGATAAATGTGTCAACACTAAGCACTAGACATTTACAGAAATCACACACATAGAAATGAGTGTACACTCCAGAATCAAGGACAAGCCACACAACACACACACACACACCGAAGGTACCCACGCTGTAACAACAATTGAACAAAATCCACAAAATGACAGAGAGTAATTTGGCCATGTACATAATAAAGCAGACAATGGAAATCAAAGATCAACAACCCTAGCCTCTCTCTCTCTCCAGGCTGTAACCCTGTACAGTAATCCCACCCTCTAACAGGTGATCCACAATCTTTCACCGGCCGCCTATTATCTCCCAACCCAACTATTTGGGTGGTCCCCAGCCCTTCACCGGCTGCCTGCAGTTTCCCTACCCTATTACACGGGTGGCCCCCAGCGCTGCTAACAACAACGGTTGCTCACAATTCCCGCCCGCTAGGCGGTCTGTCTAAAAACTATGAGAAAACACTCACAACGGCCGTCACACACATTCATGTAAATTCACAGGAGGCAGATAGACAATCGACAGGTTTGTTTTAAATAGGCACAGGATAAGATATTACCTGTCTAGTAGCCTTCTGGATGCCGGAAGTGGACGCGGAGGCAGACCGACACAAAACAGGAGTATACAGACAACGGCTGTATATTGGAGGTGATCAGGCTCCGGGTGTCCCACTTTCCGGAGGTCCGCTCCGGTCCGTTGGTTTCCGGCCCTCCGAGCCGGCAAATCCGGTGCCCCACGTTGGGCGCCAATTGAAGTGGAAATCAATTAAATTAATTGATTATTCTCTGTGTATCTGCCCCTGGCCAAATTAGGAAACAATGCGTGCACGCTCCCTGAAGTAATTCACACCAGACACAGGTTTCAGGTTGATGAATAACTTGAGGAATGTTTTTACAGATGGGACGGCAGGTCCCTTTTAAAGCAAAATTACATCATAACCATTGTCAGAGATAACATGAAATAATACTTTATTAATTGGTTAGGTGTTAAGTGGTTTCCCTAATGCTCTGCCTACTAAGGGTGATGTCACTGAGACCATGAGGGTCTCCCCCAGATCTCAGCGCCATCTTGTTGCACGAGGTAGTTAGTCGGTGTTATAGGGAGGGAGGGGTTAGAAGCTTCTAGTTGCCATTTTGTCTAAATATGTGTTAATAGCTTATGCACTGATTTCAGTTAAATGAGTAAATAGGCATTTTACTAACTAAAAAATACGTCAATATCTAATTTCCACAACAATAATCTAATTTTGGCAATTCAATGAGGAATAAGTCAGTACAAAACATATGGCTTAGGTGGAGCCACAAAGGCAATAAAGTCTAAATCCTAAATTAAAATGTAATATTTATTGTATAATGTCCCAAAAAATACAAAAGAGAAAAAATGCAAATAAACCCCAAGGATTCAAACAGTGGTATAGGCACAACACAGCTTAAATGGACATGCATGCTTTTGAGATTACTGTCTAATTCAAAGGCTTTGTCTTTGCCTAGGATATGCGCCAGCAATGAGCACGCATAATGTGCGTTTATGGTTGACTCTTCCTCATGGCACATAGAGAACGGCGCTGTCTGATCCCAGCAATTCAGCCTAGTGTTGGACACTCCTCGCCAGATACTTTGTCAAACTGCAAGTCTGTGCATTAACCATAAGAGTCTGAGGATAGTCAAATACAGATTAACCAGAGACAAAATCTATTAATTTTTTTAAACATTTACAAGAGAAACCAAGACCCTTTTTGACTGCAGGTGGATATTTTTGTCCACTGTTATGTGCATAGTCCAGCATTGTGCATTCTGTTTTCCAGTTTTATAGGTGAATGCTGCACAATGCAGTGTTCAGTCTACAGACATCCCAACATGCAAAAGTTCATTTCAGGGAGATGGCTTCACCAGCAACCGCACACCCCACGCGCGCACCCCCCCTCCTCCCCCATCACACGGGCGTTCACACACACACACAAAACGCATACCCCAAAATGCACACAGCCACCAAACATGTATGAATAAAGACATGATATTTTATTATGACAGAACACTATTTACACACACTATTAAATACACGGACTCATGCAAACACCTTGACACACAGATACGGACACTGACACATGCAGACAAACACTTGCACATATACACAGTTACACACACTGGCACATACACAAACACTCAGGTACATTCTGACATACAGATACACACACACACTCAAATACACACAGATACACATACTGGTATATGCACACACTTAGATACATACAGATACACACAATAGCACATACACACTCACTCAGATACACACAAACAGACTCAGATACACACACTTAGATACATACAGATACACACTGGCATACAGTCACTCAGATACACACACCCACAAACACACTCAGATACACACACAAGGCATAATAATTTGATCTGCAGCCACCTTACCCTGCCTTGTGTCCTGGCTGAAACTGATGGGAGTGAGCATGAAGCTGCTCACTCCAGCCTCTCCTATGCCTCCATGCTGCTTGTATGCTCCTGCCTCCTCCTCTTGCTCCCTCCTGTGAGGCTGTCTTCTTAGCTGGGAGGAAGTGACAGGCTGTGTATCACTTCCTCCCAGCCAGCAGATACTGCAGGGGCCAGGCGAGCATTTAGCATATGTATTAAGGCTGTTTGGCCTGTATTTGTGGGAGGGGCTTAAATTAATTCACTTCCCTATGTAAGGGACACCCCTTACCTGACTCATGTTGCTTGAGGTCAGCATCAGAATGATTTCCACTTCCGGGTCATCCAGACGCCATTTTACCTGATTACTCCATGAGGTTTTCTAAGCTGAGCTATGTCAGGAATTCAGCCACAGGCTTTTCCGGCCTTCCACATTCTTTCTTCAATCTATCGCTGTGGATGGTGTCCAAGTGACTCACAAACCGTAAGTCGACCTACCCGTTACGCCAGGCATCAGTCCCACGGCACCATGCACGGGTCAGGTCCTCACTTTCCTGCTGCATTTTGTCTAAATCTGTCCTAAAACCATTGCATGTTCATGCATATCATTCGTTTAAACTCACTTGTTTATATCTGTCACTGGCTCATTTTGAGCATTAGCATACTCCCAAACGGGAACACATTCTGTTTCAATTGCCTAAACATACTAGGCAATTCTGTGCGTGCATTTTGAATCTCACTGCTCGTTTCGTTTTGTTTCCTTGACATACCAGGCTCACGGTTCGTGCAATTTTCTACCAAACGGGAACTAGTTCATGCATTTACTATTGTACTACACACACGCTTCATGCATTTACAACCCACGAACAGAACTTTGGTTTGTTACAATGACTGTTATTAAGCTAATATGTTCACTTATTGTATATTGTCAAACGGGCACTGTTTGTTTCCCTGTCATACAACTATAATGCTGGGGCATAGCTCACGAACAATGTTTCACATAAACCACACTGACCCCTACAGGTCACTCTCAAATTCTCACGTTAACCTTGCATTTGGATTAACCCCTTAAGGACCAAACTCTGGAATAAAAGGGAATCATGACATGTCACACATGTCATGTATCCTTCAGGGGTTAAAGGGTATTTTACCATACAATCAGCATTTCTGACCCCTACTGGTCAACAGCAAAACTGTCTTCACATGTCATATACAATTACCAGCCAATATAAATTACACATAAGATTGTTTTAAACATAACCATAAACCATAAATTAAACTCCAGCATGGGCTCAACTTCAGGTTTAATTCACAATAATTTACATTTCACATCAAGACCAACAGTGGTTCTATCAACACTGCCACCTACAGGTCTGTCAAGTACATTGACAATTTTCATGGGGTTTCACAAACACCAAAACACTGTCCCCTATAGGTCAACAGACAAACAACATTTCACATACCAATCAGTATCAACTACACTGCCACCTATAGGGCACTCGGCAGATCTCCAGTGCACTTGCATTTTGCAACACCATGTTCACTGACCCCTACCATTCAATAAGGCATGCAACAATTCACATAACAAGCAGTATATCAACATCTGGTATAAATACACATATTATTACACAGTTGCACACGCATCTGTATATACGTAACTGGTAATATAGTTCACATACATTTTTCACAGCACACTGCTCACACAACAGACTTTCCCCTTGCAAGGGGACATACAACATACAAGGTGGGGACAGACCACTTTTTCACTTGTACATACGGCACTTAATGGGTTAAGATTGATACATATTTAACCAGTATGGCTATGATGTTTAATATTTACATATCACGGTACTTTACTTTTCACATATACTGTATGTTTTAAGATAAGCTTGGTCTATGCCATATTTCCTTATGCCATACGATTTTATCCATTCAGGTTACAGTTACTACTAAAAAACCTATACAGATTGTCAGGTTCAATACCATACTGCAAGGTACGTACACCTGCTCACGTAGTTATCCATCTCTTACCTTCCCTGGAATAGTAGTAATGTACTGGCAATTAGGGTTCTATGGCCCAATAGGTATTACCCCCTGTTTTCTCTGCTTTATGCTTCGGTTAGTGGTCCCGCGAGGCCAACACCCCGCCTCACACTCGGAGGCATACACCCCTCGGGCCACTCGTGAGCTAGCCGCCTCGCACTGTATTATAGAGAGGGCCTCACCTGTCACTCCCCTTCCTATTTTCTGGTTACTGTCACCGAGAGGCCAAAATCCTGCCACAACGTTCGGTGGCCACAAAAAATCCCCACGCGCCAAGCATAGATAGAGCCTCTCAAGCCACTTGGCAACTAGCAGGGCCTCACCAGTCACCAAAAAACACCAAGCCTAATCGTTTCGCCTTATGGCTTAGTTAGCAAGCCAGTACAAGACCCCTGGGTACAAATAATAATTGCAATCTTTATTGTTATTTAAGTATTTCTCAAAAAGATGGTGAAGAATCACCTCTTCCTGGCACCCCGACTAGAAGTGATACACCTTCAAGCAGAGGAGATGTGGCTCCGACCTAACCCTGCCACAGCAAGGAAAGCAGTTATTCAAACTCCTCCATACATCAACGGACAACACGGAGGCAGGGGAAGGCCCAGCAACACCAACTCAGGTGACACCCAGGCCATGTTAGCGTCACTCATAAACTCATGAGTCAAAAGATTTATGACAGACTGGCAATCTCGAGTTGGTCACCACAGCCCTCACAAGGCTGGGCCTCATGCTACTGTACAACCAGCACCAACCGAAACTCGGTTACCTGGTACAATTCTTGGTACAAGACGTTAACCCTGCACATATGATCCCGGCACACTGGGGAAACAAGGTATAAATATGTATGATGATGTATTTATGATGGTCAGACCCAGGGATTCCAGATAAATCGGGAACGGACCATCCCTTGGTTGTGTTGGCATTTGGAATATGTAGAGATGCTTATTTGTGCAGGTACCCATACAGAAGGGATTTTCTCCCAAACAAATGGACGAGCTCTCTCAGGCTCCAGGTACCAACACCTCTGAACTCCCAGAGACAATTGGTATGAGTAGTTGCATTGCATATAGACTGTTGCATATATGTTCAAATCATTCAGGGCACGTGACAAACCATGTGTCCCAATACAACTTACAAATAAAGTACTCACCATCTGTACACACCAATGCATTTTCAACACTACTGACTCATCACCCCTCCAGACTTGTAGTAGATTTACTAAAGCTCTGGAGCTTCAAAGGGCTCCCATACAGGTATCATCAATACACCTTCAAGGAATATAGCATGCCCTCACTTACAGTCAGCACAACAGAACCATTGGCTGTAAACACATTCATAGCCAAGATTTGCAGAGGGGTTTTAACTTGGGTTTTCCAATCTCCACCATTTACAGCATGACGCCAAACACAAACACATTGGTATTGTCACAAGGGAATCTTCCCATAAACAAAGACTAACCATAGACTTATTGGCACCACACACCTTCGCTACCCCAAGTCTCAACTCCCTCATACCCTCCGAGGAGATTCCTTACTATACACACCATTGATCTACCTTTACAGCTATCACTCAAGCATGGGTTGAAGCTTGGTTAAGTAAGACCAATATCCTCAACGCAGTAAACGGCTACCATCTACCCTACACACTGGCACTTAGATGGCATAAAATGGGCAATCCTTTCCCCGCTAAAAGCAGCTGCTGTGGCATGGGGTAAATCATGGTCAAGGTCATCAATCCGTTGTTACTCAGACAACTAAGCACATGTCATATCATCAACAAATGCTACTCATCATCCATTCGATCATGGTATTGCTGGGGAACTCACTTGGTTGGCCACTTATCACATTTCTTTTACTTTCATGTACCAGGCGGGGCTATACATCCCTGCCGACAATTGTCTCATTTATATTCCAGGCACGTTCATCATACTCTTCCTACAGCCGCCCATACAGTCACGGCCACTCTTTCGTTCCAGAGACAAAATCATGGATTAGACATACTCATGCAGCATAGCATGCACTATCCCACCTAGCACTTTCATCCCATACTTGTAGAACGCATAACACAGCTATTAACATGGCTTTAAAGAATCTCATTGGAACACGACATAGCTCAACCTGTGTCATAACATTTCTCCTAGGTTTTGCTTAATTTTTGCCACCTTAAACTAAAACCATCTCACACACCATTAATTATATATTTTACAGGCATTCAACAACACAGGATAACCTATGGCCAAAACTACCATAACTTCATGCTATCATACCAGACAAGAATATACTCAGAGGTTTTCAGGAATCCATTCCCCCACGTTCCTCTCAGAGATTACCAATAGCCATCCAACTTTTCCATCCTTATCGGACCTATTAGAGCTACAACCATTCAATTATACTACCAAGTCGGCCATTACCAGCCATGCACACTGCCTTTTATGCCTTTCTCAGGCCAGAGAATCCACTACCATAACCACCACTCAGACAGATCATTGTCTTCAACAATCCCACATATGTAAACACATATATCATTACCTATTGGCTCTACCACATTCCGAAACGAGTCAACACGCACCAACAGTAGAGATAACATACTATCCTACCCACAACAAATGGTGTCCAGTTGCGGTCCTAGATTCCTACCTTCAAAAATCCTTCCAGGAATTAAATACCGTAATGCATTTAAGGAAATGTCTGGTTAATTTGTATATATTGTTGACTGTATTAAATCTTTGATTATTCTTTTTGCCCTCTTTATTTACAGGCCTACCGTATCGTCGGTCTCGGCACACCACAACCGACTTGCTCCCTTTATACTATCCTACGCTTATGCTGGAACCTTACTCCATATACGGCTATTTGCCCCTTACACAAGTGTTAAGGCCTTTTGGCCTGTATTTGTGGGAGGGGCTTAAATTAATTCACTCCCCTATATAAGGGACACCCCTTACCTGACTCATATCGCTTGAGGTCAGCATCAGAATGACCCTCCCACCCACTCCTCATTTCAACACTTTCTCTTTTCTTTCCATTTACTTTACTTACTTAGGCCCTCTTTATTTACAGGCCTACCGTATCGTCGGTCTCGGCACACCACAACCGACTTGCTCCCTTTATACTATCCTACGCTTATACTGGAACCTTACTCCATAAATGGCTATTTGCCCCTTACACAAATAATATATATACATATACATACATATATATATATATAACAGCCTGGAAATCACACACACACAATCTGATATGCATTGTGATTTCTGGGATATTGTATGAGACATGAGGGTGTCAGGGAGCCACTCTACAAATCCGGGAGTCTCCTGGACCTACCGGGAGACTTGGGATGTTTGAGTATGCACTCACTGTCTGACTGAGCATTCTAACATATATGTATGTATGTATACTGATCAGCCACAACACCAAAACTACTGACAGATGAAGTGAATAACAATGATTATATTGTTTCGACACCTGTCAAGGGGTGGGATATATTAGGCAGCAATTGAATAGTCAGTTCTTGAATTTAATGTGTTGGAGGCAGGAACTATGCGCAAGCGAAATAATTGGCTGGACCAGTGGGTCAGAGCATCTCCAAGTGGCAAGTCTTGTGGTGTGTCCCTGGTGCGCAGTGGTTGCCTATCAAAAGTGGTGCAAGGAAGGACAATCAGTGAATGGGTGTCAGTGTCAAGGGTGCCCAAGGCTCATTCATAAATGTGGGGAGCGAAGACAAGACTGTCTGGTCCAATTACACAGAAGAGCTACTGCAGCTTAAATTGCTTTAAAAAGGGGCGGGGCCTGACTTTCATGAAGGGGAGAGGTCTCTCGATTGAGCTCCTCACTAATCTTGATAACTACAGCCATTTTCAGCTCCCCTCTCCCCCCCAGACCGGCAGGGGTGATCTCTGTCCATCCATGGGAGAAAATCCTGATTTAATAGCATCACAGGGTGAATCAATGCAGGCTGCAGGAATACTTAACGAGTCAATCAAGATGGCGGACGACCTGTGGACCGTCTTGCCCAGGCTGGACAAAATACTTTATTTCTGGCAACGTCTTAAAAGCAGGATGCATCCACCTGCCTCCGTCAATCACTCAACTAAACAGAGGATCCCTACAACGCAACAGCAGTCCACAGCTCCTGCAGAAAACTGGGCCCCAACATGGCGGCATGGCAATGAGAACCCATTGCGGCTACGCAGTATGAAAAAGGGCGCTGCCCTCTTTTGAAATTGTCAGTTACCAGGGAAAGCCCCACACACGTGGTGTAGCCCTGCACCAAGGTCTACACCAGGAGGTGGAAAGCCTGCCACGTTACCTCAGGACTCTGACGTGCCACTGGCTGACATAGATTGATCTGGGAATCCTTGGCTCATAGCCATCCATCTTGTCCATCCCATTCTATATATATTGGGGAGTTAGTTATATCCTACTCATTACCCATACATCCTTAACCTTTATTTTCATCTTATCAATCTATTTTTGTTTGTCCTATCTTTGGCTACTTACTCCTAGTTTCCTATTCCATATATATCTCTGGAGAACCTTGTTCCTGAAGAGGAATGATTATAGCTTTTCCCACACATTAGTCAAGACTGAATGTAGGGGAGTAGAATGCAGCTTTATTGTACAAAACAAAAGGTATTTATAGAGAGAAATGTGGATTCCCACACCAGAGGGTCCCCCAAGCTATTCATTAGCAGTTACAATAGTCCCACCCCATTGTCAGTCTGTCTCGGATGTTGATTCCAACATCCCGAACTAATCAGACTATGCTGTGCTTTCCCAGACATAGTTCCAATGTCCCCCGGAACCCTATTCCCTGGACAGCACCCCCAGTGTTCAAATAGCGACCTGATTGAAGAATTCGTGACATGATTGGAGAATCTGCATCTGATTTATCGCTCATTAATATTTAACTGGGTCACAGCCATTCTCTGATCTGGCTCAGAGCTCCAGGCATTTGGCTGTTTTGTTCCGGTCTCAAAAACAGGCTTCCTGGGGCTCAGGGGAGGCAAGCACCCCAACATGTTATATGCCCCTGGGTTGCTCCTCATATTATAATGATAATGTGATAATGATAATGTGTACATCAGTGACCCATGGAAGTCAGGTGTTCTAGTTGTAAAGTGTCATCTTTGTCCTTATATGTTGTGGAGAGAGTCATAGATTACGCATATCTGAGTGTGGTGCAGTTTATAGGGAATATAAGTGACTGGCTGGGTAGATGGTTATGGAGATACAATGGATAATATTCAGACATGAAAATTCAACACAAACATAACCCTGTATAGACACAATGTCAATGCATAGACACATACCGCACAACACAGGGAGGTATGTAAATCGCTTCGAGGTGGGTGGGACTAACAGAGGGAGGGTCTGTGATGTGATGTGCATTACTGACACTGCCCAATGGGGCCACCCTTAAAATGGACATAGCCTGGTGTGATTGCATGCCAGGCTTAATTCCAATAATGCTGGCTGACTCACTAAAGTATGAACAAAAATATATAGGTCAACAACAGAGAATACTAAAAATACAAATAACTGTATATATGGGCAGCTATACACAACACGAGCAAAAAAGATACAAAGAGTAAAATATAAAAATAAAGTGCAAGCCCTCCTAGTAACACAATATGTCCATAAGTTAATAGTTCAGTTCTGACTCACTAAAGGCAGAACATGTTTCCTTGTGTCCCGATAAACAGAATATCAAGGATCAAACCTGGGAAAGTGGGATAGGAGACTGAAATATAAACTGTTCTAAATCATGACAGGTAGGAGGCCTTTGGACATGCAGACACCTGATATCTTTATTATTTATGTTTATACACTCATCTGGGTGTTTTATTTAAAATACTTTCCCCAAAGCATAGACATTGTAAAAGGATAATTTCTTACATCCTGGAACTAATCTCTAACTTGTGAGCTTGGAATCTACAATTATGTAACATTATGGGTATTGTCTCTAAATAATTTTTACCGGCCTACAAGCAAACTACTTGTAAGCAGAAATGTTACAAATTAAAATAGGCTGAAAAAAGATCAACTTCAGTATTTAACACATCTACTGTTGATCCAAAAGAAAACTCTGTTAAGTGATCTCCAATTTTGCCACAAATTGGTGAAATAAAATCCTTCTTGACTCAAAAACGGAAGGCAGACAAAAATTGCAGTCAGATTGCTCCTTGAAACAAAAAACGGTAACACTATATATTAACTATTAAAACTAACCCAATTATTATTAGTACTCAAAATGTTCTTCCCAAATAAAAAACACATTCTACACTCAAGACGCATATTTATCTATGATGTGTCTTCCCCTGTGATGAAAATAAAAAAAATAAAAAAAATGCACTACTTTACCAAGCATGCGGCATTCTTCCATATTGGGTTAGAGTATTCAAATACGAAATTAAAAGTCCTTACGCATACAGGCCATTTTGCTGATTCGAATCAGAAAAGAAAAACAGAATTTTAAGAGTACTGTACATGCCTAATTGGCCTGAATTATTTCACTTGCAGGAATATGTTTCTATAAAAAGAAATCCCAGAAGTCATTGAAGACAAAGTATTACAGCTCGTGTCCTATATTTCTAAATTCAGAACTTCATTGCACAAAAATTACAGTTTAAAAGTTTGAATTAGGCTTCTAAAAAAGCAAGGAAACAGGATATGTACTTACTGGTGGGCCACTGTAGACTTGTATTGTTCTTTGTTTTCACATAATGCATAGGTCTTATGCCTATGAGACTTTTATAATTTGTATATTGGCATGTCTATGAAATGTTGTAAAAAATGTGATAGGTATCCTGATGATTAAAGGAACACTCCTGGCACCATAAAAACATAATCGAAATATAATGGTGTCTGTGTGTGTTCTGGCTGCGTGAAATGTGTCTGCATGCTGGATGTCTCTAATGTGTGGCTGTGTTGTGTATGGAATGCGGTTTTGCCAAAAAGTTAAGTAGGAGAAGAAAAAAAGAAAACAAAAACAAACACTCACCACATCCTAACACATTATACACTGCCAACCCACATATTATTAGCCATGGTCTCTGGTGGCTGTGCGTAATGTTTGTGGTGTGCTGGCTAGATCTACTGTATGTTAGTGATGTGTGCTAGCTGTGCGTTATTTGTGTATTTTGGCTGTCTTTATTGTGTGTGCTCTCTTTTGCCTCCTACCTGCAGAAAGGTAACCAAGAAGGGGGGAAGGGGGGTGGAGAAGGGGTAAAACAAATTACATCAGCTATGGTCCTTTGTGGTCAAGTATGGGAGTGTGTAGTTTGCACCTCTGGCTGGTGCAGACCACAGTAATCACTCCCTTTGCAGTCCAGTGAGTCAGACCACTACCTGGAAAATTTTTAATTTTGACTCATAAGTGAGCTTCGACCACAAGGGAGTAATTATTGTGCTCTGCTGGCACTGACAGTGCAGACCACAAGCTTTCTCAGCCAAACCTGTCCTCCACAGGTAACCTTGCCACCTGCCCACAACTCAGATAAATGTCCAAGAAACAAGAAGAAAAAGTATTTCAGGGCCCAAAACTACATGTCCTTGGCATTCGGGGATAATAATTCTACATGCAAGACGTATTTGGGCAGCAAAGGAGGACAATGACCACAGATAAGTACTGACCTGAGGAGTGTCTGTCAGGTCTCTCAGAGTTGATCGCAGTGATTGGAGGGCTAAATGCTGTGACTAGTTGTCAGACCAACCAAAGAATAGAAAACAAATATCCTATACTGGTTCACGCCGATATTCCAATCAATTTGCTGGTCTTTAAATATGGATTTGAATCAAGTAATACAATGTAGTCAGCGACAAAGAGAAAATAATTAAACTTTATTGGTAAATGTATGTGTCAATATAAAGTCATAGTGTTGGTCCATTGGAATCTGAGATGGGCAAGTTATTCAAGGAGGATCAGGACAAGGCCGAAGTACAAACGAATTAGCTTTCTTCAGTATATGGGGAGGAAGAATGTATGGTTGTAGATTTGCAGATCCCTGTTACAGCAGATGATAGCTTAACACAAAATAAAGTTCTATGGAAATTAAATAAAGTTAATGTAAACAAAGGGCCAGATAATATTCATCCACATGTGATTAGGAAGCTTACCAGTGCCAGAAGTAATGCAGAGAGGGCCCCGGTGCAAGAAATTATGGCTAATAGATAAATTCCCAGTCGTCGTAGATTTTGCACAATGCATTGCCAGCTGGGGACCTACCATTTGGTCATCCTTGCAGGCTTTTACTTGTGAGCAGTTTTTGTGAGTTTGAATATAAGCATGTTTGTGTAGGCAGTATGTGTGTGAGAACTTAGGGGTGTATTTGTGTGTAGTGTTGGCATGTGAATGTAGTTATGTGTTAATATGTGTGACGAGACCAATCTCGCCACTGTGCATTGGAGGAGCCTGGTTGCCCGTCTGCTTGATTTTCCCCTGCAAAGACACGAAAGCCGGGTCATTCGGTGCTTGCCCTGTTTGAGCGGTGATACCCCAGATAGCTATGCCATGGAGTCCATTCGTATAATGAAAGACTTTGGCTCCATGGCAATTGAACTGTATGTGTGTGGTCTGAGTGCCATTCGGTAATAATGTGTGCTCAGGCCTAAGTTATCTGGGGATATGTTGCATGTCTGTATTTTATGTAATAAATGTAACCTTGTGTATTTTATTGTATTTTGCTGTCTTTTTACTGCCATGTGCTTAATGGAGTTTTGCCTCTGTCCTTGGAGCTAATTGGATTACTTCCCAATTATCTCCAGGATAGAAGACTCTGTGGAACAGGTTTTGGTCAGAAAAGCCATGCTTCCTTTGGTCTCAAAGGACTTTGATCTATTTTTTGAACCAATGGACCAATGTGGATGATTCTGACATATGTTCATATTTGGCGTATGCTGATTCTGAAAATGGAAGTTTTATGTGAATGTGATGCATACTTTTAAAGTTAGGAATAATGTGGAAAAACTGTATTTCTCTGTCTGTGATAATTATATTACCCATTGTGTAAGGTAATTGTATCACAGGCAGAGGGGAGGATTTTGTGTGGGAGTGTCTGAGTGTATTGTACGTGTTTATTGGTTGTTTTCCAAAACCCTGTGGGTGGTACTAATGTGTATATAAGGACAATAAACCCACAGCTCTGTCTTTTCCTGTTTGACCCTCAAAACAGAGCCTCGTCTCGTTCTTGGAGGGATTTATTGTATGCTGTTAGAGACTGATTGCCAGGAGTGTAAGCCGCTTGGGTGCTTTTGCTGTTCAGCTGCTAGCAGCTATACGTGAGGTTCCAGTTCGGGAGTTTGGGGTTCTGCGGTAGCTGTGCCTGTGTCTCTGGAAGAGGAAGATCTTCTAAACGGTGGTTTAACCCCTTTTATGTATGGGGGTGCCGTTACAATATGTACTGTTGCTACTTAAAAGCAGTGGTGTACACATGTCATGTGTTTGAATGCAAGGGTCTGTTTATTTGTAGTGTTGGAGTTTGAATGCTGGGATGTATGCACATATACGCCCACACACGGTAACACAAAAATACTAACAAACATAAATCTTCACAGACATACACATATACCTACACTGTCCCACACTCAGACTTACAAACAAATACCTATGTACAAAAGCAGGTAGAGGCACTAAACATTCAATGCATGGTAGCAGTGAATCTGCAAGAATTCCCAAAGGCTTGTGTAAGGTACAAAATGTGACAAAAAGAAATGTGATAAACCGCAAAATTATACAAATAACAACCAGTGTTTAAAATAACCTTATTGTCCATATAGAGTGTGTGTGTATATATATATATATATATATATATATATATTTATATTAGATGTGACATATTACACTATTTGTCTTTTTCTGAGGTATTTTGAGTTGTTACTCACCTGCTCCTAAAAAGTGTGTGTGTGTATATATATATATATATATATATATATATATATATATATATATATATATATATATATATATATATAAAATATGTGTGTGTGTGTATATATACACACACACACACACACACTTTTTAGGAGCAGGTGAGTAACAACTCAAAATACCTCAGAAAAAGACAAATAGTGTAATATGTCACATCTACTAAAATTATTGTTAATATGTATAAAAGACTAACTCACACTTTGCTGAGCTACTAAGAGCTCTGCTGTATAGCGCTTGGACGGATCAATCCCGGTCTAAGGATATATGTTGATTCAGTGTAGCATACGTCTAGTACTCCAGCATGCAAAACAATAAAGCAGAAGAAATCAGATAGTGTAGTTAGTATGTCTATACAGGTATCAGTATAGACATACTACACCACCAGATTTCTTCTGCTTTATGTTTCTGCATGCTAGAGTACTACGCCAAATATATATGTTGGTGGAGAGGAGCATTTATAGCCTGAGCAGACCTACCTGCTCTGCACATGTGAGTGATATTCACAAAATATTTTATTTCAGAACAGTATTACACTATATGCTGTTTTATGTTGTGTGAACATTTAAGTTAAGTGTAATACACGTGACACTGGTATTGTACGTGTCTGTAATTTTATGTCACTTATTGTGTATTTTGGAATAGCATGGAGTACAATTGCACTTTAACAATATGTGCATTTTATTGATTGTATTGTGCATCTTTTGTATTAGTTTTTACACTACACTTATGATATTGTGGTATAGACTGTGAATTACAAATTGTCTTCAAGACAAACCACACTTTTTTGTATGTACTCTTTTTGACTGCATCAATAAAATTTAGATAAAAAAAAATAAAAAATAAATTATACATTTGTTTTTGAACATTGAGAGAAAGATGACCTATCAGCAGAATGATCCTAAACATATTGTAAAAAAGTGATTGTGGAATGACTGAACAAAAACGATAATATCCTAGTACTGGACAAATCCCTGTCCTGATCCCAATCCTATTGAAAAAACTGTTGTACTTTTTGAAAACCGCACTCCAGAAGGGCCACCCAACCAACCAGAGTCACCTTGAGCAAATCTGCCAAGATAACTGGGCAACAATTACTCCCAACGTTGATAGCTCTTCCCTAACTAATAAAAAGTATCTATACATTGGTTTTTTCACCATGTCTGCATTCATCTACATATGCTATTATTTCATAACTTTGTTTCCAGTACAGATGTACAAATATATCAATACAGACATACAAGTGAACTAAATGTACAAAGAAGTGACATTGAAGATAGCAAAAAAGAAAAACACGCAGACACACTTTTCTATACACTTTATAGAAATTCTACTTTTTTTGTTTTCAGGGAACTTTGTTATGGTCATAGCACAAAGTAACAACACAAATTTAAAAAGGCACCTTCTGTAAAAAGGAAATCACGTAAAATAATGTTAAAAACAAACAGCTAGAAAAAGGCTCATCCCAGAAAGGACAGCGCGCGTGCACACACACACACATTTATTCATTCTCTCTCCCTCCTTAAATTGATGACCACAAACAAATGAAGTACATTCACAAACCTGCCCATGCTGGCAGATCTGAAGTTAGGATGGATGGTTGAGTTTGGGAGAAGCTGAAGATCTCCCTTTGGAGCTTGGTGTGTCATCCATGTGTGCCAGGATAACAGGCTGCCTGTAAGGACCTCCAATCAGTGCTGTCTAGAAGAACTGCTGATGTGCCCTAAAATGCACCTTGATTGTAGACAAATGCTCTGACGCAAGCTAACTCGCTCTCACCACAATTTGAAATATCTCCAGTTCTGAGAGCCCTATCTGCATGCTTACATGATTTATAATCTCAGACAATGGCTACGCTACCCACATGCATACATCAATAAAAACAAAAGGCATAATGGACTGATAAATTTACAGTTCAGAATTTAAGCACCATAGACATGTAATTTACTTGTCTTATGAAGTGAGCGGATTCAGTCCTGCCCTTTCAGCATTCTGTTGCAAGTACGATTGAGTCTCTTTGGAGTATGTTTGTATCTCTTCATTTTAAAATCCCATATAAAAAACAGAATTCAACTAACTGTTGACAGTAAGATACAATACTAACTAATGTAAAGTTAATGCCCTTCTAAAACCAGTCATAAAAACAGTTGACACTCCAATGTTGTGTTAACAGAATAAGATATTTCCCTTCATTGCATTGCTATCAAAGCTTTACATAGCACTTCTGCAAGAAGCAGTGTAGTATATATTCATCATGCCCTTTCTCTGATTTACAGGGTTATACACAAACATGAAAATTCAAGTTGAATTCCAAATTTATAGAGATACTATAGTCAAGAGAACAACTACAGTTTAATGTGGTTGTTCTGGTGAGTATAGCCTGCCCTGCTGCCTTTTTAGAGGAAAGGCAGTGTTTACATTGCTCCCTAGGGACATCTCCAGTGGCCACTAGATGTGCTTCCTGGGGCAGTAACATTCAGCATCTTCACACTCTGCATGGAGATGCTGAACTTTCCCCATAGAGATGCATTGATTCAATGCATCTCTATAAGGAGATGCTGATTGACCAACCTAGTGTTTGGTCACACCCACTTGACAATCTCAGCAATGATTTTGCCGTGGGAAAGCACTGAATTGGCTGAAAATAGATTCTGATGTCAGCCAAGAAAGTGGATCGTGGTGGGGCCAGAAGACCTTTGCGGCAGTGGAAATAAGGGAAGTTTATTTACTTTTAGGGGGCAAATCACCTAAATGGTGGTTATAACACTATAGGGTCAGGAATTCATGTCTGTGTTCCTGACTCTATAGTGTTCCTTTAAGGTGAAACTAGCCAAACTGGAAATATTCTCTCAGTCAACTATGTTTACAGTTCAGCTACTCTGGCCTTAAATTTAAAATTCATTTTGTAAGTATACAAAATTGAAAGCGGATTGGTTCAATTTCCAAAGCCATTATTCAGTCAAAGGAATGGGCCATGTTTGGAAACACACTTCTGGATTTAAATAATGACAGACATTGGGAGAGGTTTTTTTTTTTGGAATCATGATACTTGAGTCTAGTGTTTCCATAAAAAAATTGTCTGATAGTCTTTTAATTTATCACGTGTATTTTTATAGTCTTTGCCATATTGCTTCCCCCCCCCCCTTAATTTTAATTTGTTTCTCTCTTTTCTCAGTAATCTCAACCTTCCAGAATGGAAGATTATTTTTCATGTTACTTACCTTATTAGATAAAGTATTACTAGTCTACTGTACTTTCCCTTTACAAAGTCATCTCTGCCACTCATTCTCTGACTCAGAGGGGTGGCGCCATTTGATCTAAGACCCATCCCTCCTTTTTCAGCACGAGATCCACGGCTTGCCCCACATCTTGCACTACATATGAAGCCTCCACCAAAGTGGGGTCAAGGCGGAAATCACGGTGCCCATGGAAGACTGTCTGCGTCACACTCTCTTGAGGATCAGGTGGTACCTCTTTCTGATTGCCATAAACCCCTGTACAGACTAGGATTGACTGACAGCTCTGTGGGCGACCGTCCTCCATCCTTCCAGGCTGGCTTTGGAGGTGTAGATTATACAGATTGGCTCCATATATATCTGCCATTGGATTATCTCTGAAATAAGATATAAACATACATTCATAAGAGAATATTTTGTATTTATGTGAACAGTCCAGTACAAACTGAAAAAGGTAAGGTGACAAAGAAAATAAAAATCAAATATATTCCAAAATTTATGAAACACAGGATATATTAATATTGCAATAGAGGACTTACCCAACAGCATACAGTGTATGGATGGGATTACTCCAGTTTCGCTCCTTGGCCTGTTTCAGAATGAGGTGCTCAGCAAAGCTGTAGGTCACTGTACTGGGTTTCCCGATCAGGGCTTCATACTTCAGTTGATGCCCAGTAAGTTTGTGATACAAAGTCTCCAAACATACCAGAAATGTACCATGGCCAAATCTGTTAATTGAAACATTCTGTAAATGGTGCAAAACCCATATTAACACATTCTGAATGATCTGCATGCACACAATATGTACATGAAGACTCCAAGGTTAAACCATTTGTGAAAAGTTTAACTAATAATGGCAAGTGTGTTGCCAGGTACCTCCTGGCACCATACAACTTTATTACAAATAAGTTGCTATGGTACCTGGAGGTTCCATTTAATCACATACAGGGTTGCTTCATTTTCTGTATATATATATTAATTTACAATAAGCAGTCCCTTATGACAGAATAAATTATTTTAATTGATACAGACCTAGGGGCTTTGGCTTCTGCCATCCAGACAAGGTCCATATTACAAGCCATGACTGGAATGTGTGGATATGGGACCTGTGAGAGCCACTCTGAGGGTCTTCCTGCACTCAGCAAAACATCTAGGATAAGCTGCAGGCTGGTCTCCCATCGAACTGGTTCACCAATCAGGACCACAGCTGCAAAACAATTGGAATATTGTGACCAAGCACTGTACAACAATTAAAAGGCAATCTTAGAGGTTTGTAGACCATGGAACATATTAAAGGAACACTATAGTCACCTAAACAACTTTAGCTTAAAGGACCACTATAGGCACCCAGACCACTTCAGCTAAATGAAGTGGTCTGGGTGCCAGGTCCATCTAGGGTTAACCCTGCCTGCTGTAAACATAGCAGTTTCAGAGAAACTGCTATGTTTACATATGGGTTAATCCAGCCTCTAGTGGCGGTCTCACTGACAGCCGCTAGAGGCGCTTCCACGCTTCTCACTGTGATCACAGTGAGAAGACACCAGCGTCCATAGGAAAGCATTGAGAATGCTTTCCTATGGACTGAATGAATGCGCGCGCGGCTCTTGCCGCGCATGCACATTCAGCCGATGACGTCGGAAGGAGGAGGAGAGACCCCAGCGCAAAGGGAGCCCATTTAAGAGTTAAGGGGACACTATAGTCACCTGAACAACTTTAGCTTAATGAAGCAATTTTGGTGTATAGAACATGCCCCTGCAGCCTCACTGCTCAATCCTCTGCCATTTAGGAGTTAGATCCCTTTGTTTGACTTGCACAGCCTTCCATAAACTTCCTGTAAAGAGAGCCCTATTTAGGCTTTCTTTATTGCAAGTTCTGTTTAATTAAGATTTTCTTATCCCCTGCTATATTAATAGCTTGCTACAACCTGCAAGAGCCTCCTCTATGTGATTAAAGTTCAATTTAGAGATTGAGATACAATTATTTAAGGTAAATTACATCTGTTTGAAAGTGAAACCAGTTTGTTTTTTTTCATGCAGGCTTTGTCAATCATAGCCAGGGGAGGTGTGGCTAGGGCTGCATAAACAGAAACAAAGTGATTTAACTCCTAAATGACAGTGTATTGAGCAGTGAAATTGCAGGGGAATGATCTATACACTAAAACTGCTTTATTTAGCTAAAGTAATTTAGGTGACTATAGTGTTCCTTTAAATCACTTTGCTTCTGTTTATGCAGCCTTTGACACACCTCCCCTGGCTCTGATTGACACAGCCTGCATGAAAAAAACTGGTTTCACTTTCAATCAGATGTAATTTACCTTAAAGATTTGTATCTCTTGCTCTGTAAATTGTACTTTAAATCACATACAGCAAACTCTTGCAGGGTCTAGCAAGCTATTAATATAGCAGGGGATAAGAAAATCTAAATTAAATAGAACTTGCAATAAAGGAAGGATAAACATTAGATGACTCTTTACAGGAAGTGTTTAGGAAGGCTGTGCAAATCACATGCAGGAAGGTGTAACTAGGGTTCATAAACAAAGTGATTTAACTCCTAAATGGCAGATAATTGAGCATTGAGGCTGTAGGGGCATTATCTATACACCAAAACTGTTTCATTAAGCTAAAGTTGTTTTGGTGACTACTGTGTCCCTTTAAATAGTGTTTAGTGGCAGGTATGACAGACATTTTAAGCTTATAAAGTTTAAATAAGAGTTCTCACCTTCAATGGCAGGAAAAGCCGAACTAATGAGGGGCTGCAATAAAAGAGGTAACAAAATAAGATAAACGAATATTAGAGTACAAAATAGATTACAACACTTTTTAGGAAGTCTTGTTTATATTTTAAAATTTTACGAACAACATATAATAGCAACACTCTTGTACTCATCTTCACTAATCTCTGCACAATCTCTAAATTAAAATGTTCATTTTCCTGTCTGACCTTCTTTTGACCTTTAGTATCAGCACTTTACACCCAAATTAAAAACACCCAATGTACATCAATCTCACATGAACCTCTATAGCTCTACCCTATCCTCTGAAAGCGATAACATGGCACCTCCCACATGTCAACATCTTAAGTGTCTACAATTGCAACCTTAAACTCTCTAGAACTGATAAGAGTTGCTGCAGAAAGTCTCAACTATTGACACTATAGTGCCTTAGAACCACAGTGCCTGCCCAACATTTGCTCTACTACGACTAGCTTGTTACTTAGTAGAGACTAAATTCTATCACAAAGACTACATAGTCGCATAAAACAAAATCCCAGACCACAAATTCTTGCAGTAGACAAGAGCCTTGTGGCCCCACTGGGCCTACTCCACTATATAGATGTGACTAACCAAACTGTTTACTGTTCCGGTTATTCCTTATTGAAAAGATGTGCAATGTTTCTCTGTGCCATGCTAATGCCACACCAGATGTACTGAATCAAAGCTTGATAATTCTGAAATGGCAGTACATGCTTGTTTGAAAATATTTTGCACTACAAAATTAAGAATTTAAAAAAGAAAGTCCCAACTATCAAATTACTTCCTTCACTATACAGGGAGTGCAGAATTATTAGGCAAATGAGTATTTTGACCACATCATCCTCTTTATGCATGTTGTCTTACTCCAAGCTGTATAGGCTCGAAAGCCTACTACAAATTAAGCATATTAGGTGATGTGCATCTCTGTAATGAGAAGGGGTGTGGTCTAATGACATCAACACCCTATATCAGGTGTGCATAATTATTAGGCAACTTCCTTTCCTTTGGCAAAATGGGTCAAAAGAAGGACTTGACAGGCTCAGAAAAGTCAAAAATAGTGAGATATCTTGTAGAGGGATGCAGCACTCTTAAAATTGCAAAGCTTCTGAAGCGTGATCATCGAACAATCAAGCGTTTCATTCAAAATAGTCAACAGGGTCGCAAGAAGCGTGTGGAAAAACCAAGGCGCAAAATAACTGCCCATGAACTGAGAAAAGTCAAGCGTGCAGCTGCCACGATGCCACTTGCCACCAGTTTGGCCATATTTCAGAGCTGCAACATCACTGGAGTGCCCAAAAGCACAAGGTGTGCAATACTCAGAGACATGGCCAAGGTAAGAAAGGCTGAAAGACGACCACCACTGAACAAGACACACAAGCTGAAACGTCAAGACTGGGCCAAGAAATATCTCAAGACTGATTTTTCTAAGGTTTTATGGACTGATGAAATGAGAGTGAGTCTTGATGGGCCAGATGGATGGGCCCGTGGCTGGATTGGTAAAGGGCAGAGAGCTCCAGTCCGACTCAGACGCCAGCAAGGTGGAGGTGGAGTACTGGTTTGGGCTGGTATCATCAAAGATGAGCTTGTGGGGCCTTTTCGGGTTGAGGATGGAGTCAAGCTCAACTCCCAGTCCTACTGCCAGTTCCTGGAAGACACCTTCTTCAAGCAGTGGTACAGGAAGAAGTCTGCATCCTTCAAGAAAAACATGATTTTCATGCAGGACAATGCTCCATCACACGCGTCCAAGTACTCCACAGCGTGGCTGGCAAGAAAGGGTATAAAAGAAGAAAATCTAATGACATGGCCTCCTTGTTCACCTGATCTGAACCCCATTGAGAACCTGTGGTCCATCATCAAATGTGAGATTTACAAGGAGGGAAAACAGTACACCTCTCTGAACAGTGTCTGGGAGGCTGTGGTTGCTGCTGCACGCAATGTTGATGGTGAACAGATCAAAACACTGACAGAATCCATGGATGGCAGGCTTTTGAGTGTCCTTGCAAAGAAAGGTGGCTATATTGGTCACTGATTTGTTTTTGTTTTGTTTTTGAATGTCAGAAATGTATATTTGTGAATGTTGAGATGTTATATTGGTTTCACTGGTAATAATAAATAATTGAAATGGGTATATATTTGTTTTTTGTTAAGTTGCCTAATAATTATGCACAGTAATAGTCACCTGCACACACAGATATCCCCCTAACATAGCTATAACTAAAAACAAACTAAAAACTACTTCCAAAAATATTCAGCTTTGATATTAATGAGTTTTTTGGGTTCATTGAGAACATGGTTGTTGTTCAATAATAAAATTAATCCTCAAAAATACAACTTGCCTAATAATTCTGCACTCCCTGTACAATTAAGGCACACCTCCTTTTGCCAAAGAAAATCATTTCAAATATTACATAACAATCCACCAATAATCCAAATAACTTTTTCATACTTTAATCGCACAGCTACACCCAAACGTCTCTCTCCTGCTAATCTAACCAATTTAAACTTCAGAGAAGATATGCTGAATCAAGGAAGGGGGCTCAATACTTTCGCCTATCCCCTTCACTACCCAAATGCACGCACACTCAGATCCACTACCATAAAAGAGGTGTCCGCTATGCTTTGGTCCTCTTGCTTCACCAATCTGTCTCTTCTATTACATTCCCACACATCTTAATTGTACACTATACCTCCCACCCTCTTGCTCTGTGTTTCACTAAAATTCACAATCTTACTCTCTCCCTTCAAGCATGCATACAATACGAAAAAAAAAAACTCAACTTTGACCCAAACTCCCCATTTCTATCTCCCTACTACTATTTGCCTCCAAGAACAAGAGCGTTGTGTATAGAAGACTAACTTCCTTGAATCCAATACTCAGTCTGACCCGCTTCAGTCTGGTTTCCTCACTCAGTCTGTCCGCTTTTAAAGTGTCCAATGACACAAAATCCAATAGTTACTACTGCTCTCTAAATCGCTTCTACCTTTCCACTGCTTTTGATACATATTACTGTTGAATACTTCTTTTCAATCTTCATAAAATTTGTCTATGAGGTTCCGCTCTTTTCTTGTATTCCATCTACTTCTCACAGTGCTCTTTCAGTGTCTCCTTATTTGGCATTTCCGCCCCTTAACAACTCCTTGTCAATGCTCCCCAAGATCTCAATTTACACTGCCTCCCTTGGTAAACTAATCATTTCCTCTAGCTTCAAATATCTCTTCTATGGCAATAACATGAAGATCTACCCATCTTTTCCAAATCTTGGCACCCCTCTTGAATAATGTCTCCAGGTGACTCACTTCCATTTCTAAATTAGTTTAAACAAATGAGCCATTCAATCTTTTAAAATCAGAATTTCTCTTTTTTTTTTGAGAATAAAGTTTATTTTTCAGCAATTAGTAATTAACAATAGGACTCACAGGTCCTCTGCCGCAAATATATGTAATCAGAGAGACTATCTGAAAATACAGTTTATCTTGAGCACGCAGGCTCAGTTTAAATTCGGAAACCTGTGCATTACTCACAGGTCTGCCAGTGCATGAGTGGGTATTCAAAATGGAGTCAATTACGTTTAAACTTGGGCCCTCTAACCAAATTTTTTTTAAATAGAATCTCATCTTTATTCAGTGAAGAACTAATGACCTCATGTCGGACTCCAAGGCAATAGCACTGCCATCATTTCTACCCCACAGACGACAACCCCTTCAACCACTCATATCCACACCAAACCTGACTGGTTGTTTCCACCCGCCACTACCACACACTAGAAGCAGCTAAGGAGCATGTCCATGCCCCAATTATTTCCTGTATAAACTATCGCAATCCTCTTCTCCCTGGTCTTACCTTTTCCCATCTTAGTGCAATACAATCCTTAATAAATGTTGCAGCCAGGCTCACCTATCTGCCAACCTGCAGCACCTATGCCTCCCACACTGTCAGTCCTTACATTGGCTTTGAATAAATGTTAGGATTCAAGTCAAAATCTCTTCATAACGTGATCCCCATCTACCGATTTTCACCAGTATTCAAGTATATTCCAAACAGGCCAAAGACCTTTGCATGTACTCACAACCTTGACTCTCACTCAAGACTTCTTTAGAACTGCACTGTTCCTATGGAATGCCCTCCCCCCACTCCATCAGACTCTCACCCAAACTTCACTCCTTTTCCAAAAATGCATCAAAGTGATTTGCGGTGGGTTCAATAAATAGTCTTCTTTGAATTCTGGAGTGCCTGGACCTCTTTCTATTTTTTGCCTTATCAATTAAATTGTTAACATATTTCCCTCTCTCCTACAATAACCCATATTTTTTTCCTTTCCTCTGCCTCACCTGTACAATTAACAAACTCTTCAAGCAAACAACTTTCCATACATATAATACAACGTCCCTTTACCTCTTGTGTCACTGAGGTCAGGGCCTTAAGGACTCTACCTGTTACTGTACATCCAACTTGTCGAACCTACTTGATTGTTAGTTCACCTATTGTACAGTACAGCAGAATGTGTTGATGCTTTAAAAATAATACACGGCACAGGCAGGTAGGGTGCCCAACCAAGCTACCCCAGCAGAAGCGCTGACATCAGGGCAGACTGAAAACAATATACACTAGAAAAAGTCTGACAGAGCTAACTACCATGCTCCCTCGCGGTTCCCATTATTCCCAGCACAGCCACATCATAGAGTAGGGATTACTCTGATGTGGCTGTACTGGGAATTATGGGAACCGCGAGGGAGCATGGTAGTTAGCTCTGCCCCTCCCTCAGTCCTCCTGTGACAAAGTCAGCAGACAGCAGGGACACAGAAACAGAGGGGAAGGGGGGACAAATAGAGGGTTAATAGAGAGACACGGAAACAGATGGGGATAATAAAGAGACACCAGGGAACAGGGGACAAAGAAACAGAGTGGTAATAGAGACAGGGGAAGGGGGGCAAAGAGAGACACGGGGAGGAGAGGGGCAAAGAGAGACAGGGAGGAGAGGGGAGGGAAGAGAGACACGAGGGAGAGAGGGAGGAGAGAGACAGGGAGGAGAGGGAGGGAAGGGGAGAGAGGGGGAAGAGAGACACGGGAGGAGAGGGGGGGAAGAGAGAGCCACGGGGAGGAGGGGGAAAGGAGGGAAGAGAGGGGAGGAGGGAAGAGGGAGGAGAGGGGGAAGAGAGACAGGGAGGAGAGGGGAAGAGAGACTGGGAGGAGAGGGGGAAAGAGAGACACGGAGGAGAGGGAGAGAGACACAGGGAGGAGAGAGAGACAGGGAGGAGAGGGAGAGACACAGGGAGGAGAGGGAGAAAGACACAGGGAGAGGGAGAAAAGACACAGGGAGGAGGGGGAGAAAGACACAGGGAGGAGAGGGGAGAAAGACACAGGGAGGAGAGGGGAGAAAGAGACACACAGGTTTGTTGGGGGGGGACAAAGACATACAGAAGGGAAGTGGAACAAAGTGACACAAGATTTGTGGGAGGCAACGCTGGGCTGGGGGAAAAAAGAGACGGCTGGGAGAAGAGAAAGAGGCACACAGAGTCTGGAGTTAGAAAGAGACACAGATGAGATTTGGAAGGGGAGAAAGAGACAAAGGGGCTGGGGCTAAGACATACACAAAAGGGGCTGGGGGAAAGAGACATACAGAGGCTGGAGAAGGGTAAAAAGAAACACACAGGGGCTGGGATGAAATAAAAGATACACAAGGGTCGCTGTAAGAGACAAAAAGGAGACAATTGGAGACAAGATACACTAAACGAGGTAAACGTAATAGACGTAATTGAGGTGATCCTGACAGTAATACACACACATATATATATGCATGTATATTGATGTGTGTATTAGTAACATATATAATTATGCCTATAATATTTACACATATATTAATATACATTTATATATGCATAATACACACATAAATGTCATTAATATATACATATGTAATGAGCACGTATTGGCCCAGTCTTGTTGCTAGTTGCATACTCATACACAATAACATATTCAAGTGAAGAGCGCACCCATAGGACTTCAAAATGAACAAGATAACTTCATTTTTTTTTCAGTTGTGCAACCGCATACATTCACCATTTCAGTCAGATTACTAAAATGTCCTTAATAGGCCAAAGTAGTTGTACTGAAACATTGATTACATGCAAATGTACGTCTGCTTAAAATAAAGGCGCTCTTTTGTTTATTTTGAAGCCCTATATGCGTTCTTTCGTTGGAGTAATAGTTTTCAATTTTATTTTTTCACCCTTTATATCAGCACACTATGCTGGCGCAACGCATTATTGGGCTGGTATAGAATTTTTTTCCAGGGCTGCTTTTAGTTCCCAGTCCGGCCCTGTGAATAGATGTGAGTGAATCCTTGCCAATATGGTCAAAACGTTTTGGACAAGCTTCAAAAAAGTTTGAATAGCAGAATCTGGGTGATGCTTCAATCTTCTTTTATACAACACATGGGAAATAGTGGGAGAATAGAATACTAGCATTTTTTGAGCAGACTCTAGATTCTTTGTCGTACATACGTGAACTTGTCCTCTCACAAACTTTTTTTTTTTACGTCATCCCTGAGCACTTACCAACAGTGCCATTCTAACCAATTTCAAGCTTACGTTTGTATTAGCAATATCAATATAATACTTATTTGGATGGTACTGATTGACTAAGCATGTAAGTTAACACATTCAATCTAACAACGCTGTCCAAAAATCCACATTAGCAATAAAGCGAGCTGCTGTAGGCCCAAGGGTGCCTTAGGGACCCCCTGTTTTGGTCTAATCACTCAAAAATGTTTTGACCCAGAAACCAAGGTGTTAGTTTTGTGATATACATGTAGCAATGTATCCCACAATCTTTTTAGAATGTTAATTTCAGGAATTACATAACATTTAGATTACTAGCTCATGTTAGAATGTTTGTATGCCAAAAATAGTAGTGTTAATTTCCAGGATTACAAAATCTCCATCTTCTCTTTTGTACTTACCGAGTTCTTGGGCCTGCGGCTGTGGTCCACCATATCTAGCATTGGGTACGCTGCTCTCAGATCATCAATGGTAATTATTTTACAGAAACCCAGACTATGCGTAGTCAGGAAAGTGGGTAAAGGTCAATAAACATTTGCACACAGTCAACTTCTCCTGAGCTGATTATTGTAAACACAGTCACAGCAACTCCTGCATAAGATGTGTTATATCTTAATTGTAAAGCAACACCAATACATCACAAGTGGTAACAGATAAAAAAACAATAGGGAATGGTGCATTGCTTGAAAAAAAGTTTGCCCATACCATAGTTTGTCACCGCATCCAATTCTGATGTAGTGCCTTGCATGCTCTGAACCACAGATGGATAAAACCATGATGCTTTATAAAAAGCATACATATAATAGACAACACAGTTATGCATTAAAGGATACTCCTTTGCAATTTCCTCCACTGGTCCTTGACCAGATATGAGCACCCACTTGTCATGGAAATGACTGAACCTCCGCAGGGGACTGTGAGACAGGATAATTTGATCAGCAGAAATCTAGACATAAGTCACAACAAGAAATGTTAACCCCTTCAGGACGGAGTCAATAGTGCACGTTCTGATCAAAACAAAACGTAAACAAAAACTGGAATTTGCGCTATATGTCTGTTCAACCGTAATTCACCGCTGTCACATTAAGTGCACCCACACTTATTATATATCATTTTGTTCAGGAGAAACAGGGCTTTAATGTATCATTAACTATTCATATATGGAACATAAATTATTATGAATAAAATTTTAAAAAATGTGAGAAAATAAGATTTTTTTTAAATTTGTATTTCCGTCTGACATTTTAGCTGTGAATGTCATAATACTGTTATGTTTTACCACAAAAAAATGCACATATTTGTAATCAGCGATGTCTCACAAGTACAACAGTACCCCCCATTAACAGGTTTTATGGTGTTTTGGAAAGTTACAGGGTCAAATATAGAACGTTCCATTTTCAAATTGAAATTTGCCAGATTAGTAATGTTACCTTTGAGACAGTGTGGTAGGCCAGGAATGAGAATTACCCCCATAATGGCATAACATTTGAAAAAGTAGACAACCCAAGGTATTGAAAGTGGGGTATGTTTAGTCGTTTTTAGTAGCCACTTAGTCACAAACACTGGCTAAAGTTAGCGTTCATATTTGTTTTTGTGTGAAAAAAAGCCAAAAACTAATATTTGGCCAGTGTTTGTGACTAAGTGGCTACTAAGAAAGATTGGACATACCCCACTTGCAATACCTTGGGTTGTCTACTTTTGCAAATGGTATGCCATCATGGGGGTAATTCTCATTCCTGGGCTACCATACGCTCTCAAAAAAATGAAATGCAAGCCTTATATGTGACTCTCTAACTTTCCAAAACACCATAAAACCTGTACATGGGGGTTACTGTTATTCTTGAGAGACTTCACTAAACACAAATATTATTGTTTTAAAACAGTAAAACATAGTACAACAATAATATAGTCCATAAAAGTGCCGTTGGTTTGTAAAAAATGCAAAAAACATCACTTTTACTTAAAATATCATCGTTGTAATACAATTAATCATTTTGAAACACTAAAATTTGAGTTCAGCGAAGTCTCCCAAGTAAAACATTACCCCCTATGTACAAGTTTTATGGTGTCTTGGAGAGTTACAGGGTCAAATATAGTGCTTGCGAATTAAATTCTCTGCACTTTCTCCCTGTGTTGTCAAGCATGTCAATCAAATTTTAATTAATCAAATCACATAATTATGTTAAAAAATTACTTAAATATACATGTAGAATTTTAATATATATGCATTTATAGGTATTTAAATTCTATGTGTATACTAATGTAATATATATATATATATATATATATATATATATATATATATTTGCGGTTATTTGTATTTTATATATTGATAGATATATATATAGAATGTCATTCTAAGTGTATTTTGTTACATATATTTTAATAACAAAATACAGTTAGAATAAAATTACATATGAATATCTAATTTATATTAAATTTTGTTTCAATTTTTTATATTTTTGTAATTATACGTATATACACATATATACACACACTATATATGTAACGTCATTCTAAGTGTATTTTCATACTAATATATGTACTTATATTAATATTAAAATACACACACACATATATATTATATATATATATATATATATATATATATATTACACACATATATACACACACACACACATAATTTTTATTTTAAAAACATGTTTAATTTGTTTTACACTTCCCACCAGTAGGGGGACTGTCTGATATTTCAGACAGTCCCCCTGCTGGCAGATCCACAGCCAGCTATAGGGGGCCATGTGATCACTCTTTGAGAGCGATCACATGGCCCCCGGGGGAGGGCTGTCTGGGCTGTCAGGCAGCCCTCCAGAAGAGGATCGCGGCTGAGGTAAGTACCTCCGATCTCCTGGGGCTGCAAGCCGTTATGGCATTCTATGCTGCCACAACGGCTTTAAAGCCCTTTTAATGCGGGACGGCATAGAACGCTGTAACAGCGTTAAAGGGTTAATGAGTTCTCTATACAAGTCTAAATAAAAAGTAAAGAAAATACATTAAAAAAAAACAAAAAAAAAAAACACACACCTTCTCTGAAAAGCAGGAACACACTATAGACACCAGAACCGCTACATTAAGCTGTAGTGGTTCTGGTGACTAGTGTCCTTTAAGAATTTTATTTTTGCTGTTGAAAATAAAGCTTTGTTAGTTTAAAAAAAAAAAAAAGAAAATCTGAAACTCAACTCCTATATTCCAATCAAATTTGTCAAACAACGGACTAATGCTTTCTCATTAATTGAAGCAGGACAGAGGGGATGGAATGCTGTGAACTCTTGTATGGCATTACAACATAAAAAAGAAAAACAAAACAAAAACACAGTTTAACACTGAATGCAAGGACGGCACCAGGGAACTTCAGACACAATAACACTTAAAGTGTCTACAGTGTCCCAACTAAGGCATGTAATTACTGTGACTGGCGGACAGGGCCAATCTACTAAACTGCATAGATAGGTTTACAATTATTGTTCGGATTAGGGAGGGTTACAAATGGCATCAAATTATCACAATGGTCAGTATGGCCAATGATGGTGTCACCCTAATTAGCACATCTGGAAAGAAAATAAAGAGGCATATCTGCGGGGTGAAATTTTTTTTATCAAGATTACATCTCTAATCTGACCCTCTAAAACACCACCAAGTAAAGATATACATACATATCATGGGTCTTTACATTATTGGGATATACGTGAAACTAATCTTTTTGGAAAACTACACTCAATAATTTTTTTTAATTTTTTTTTAAAGTATGTCTACCCAGCAGTTTCAGCTCTGCCAGGGAAGGAGGGGCCAGAAAGAACTATAGTGTAATACATTTTTGTAATCCTTGTACTATACAATCTGCCTTACCCCCACAAAGAGCAGTTTGGTGACAAAACCTTCCCTAATTCCCATCCCCTTACTCAGCTTCCACCACAGTGTGTGTAGCGGTTACTGGGCTCAGGGTTTGGAAAGGGGCAATATTTGGAAATGCAGTTATTAACTTTCAGACAACAATATTGCTCGTTTCCCAATTCTGCAAAAAAGGGAGAAATTCTAGTGTGGTCTAAATCCCATTACTTACCTCAACACCCAACACTGAGCTCAGTTCTGTTGCCCGATGTTGGCGCAGACAATTTCCTGCATTTGTCACAAACACCAATGGCACTGCCAGCTTCCCATCACTGTCAGTCAGTTTTTTGAATGCTTCAGCTGCCCCTGATATAGGGTTCCTGCCTCTGACTAGGACTCCATCAATATCAAACAGAAGACCGAAGCTTGGATTAAACTGTAAAACACAAAGCAGAATTCAAAATTCAAGCATAATAAATGTTAATCTATTGATTCAATTTTAAAGCTATGCATTTAACAGCTCTTATACATTAAAGCTATGCAGCATGCTTTAAAGGGACACTACAGTCACCAGAACAACTACAGCTTATTGTATGTTATGGTTAGTATACACCTTTCCTTTAGGCTTATTTTGCAGTAAACACTGTCTTTTCAGAGAAAATGCAGTGTTAACATTACAGACCCTTTTCATTTACTGACCTGGTTCTCTTCCTACGACCTGGTAGGTATTTGGGGCGGGATGGTCGTTTTAACACTATAGGGTCAGGAAAACATGTTTGTGTTCCTGACCCTATAGTGTTCCTTTATAAAAAAAAATTTTTAAAAATCTAATATTTCAGACAAAAGAATAAATAAAAACCTTCAGAGATTTTCCTCATGGACAATGAGAAAAGTCAGTGATAACATTGTGGGCTGAAGTGGTTATAATTGACTCTTTAATCATTTGTCTAATTTTGTGAATGTAATCAATGGTAAAATTCAGGGGGAAGAACATGCAACAAAAATCTCAAAGGAATAAAAGTTAAAAAAAAAAAGCTAATTTGCACAACACCGAAATCTAACAAATATGTGCACAGTGTGGAAGACAGTTAATATGAAACTCTATACACCTCAAAGAGGTGTCCCCTTTGCCACTTAAAAATCAACAATATACATACATAAATCAGGTGGAGCTTCTTAAAATAATAGTATAACAGATTTTCTGTAAAATAAAATATAGACCATAGTGCAATACAGTAGTATAAATTAAATTAAAAATATATATGCAGTAGGTTATCCACTCACAAGCCTGGAGTCATAATCTCATATGACTCGGATGGTGTGTGCCTTTGGACCATTCCAGGATGTCCAAAATCCTTTTTCCTTGCAGGACTCTGTTGGTGGTCACTCACAGACAAAAACTGTCAGGTCAGCAATGGGTTTCCACAAGAATTAAATTTTATTCCAAATAAAAATAAAAGAATTATTGAATTAAAAATAAATAAAAACTTAAGTAGGGCTATATAGTCCTTTAAAATCCTTTAAAATTGCCAAAAAAATTGGCAATTTTAAAGGATTTTAAAGGACTATATAGCCCTACTTAAGTTTTTATTTATTTTTAATTCAATAATTCTTTTATTTTTATTTGGAATAAAATTAAATTCTTGTGGAAACCCATTGCTGACCTGACAGTTTTTGTCTGTGAGTGACCACCAACAGAGTCCTGCAAGGAAAAAGGATTTTGGACATCCTGGAATGGTCCAAAGGCACACACCATCAGAGTCATATGAGATTATGACTCCAGGCTTGTGAGTGGATAACCTACTGCATATATATTTTTAATTTAATTTATACTACTGTATTGCACTATGGTCTATATTTTATTTTACAGAATATCTGTTATACTATTATTTTAAGAAGCTCCACCTGATTTATGTATGTATATAATTTGCACAACACCGGTGCAAACCTGAAAGTGAACACCAAATATATGCCTGATATATTGTGGGAACTTACCTGGGGTCTGATGAAGATGTATGTAATAAAGATGCATGTTTTAGACATTGAAGACCCACTGAATAGAACATAGGGTCTTTAGGAGCCTAGATTGACTCAAAGAGCACTCACCTGATGAGCTGATCTGGTAAGTCTCCTGTAGATTGGAAGCTTCCCGCAGAAAAAGGGGTTAATGGTTGAATGGCTCTTCCTGACCAGGCTGAGCACCGAGTTGTTGCAGAACGCCATTAGATGCCCTGGCACTACTCTCTTCTGAACTGTATTTGGCACTGCCCTACTTGCATTCACCCTAGTCAATGTCCACTATTGTAGAATAGTAGTACAATGTTCTTGCTATGATGCTTTATATAAATAGGGTATATAGCTGATCCTATCCTGGGACCGTACAAAGCAAATCTATCTAGCGTGAATATTGCTACGCTGCCACAATGGTGAATATGAAGTATGTCTCTATATGTGTGCTAAACTAAAAACAGTCCTATAAGAAAACAGCCCTTACACAACACTGTCAACCAGTGGCGGATTCAGTGCTCACTTCTGACGAAAAAAATAAATAAATGTTAACACTAGGAGTTAATCATAAACCATACATTATCATGTGGCATCTTAACACACTGCATATTACTACAGAGCTTTATAATATACTTAAACGCTGCATATTACTGTGGTGCTACGTAATATACAATTACAAATCGAATTGTTACACCCAAGTAATGTTATCATTCCATTTACACCTTTGTGTCAATTATATTATATTCATATCCCAACATCAACTGACGATTAACTGCCCTTCCTCTATTCAAGTCTTCTGAAAATTAAACCCTTCCTTCCCTCCAAACTAGATCTCCTTCTTAAATTCAAAACTTCATTTATATATTGTAAACCTGTTTGAGCAGTGCCTCCTTCGCCTTTTGTCGCTGTTATTTTCTGTCAACTACTTGTTCTCAATTATTCCCATTCTATAATTGTGAAGCTCTGCAGAATATGTTGGCGCTATATAAATAATTACTTAACCCCTTCCCTCCCTAAACCAGATGCCCACAATACCCTGCAATTAAGCCGTCCCTCCCAAATTGGAATCTCCAATTTAATATTCTCTAATTAAAATGTCCTTTCCCTTACAACATTTCTCAGGTTAGATCCCTGTAAATAGTTTTCCCATAGTCTCCTTTTGCCATACACACACAGTCACACAATATAAGAGTTTTAAAAGTCAGTTTTCTGTCTTGTCTGCCTTACAGTCATAGCAGGAAGTCCCTGCCAGCCCAATGTAGGGATCTAGTGACAGCTAATAACTTGTTGTACTTCCTAAATCCAGGAAGTGACTGGGCTCCATGTTCGTATGGTCCACTGCACTAGTTTGAAGCCAGACAGGAAATGACGTCACTTTTCCGCAACATGAAGTGATACATAGCTCTATCCAAATCCCCTACCCAGTGAAAATCCCCTACCCCTCGTCACTTCCGGTGAGGGGAGTCAGCTGGAGCCTGTGCTGCACATGCGTGCTAGCACTCCAGCTGGGGTAAGGAAATCTGACAGAGGATCTGAGCATGACCTGGGAACGCCTCAATAGCAAGGTCCTGGAAGGTAAGTAAAGCTAGTTTTACACTTTCATTATAGTTAGTGCATTCACTAAGCTTAGGACATGGGACATTTAGGGTTAATGTTAGGGTTCAAATTAGGGTTAGGTAAGTTATTTAAACCTCTCTCACACTTTATTCTAACCCTTGGGGTAAGGGTTAAATTAAAGTGACAAATCACAATTTACAGATATTCCCCTAATGTAACAAATCAGTAAATAAAAACTAACCCCCAATATCTAACCCTAATTTGAACCCTCACTTAACCCTAAATGTCCCATGTCCTGAGCTTAGTAAATGCACTAACTTTAAAGAAAGTGTAAAACTAGCTTTACTTACCTTCCAGGACCTTGCTATAGAGGAGTTCCTAGGACATGCTCAGAGCTTCTATCAGATTTCCTTACCCCAGCTGGAGTGCTAGCACCATGTGCAGCACAGGCTCGAGCTGACTCCCCTCAAGGAGAAGCAGGAAAATCACATCAGTGGGAGCTGCTGTCGTGGGCATCCCAGTGTACTGTCTCTTTCACCTTATTCACGCACACCCTCTCCCACTCTATCTTTCACGCTTACTCACTGAGTGTCTCTCAGTCACTCACACATTAAATCACTTTCTTCCTCTCACACTCTGCCTTCTACACTAATTCTCTTGCACGTTACCATACCTCTTAATATTTTGAATGGAATTATAGGGAACTTTAAATATAGGGATGCAGTCAGGGACGGATTTGTTCTGAGAAATTGTAGGTGACTTATCAATAATAATTTCTCCAAAAATATAATTTAGAGGAAGGACAATGTATCTTACACAGATTTCTAAATACATTTACTGTAGTGTAAAGACATTACTGTGAGTATTAATACCGTGGATCTCTGTTCTACACTCAGACAGTAAAAAACAAAGAAAAGCGTTACCTGTGCACTATCCCAAATCCCTATACATATTTAAATAACTGGAGATTTTTCTTACCAATGGCCATTAGCTTGTAAGCTCCCCTGCCACAACAAGGCAAACCTCTTAAGGGTGTCCTACACAGAAATCTCTAATGAGAGATAGAGGGATATTTTTTCTAAACCCCTACATACATTGCTGCTGCCCAGGAGTAGTGGGTGTCTGAGTGCAGGACTTATTTTTGTGTATTTGCTTTTGTATCATACATCCATGTTACAATGCTGCTGCCCACCACATGTGTTCCCTATTAAGGGTTAATACGTATTTAGGGCAAGCATGTCAAACTCGGGGCCCCCAATGGACCTCTTTCCGGCCCGGCGAGCCGCGGGTACATGGTTCGTGTTAAAGCAGAGTAGGCACCTGCTTTCTTAACATTGCAGATGCCTACACTGCTAAACCTTACCCGGCCGGGGAGGAGCGGTCACTGGCGGCAGCGAGGGAGCTCAGTTTTCCTGCTCCTCACTTTTCCTTCGCGTGCACCGTCTGAAGTGATGCTGGGTGCCAGAATATGACATTATATTCCGGCACCCGGCATCACTAAACTGCGCGCAAGGGGGCAATGAGGAGCAGGAAGACTGAGCTCACGAGAGAAGATCCCCACTGGACCCCAGGAAATTATGTGAGTGTGTGCAAGAATGTGTTAATGTGTGTGTGTCTGTGTGTTTGTCAGTCAGTGTGTCTGTCACTGTACTGACAAAGAAATGTATAAAAACCTAAATAAGCCTAAATAACATGTACATCCCACTTTATCAAGTGACTGGCTGATATTTGTGGGGGAAGTTCTGCAGAAGCTCTCTCTGAAAGATTCGGGGATGGAGTGTGTTTAGGAATGTATTTGTCTGCCGTGAGGTCCCATATTCGGATTGTGTTAAGTATCGCTGGGCATGTAGTGCGAATGGGTGGCCTATCTTGTTTGGGTACCCAAATCCAAAATTGTGGCAGGTCCGTGCACATCAGGCGTGATTCCAGGTCTACCCACCTGTGGGAACCCGCCCGGGAGTGCCAGGCGACCACCTGGGCCAGTTGCGCCGCCAGGTAGTAACAGTAGAGACTCGGGAGCCCCAGTCCCCCTCTGGTTTTTGGCCGGTACATCACCTGTCTGGCTATACGGTGGCGTTTGTGAGCCCAGATAAACTTTTCGATGGCTCGTTGGAATGGTATTAGGTCTGACTTGGTGACTTTTACTGGGAAAGCCTGGAACAAAAATAGCAAGCAGGGGAGGAGCGTCATCTTTATGGCGTGGAGTCTGCCTATCCAGGAAATTGGCTTTTCCTGCCATTTTTCTATATCGCGGCACAATGATTGTATCTTAGGGCCATAATTCACGGCGTATAGGCTATCCGTGTCCGCAGTGAGCGTGACGCCCAGGTATTTAATGTTGGTTTTCGCAATGGTGAGCGGATGTGCGGTTCGTAGGCCTTCAATTTCCTTCGGGTCCATTCCCAGTGGCATAGCCACTGATTTTCCCATATTGATTTTGTATCCCGAGACATAGGCGTAGTCATCTAAGAAGGACAGAAGTCGGGGGAGCGATTGGTTAGGGGTGGACATCGTCCGCGTATGCTGAGACTTTGTACTCGTCCTCTCCGACCCGAATCCCCTCTATGCCTACCTCCCCGTGAATGCGATGTAGTAGGGGCTCTAATGCGATTATAAACAGCAAGGGGGACAAGGGGCATCCCTGCCTGGTACCGTTGTGGGGTCGGAAGGGGGTTGGGGGTGCCCCCGGCACCATAGTCTGTGCTCTGGGGTTTGCGTAGAGAGCCTCTATCCTCCGAACAAAGGGCTCTGGCATTTGCAGGTGTTGTAATAGGGTGAAGAGGTAGTGCCACAGTATCCTATCGAATGCCTTCTCCGCATCCAATGACAGGATCAGAGAAGGCGTCTTGGCTCTGTTCGCCCACCAGATGATATCTGCGCCCCTCCTCGTGTTCTCGTATAGTTGTCTCGTTGGGACGAATCCGACCTGGTCGGCATGTATCAGGGTCGTCAACAGGGGGTTTAACCGAGTCGCCAGTATCTTTGCGAAAACCTTGACGTCGAAGTTGATTAAGGAGATGGGACGGAAATTGGCCGCGACGGCCGGGTCTCTCCCCGGTTTAGGGATGAGTGTTATATCTGCCGTAAGCATGTCTGGATTTGGCGGCCTACCCTCCATCCATTCCTCGTATACCTGCGCAAGCCGGGGAGTCAATGCCTCCCATAGGGCTATGTAGTAGGAGCCCCCGAAGCCGTCCGGTCCCGGGGCTTTGTTCCCTTTCAGCTCTGTGATCGCCCTATCGATCTCCTCTTCCGTTATGGGCAGTCCCAGCAATGACAGGACTTTGGGGGTGGGCTTTGGTATATTAGTTTTAGTGACAAAGTCCCTCACCGCCAGGTCGTATGCCCTATTTTTCCCTTTTAGCTCCGGGGAGTGGTTGTAAATCTTAGAGAAAAACTCTGTGAAGATCTGGTTGATCTCCACAGGGTCATGTGTTACCCGCCCTCCCCCGTCTTGGAGCGCTGGTATGTTGTGGAATTTCGGTTTAGGGGTCAGAGCCCTAGCCAGCAGGGTGTCCATTTTATTAGACCATTCATAGTAAAGGCATTTTTTACGGACCAACTCCCTACCTAGGTCTTCAATGGCCGTGTTTCTTATCTTGTGTCGTAATTCTCTGAGCGTTTTAAGACCCTGTTTTGTAGGCGCCTGTTTGTGTTTGGTTTCTGCCCGTCGCAGCTCTTTCTGGAGTTCGAATAGGGTTTCTGCTCTCAGTTTCTTGCGTCTAGTTGCTATTTTAATTAGGGTCCCTCTGATTACCGCCTTATGAGCGGCCAATAACGTTGACTGGGACACGTCAGGCGTGTCGTTCGTGTCGAAATAATCGTTCAGTTCGTCCTGTACTTGTTTCAGTATCTCGGGGTCCTTGAGTAGCGTGTCCCTGAGTCTCCATTTCCATGGAGGGCCGGGGCCCGGCAGTCGCATTATGAGCTCGACGTTCACGTGGTCGGACCATGTGATAAGATTTATTCTTGCGGACTGGATCCATGGGATCCCTTCCTGATTGACTAGGAACATGTCTATGCGAGAGTAGGTCGAGTGAGCCGCTGAGTGAAATGTGTAGTCCCTGAGCCCGGGGTGTTGCAGTTTCCAGGGGTCTAGTAGTTTCATTTGTTGGATAAAATTGGCCAATAATTTGTCTTGTCTCCCTACCCCCCTCGCCCCAGTACCCGCCTGTGTGGCGCTGCGATCTATTGCCGGGCAAGGTGTGGAATTGTAGTCTCCTCCCAGGACAATTATATCGAATGGCAGTGAGTGTAGTCAGTTGTAGAGCTGGTCCCAGAAGTCTGGGTCCGGGTGGTTGGGCGCGTATAGATTTATCAGATGGTATGTGGCATTGTAAATCGTACCCGTGAGGATGATATACCTGCCCACGCTGTCCGTCAGCGCACTTTGTGTCACGAACGGGCATCTTTTGTGTATTAGGATGTCCACCCCGTTTTTCTTTGTCAGTCCCCGGGAGGAGTATGTTCTAGTGTATACGTGGTCTGTTAGTTGAATGTGGGCTGAGCGCACGAGATGTGTCTCCTGTATAAACGCTATGTCAGTGCTTTGCCATTTGAGTTCCCTCATCAATAATCGTCTCTTGGTTGGGGTATTGAGGCCGTTGACGTTGAGGGAGGTGAGTTTGAGCGTGGCCATATTGTGCATCCCCGTCCTGACTGTGTCCTCTCTCTACCGTCTGTTCAGGTCGGGGTCTATTCTGGCCCACTGAAGAATAAACTAGTGTTTTACATGTGAGACATATTCGTAAGGAGATGGTCATAACATCTGACTGACCAAGCATAGCATGTGTTCGCTAATATAACAAGAGGTCATAACATCTTTAGGCAAACCTGTCTAGTGAGTCAGGAGTGTGAAAACAAGAAGATTTATAGGCAATGCGATATTTAGTTACTAGTAGGCACAGCACGGGTGATTAATTTGCAGCTGGGTGCTGGGAGTAGCCACTGAAGCTTGGCCAGCCTTACAATGCTATATGTCT